TTGTTTGAGAGCAGAATTGAAGTTCTACATAAGGGTTTGTAGTCATTATGAGTTCTTTGGAAATAAAACAAGAATGTCAAGAAGTCATAATATATAATATTAATGTTAAAAGTTGCAGCTCTAAGGCAATGTAAGGGTTCCATATATAAATACTATGTCGCATATTAGAGAACCAGAAGACCCCCTTAATTTTTATAACATGATTAATGTAATTATTGTAAGTAGTAGTAGTAGTAGCAGTAGTAGTAGTAGTAGTAGCAGTAGTACTAGTAGTTATGTTTGTTTGTGTGTTGTTTAAGGAGACAGCAGGCATTTTTCTAGCTATGTGACGGCGAATGATCGAGTCTCGGCCAGACAATCCAGTGCTTAACATAATGAGCATCAATCAGCGCAATTGGGATACGACGCCACGTACGTCAGCCAAGTCTCCGAGCCTGACCACCCGATCACGGATCTCCACGGTTTAGCAGTAGTAGCTGTTGTAGTAATAGTAGTAGTAGTAGTAGTTGCTGTTGGTGTGGTAGTAGTAGTAGTTGATGTTGTTGTAGCTGTTGCAACACTAGTAGTAGTATGAGGATAAAGAGACAGCAATAGTAAGAACACAAAATTGAAGAGGGTTCGACTGGTGCTTGGTGTTACGTCCCTTTATCTAGTCGACATAATCAACGAAGCGCACATAAAATACTTATCATGCATCCATGCTTCGCAAATTGAGTTCCAGACGATTTAGAAGACTGCCAACAAATGTACTGTGTTTAATTCTAAGATGGTTTACTTTACTTGAAATACAATTGTCCTCACAGTATGGACTCACAGAATGGATGAGGATCACTCTCTGTTCATACTTAAAGAAAGTTTAAAGATCGCTTCATTGCACACGTGGACCGCCTCCGTAGTGTAGTGATTAGAGCGTCCGCCCGGAGAGCAGAAGGTCGCGGGTTCGATCCCCGACCGCGTCATACCAAAAGACGTTAAAATATGGTACTTGTTGGTCCCTGTCTGGCGCTCGGCATTAATGGGTACAACAAGAACTGGTCGGCTCGGAGTCAGTATAATGTGTCTGAGTGGGGTATTCATGCTTCACTGCGGCATGGTATCTCAGTGGGCTAGCACTATAAAACCAGCTTAAGTCTGGGCTAGTACAAGCAGCCGCACATGCACATACACACGCATGCACGTCGTCATATGAGCGAAATATTCTCAAGCACGACGTAAAACCCAATTTCACCTCACCTCACCTCGTTACACAGGTACACGGCGGCAGGCCTGTAAATAATCGAGCCGGTTCCACACAACCAAGGTATTGATATTATACGTAATCATGATACACTATTTTGACACACAATAGCAACGTTGCCGATACTGACCAATTGGAAGCCCACACATCAGCCACGTCGCCCCTTTCCACCAGGGGCGGTGGGGTAGCCCTGTGGTAAAGCGTCTGCTCGCCTCGCCGAAGACACGGGTTCGAATCCCCACATGGGTACAAAGTTCCCACGGATCCATCTGCTATCGACCAACATAAGTTGATGGGGACCAGTCCTGTTCCTGAAACCTGACATATCCATCCAGTCGTGGCTAACGACCAACAAGTCTTATCTCTGAAATCTCACGGATCCATCCAATGGTGGCTAACGACCAACAAGTCTTATCTCTGAAATCTCACGGATCTATCCAATGGTGGCTAACGACCAACACAGGTTGTTGGGGACCAGTCCTATTCCTGAAACCTGACATATCCATCCAGTCGTGGCTAACGACCAACAAGTCTTATCTCTGAAATCTCACGGATCCATCCAATCGTGGCTAACGACCAATACAGGTTGTTGGGGACCAGTCCTATTCCTGAAACCTGACATCCATCCAGTCGTGGCTAACGACCAACAAGTCTTATCTCTGAAATCTCACGGATCCATCCAATCGTGGCTAACGACCAATACAGGTTGTTGGGGACCAGTCCTATTCCTGAAACCTGACATCCATCCAGTCGTGGCTAACGACCAACAAGTCTTATCTCTGAAATCTCAAGGATCCATCCAATCGTGGCTAACGACCAATACAGGTTGTTGGGGACCAGTCCTATTCCTGAAACCCACCCAGTCGTGGCTAACGACCATCAATTCTTATCTCTGAAATCTCAAGGATCCACCCAGTCGTGGCTAACGACCAACACGGGTTGTTGGGAACCAGCCCTTTCCAAGAAACCTCTCGGATCCATGTTTTCGCGACTTACGACCAACACAGGTTGTTGGGAACCAGCTCTATCCCTATAATCTCACTGATCCATCAGTGCGCCTCTAACGACTAGCATAGGTTTCCGAGGTACAGTTATGTATGGTGATTCGTGATTTTAGATACTTTATAGTGTTGTTATTCTATGAGATGCATTTTAGAAGATCTGTTGTAAAGATGAAGAAAAACTAAGTTCTGTGGATAATCAACTTCTTTATTGCAATGCATGCGACGTTTTGATGTAGATATTAACACCGTTATCAAGCAAGTGGGCATCACTTCCATATTTCCGTTCTATATTGATCACCTTGATTGCTGATTGATACGTACAAACCCAACAATCTAAATTTAATTATCACAGAGGCGTGACCGTCAATACAAAGGCGTGACAGACAGGCAGAGATTCAGACAGAAATGGTATTTTGAATTTTCACAAAAAGCTATGTACAGTACAATACAGCTGAGTACATGTTGTTTCAAAAACTGACATTCAGGCATGAGTTTTACAAAACTAATACATTTGACTTAAAACGATAAAAAGTAACAGAGAAAATCGCTTATTGACTCAAACACGGAACGTATTGGAGAAGACCACCTCTGAGGTTACAACATGGAGGGTAATATATTATTCCTTCCTACGATATTTGATGAAGTCATATATACATGAGCACAGTGCCTACAGAGCAAGGATTATAGTGGGCATCGAACTGAGGAATAAACCTAACAATCAGCGGATCCGTACACAGTAGTGGGCCGATAGTCCTTCGTGTGAGTGAATATGGTTTTCCGTCGCTTTTAGCAATATTCCAACAATATTACGGCGGGGGACACCAGAAATGGGATTGACACATTGTACCCATAAGCGGAATTAAACCCGGATCTTTAACCACTTGGCTTACCCTCCGCCACAATAGTGTTTCGAAATCCAATACAGTAGCGTTTTTCATAGAACGCAAACTTTGCTTAAAAATTAACTCTTTTTTCCACTATTAATAGATTTAATTCCATATATGGTAATCGCGAAATGGTAATCATGAATAACACTGAGTTTCAAACACAGTAATCACAATGTCGCGTTGAAATGATTACATTTGTGCCACAGTAAGGGACAGGGATGAAAGTCTACTGACCGGTAAATCTACTTCCTTTTAACAGATAAATACATTTTGTCAAGACGGCCATATGTCGTTCCATTTCCTGTGACCATTTCCCTTCGTCACAAAAGCCAGTCACGCTTGCCCCCTCTTTGCCGACCTCCGTATAATACTATATACATTCTCACATCCATACACTCATCATCTGACATACATCTCCGTTAAACATGGAACTACAAGTCGGTTTATGGACATCCCGATCATATGATTCAAAAAAGTGATAAAAGCATTTTGTTTCGAAATGAACTTGTAACCAAATGACATCCGACACGATGAAATACGAATAAGGTATTCAGTTCTTTGTTAAAACCGAAGATGTCCAGGGCAACATCTTACGACGAAGTACCCGTGAAGATCCGGTTAGATCCGGTTAGAATATTGATCTTCAGTAACCAAAGCTTGTCGTAAGAGGCGACTAACGGGATCGGGTGGTCAAGCTCGCTGACTTTGTTGACACATGTCATCGGTTCCCAATTGCGTAGATCGATGCTCATGCTGTTGGTCACTGGATTGTCTGGTCCAGACAGACCGCCACCATATAGCTGGAATATTGTTGACTGCGGCGTAAAACTAAACTCACCTACTCACTCTTACGACGAAGTAAAAAGTAAACGTAAACGTACAAAGACTTTCTACGTTTGTCGGATATATCTGTAATACCTGCATTTACATGTTCCTGGGGATGCTTTTATTTATATAAATATACAAAACATAATCTCCTTTATATTTCCACTCCACAACTGGTCTTCAGAAACTTGTGCTTGTTGTTAGAGCTGGCAAACAGTGTTTTGTTTGTTGTTTAACGCAGCACACAGCAATATCCTTCAGCAACCCATGCTTGTCGGGTCGGATAGTCAGGCTCGCTGACTTGGCTGACACATGTCATCGTATGCCAATTGCACAGACCGATGCTCATGCTGGTGATCACTCGATTGTTTGGTTCAGACTTGATTATTTACACACCGCCACCTTATAGCTGGAATATTGTCTAGTACGACATTAAACAACAAACAAACTGGGAATTAGTTCAATGAATGAATCGTTTCCATGCGAGATCTCAAGCCTATTTGGAAATACCTTTAGTCATTATTAATGTGATAACAGACACGGCCACGAGGAGAACCAAATAAGGTTGTAAATGCCATAATATTTACTCTTCAAAAAAAGTAGGGGAACTTCATTTCTAATTTACGGTTGACAAAAATGGGAGATATATCGTAGTCAATTCAATGTTGATATGATAATAATGAATGTTTTGAGAGTACATCCCCACTTGCACTTCCTTATGACCATAGTTGTTTGTACAGTCTTTTAAAGGTTGGTTAACGCTTATACTTCCTAACCAAATTCAAAGTTCAGGTTCCCCTACTTTTTGTAAGAGTATATGTTGCTGCGGCACAACTGACGGTTAATATATACATGATTACAGCACGATTATGCAAACGAGATAAACCCAACAATGTACAAAAATGAAACAGTTTAAAAGCAATAATTCTAAGAGATATTACGTTGTCGAACAGAGGGTTATAATGCCGCTCTGTGAAACGACTACCACCAAGCAGGTGATGTAACTTAGATGTCGAACACGTCATCAGTCGAATGACGTTCTCAGTGTCACTTCGCATGTGGTTGTATCAAAGTTCCTGGTTTCACCTTCACATGTCTGTTGAGCTCCTGAGTGCCGGACACTATGCCATACGGTCGTAAGTGGTAGATGTAAAACTCCAGAAAGTACATCTTCTGTGGGGGTACGTAGTGGAAGGAGATGGCGTAGTCGGAAACACTGTCTGCGCCCTGAAATAGATGTTTTCCGTGAGACTTTTACGTTATGCTAACGAATACGCCGATGTCGATTTCATATTGTAAATAGGAGTTACGAACTGAGTGAGTGAGTTTAGTTTTACGCCGCACTCAGCAATAGTCCAGGTATATAGCGGCGGTAGGGGCGGTAGGGTAGCCTAATGGTTAAAGCGTTGGCTCGTCACGCCGAAGACCCGGGTTCGAATCCCCACATGGATACAATGTGTGAAGCCCATTTCTGGTGTTCCCCGCCGTGATGTTGCTGGAATATTGCTAAAAGCGGCGTAAAACCAAACTCAGTCAGTCAGTATAGCGGCGGTCTGTAAATAATCGAGTCTGGACCAGACAATCCAGTGATCAACAACATGAGCATCGATCTGCGCAATTGGAATACGATGACATGTGTCAACCAAGTCAGCGAGCCTGACCACCAAATCCCGTTAGTCGACTCTTACGACAAGCATGGGTTACTGAAGATCAATATTCAAACCTGGATCTTCACCGGTCGTTCTACTTCTGAGTATTTGATGGTTCATACTCGTTATAACATTAATATCATATCTGATTTTCATAAATTGGGTTGATATATCATCACAATGGACTGGTGGATATACAAGAGCGAACGAAGTGCTCATATCAGTGGTGTCAATCTTATGTCACTGAACTTGACCAGCTGTTACAAAATATGTTTATCAATCCTGTGACCAGTTTTTATCACGATGAATTATCATTAAAACACAACAGAGATAGAGAGGGAGAGACAGACAGACAGACAGACAGACAGACAGAGAGAGATACTCCCTAACAAAAGGGTGGATAACAATGTGAATATTGAGTGGATACTTTTGTGTTGATAAGGGGCGGTGGGGTAGCCTAGTGGTTAAAGCGTTCGCTTGTCACGCCGAAGACCCGTGTTCTATTCCCCAATGTACAATGTGTGAAGCCCATATCTGGTGTCCCCCGCCATGATACTTGACCGGTCGATACTGATTCCAGAGTACCATCTAATGGACGTAGGGATCCAAACACCCAGCCAGTAGTTATAGGAATTGTAGATATGCTCGATAGATGGATACAGGCGTCATACTGTTATATGGCTGTATTCAGTAGTTCTTTCCTGAAGATTAAGGAGACTGGAATATGAGGATAAATATTTAGCTGATCGAAGTGTTACTGTGTCTGTTCGAATACATGATTCCCCTCGATGTACACAGAGCGTGACACCATCGTTACCTTCCCTGTTGAGAAAGCTGAGCTGTGCAGGGGTGGTTTGCTTGGAATTTCCGGTTTAAACAGCTTTCTTTGTCAGGGCAGCGTTTTAAAAAGGCTGGGTGTACCATTGTAGACCGACCTTGTCACAACTTGCTAAGATGTGAATATACGTTATCATGGTCATAATCTACCGTGAATATGAACATATATATAATAATAATATATAATGTTTTGTATGAACATCTGACCATTGGCTGTATACATCATACTCTCGACCAGTTTCTCGTTTCCAAGAATTCAAGAAAATCTATTCTCATTCTTGCAAAAACTGAAACCAGTGCTGATAGAATGATACACCTGACTAACTGCTACACAGGCTTTGTCAGATTTTAATCAGATAGATACAGGTTTCAACAGGAGAAAAAGAATATTTTGTGTTTGTCGTACCTTCTTGGCACCATTTGCATCGTATTGGTAATACCATTTCGGGTAGCCTCCCTCCAAGTGTATCTCAGGAGTAAAACAGTGGAATCTGCTCCTCCCGAGGGCGTCTGTTGTGTTGACCGTCCTCACCCCCAGGTTCTCCATACATCTGCCAAACTCTGCATCTTCTGAACCACCATCAGGATGGCACAGTTTGGGATCGTGTCCCTTCTCCCCATATCGCCTCAGTGCCTGCTTACTCAGCACATATCCCCCTCCGCCGCTATTGTACCCTTGTTTGACAATTGTCTTAAAATGATGGCCAAAAAATACAGGTTCGGATTTGTTTTGGGACGTCAGAAAGTATCGGAGATTTTCTAAAATAACATATGTATCATCGTCAGCCTTCATGAACCAGTCAGCATCATCAAAGTGGTTTTCGTAGATGTAGCGGAAAGCATGCATCGTTTTGGCCGTCAGATGCCTTCGGCCTTCCGACACGTTTAATCCGATTGTAGGGAACTTTGGATCTGTCACAGAGCTCATGAAGAGGACTTTGTTGCAGCGCCTACTCCACGTGTCACGAACTACACGTGTTTTAACATCCAGGTTCTTTGGTGTCGTCATAATCCAGCAGAGTACCCGCTCCTTCTGATATAGAGCCTTGGATATGGCATCAGTGTCTGTTTAAATAAAGCAGGAATCAGTTACATCGACAGGGTTTGAATTATTGCAACTATGCAAAGACGAGGAAGGAATTAGAGAGAAGCTTGAAACGTGTGAATGGAGTGGAGTGAAAACGTTTTACGCCACACGTAGCGATATTATGGCAAGACTACTATGGTGAGACTAGAAATTGGTTTCTCACATAGTGAAATTTGGGGAAACATGTATTTTGCATAGAGAGTGAACGTTGAAGTAAAACATAAGGTCTCGTCATATATCTAAGACGAAAAGGGTCACCACATGATAGATGTACCAGGTGTTACCAGATCCAGAAACAAATGGCGTCCTGCACGTGTTCCTACCGTGTTAGGATTAGTTGGTCTTTAGCAATCAACTTCTTGGTGTGTCAGCTGTTTTGTGACTTCATGGAATTAATAAAGTGGTAAATATACTTGGCCTGCGTTGTTTCAGGGTTTCATTCATAGCATATACATAGCGCGCAATTATTGAATTGAAACATATTTTATCCATTCAAGAAAAGTATTGGGCACAAGTTATTCAACTTAGAAAAGCCCTCTCCTAATAATTACACAATTCATCTTACAACAATGTACATAAGTGGCAGACATAGGCTAGGATATGTACAACAGATGATGAGAAAAAGTTTTGTTTGAGAAATATAGATATGTACATATCTGAAAACATTCTGGTTTCCAATCATTGAGAGACCTGCATTGCCATGTATGATAAGATTTATACCAATAAGTGTTCTATTGTTAGCAATATTTTATAAAGATTTTTACAGTTTATGTCTTTGTATAGCATACAACGGACATTCAAGGAAGTAATGAAAAACAATCTTACATGCATGGTCACATTGACATGATGCGTCATTGTTTTACATTTATTCTAAATAAATCATAATTAAATGTACTCGTCATATATCTTAATCTAATATGCAACTTCCTTATTCCATATGAATAATATATAGCTGCGCATTTTTCTTTCACGCGGATATAAGATTTAAATCATGCTCTCCGTAAATTTCACAGTGGTGTGAAACAGACCTACTCACTGATTGAAAGACTTTAATGCCAACTAAAACTAACCTTTATGAAGATGCAAATCCTCAAATTTTATATTTCCAGACATGTATTGTCCCAGTGAGTCCTGGAATTCTTCGCGGGAGTCCTTCAATAAATTCAGCACCTCCCTTGAATGAACATCTTGTGAACTGACAGTGTTCACTATTGACTCAAAGCGGTATTGTTGTTTGTGAAAGTACCCAACAAAAATAGTCGTCAAAGTCAAGCAAACTATCACAGCCGAAGATAGTTTTGCAACAGAACTGAACGTTGCCATTCCTTACAACAAGTGTGTCCGAATCATATAACTTGTCTTCTTTGAGCGTACGTATACCTCAGCATGTAACAGATGTACGGCGAAAACCATCTTGTATAAAGGCGTATGAAGATTACAAAATCTATATGACTGTTCTGCCGCCCACAATCACATGAGAACCACATCATCGTGGATTACCATATATAACAATTGTTCGGTAATATAACTGAAATATATTACCAGAAATGATTCGCGAGCGTGCATCATCAGTGACGCAATGAGGTAATTTGTAACACATTGCCTGGAGATCCACTTTTGCACATAATTCACAATTGTGAGTTTAAAATATATCCTGACATGATCTTTATCATTATCACAGCTAATTATTAATAATGCAATATCATCTTTGTCTTTATATTAGAACTGGGCACTTAATCTCACTGGATGATATCTGCTTGGTAACTATTCTATAACAGCGTTTAATCCTCTTCCAATATCTAAAAAGCATTTTGATACCTTAAAATATTTGAATGATAAACGTGTTTACAATTTGTACGGACTGAAAGATTTTAAATTAAGAGTTTCAAGGTACACCGATACGATATTCAGATGATCAAAAACATATTGTGTCTGTTCAAAGTTGTTTGGGTTGGGCTTTATTATAATTATATTTATTAATTACGGAATTAATTGAAGACTGTAACACAACGTACGACATTCCATGACTAACGCTTAATTTAATGGAAAGTGATTAAATTGCCCCAAAATTTGCTATATGGATTGTAAATCTACGTCAAAAGTGAATTCCTCTTATTGATGCTTGGAAGTGACGGGGTAAATGAGAAATTAACTTCATTCCACAGTTTTCATGAAAATGTCGTGAGACTTTGGAGACTTTGGGATGTTGAGAACCTGACAAGTGATATATTTGTCATAACGTGTTTACAAAATTCCCAGCTCCTGTTGTACACATTAACACATTTTCAGAAAGTACAAGCGGTGTTCTCTTTTGAAAATGACTATTAATAATTCAGTATGACAGGGGATATTGGAGCAAATTGTTGTCATTTATTTCTAGTTAAGGGAATAGTAGAAAGTTTAAATTGAATTTGAATGGCAGTGTGTAGCTTCATAAACTGTTAATGATAAATGAGATGTCTGATAACTGTGTCTACCATACTTTGTTCATTCTTGAAAAACCGATTTCTTGCCGTTTGGAACAATTCTGGTATTGATGTAAACGCGCTGAATTCCAAATATTCCTAGATAATATACTTCCCATCAAACGTTTAGACTCACTAGTGTAAATATAGCCCCTTACTGCAGTCAACTGTTCTAAACTAAATTTTGCAAAATATTCCATACTGTTTAATGGTACTGTTTACACATGAACAAAAACAAAACAAATTCGTACAGTTGCAAAGATTATTGTCCTGAGTTCAACAAATGATAAAACTCAGTGAAAATTGGCGAATTCTTAACCAAACTTTACACCAAACGCACTGTTCACATGCATAATATTTGGACATGCTTTTCAACAATTTGATGCATGATCCTCGTGCAATTAATTTGCATAAGGTTTGCAGTTGGTTCCCCGAAGTTAGTGGTGAAATCAATCTTCGATGTAACCACACACACACACACGCACGCACGCACACATATAGTGAGTGTTTTCAGTGGGTCTAAACATTTGATGGGGAGTATATTTTGGTGAACAGTTTGCTTGTACTGTAACTTTCACACACATATGCAGGTTTAAGTTTTCATCATATTCAATGATATACACAAAGGACTTACACATAACATTGTCATGACACTATCAACATCGATATTCGCAAGCGGTATGACTTGTCTAGATATTCTAAAATCCATACAGCACTTTCACCTCATGCGTTTTACAGCATGGTATTGTTATATCCAGAACTGAGAGAAGAATTGCAATATGTAATAAGGATTGGATCCGGAAGCAAACTATCAAAAGAATGTAAAAAATGTAATACATTCGCTAACGATTTCTATCACCATGTTGTGCTAAACTGTGCATCTCTACTTTCAGAGAGAGATGTATTTTTCTCAACTCTAATCGATAATCTTGATATTGACATGTATATCAATATAGAGATGATGGAAGAGCATGACATGCTGGCATTCTTTCTTGGGGCCAATAACAATGATATTGATGAAATAACAAGGCATTTCACTATTTTAGAATTCTCAAAGTATTTGTATAAACTAAAAGATATCCTCAATTACCTGTGGTAATAATCTAGCCAATACCTGACTGCTAATAACCTGTATATATTTGGGGAAATGTTCCCATATTCTATGTATGTTTATGTATATATATATTTGTGTGTGTGTGTATGTTTGTTGAGTATTCTGTTAATTATATAATTATATAACCATGATGTTTTGAGGATCTTCGGACCTATCTGGAGGAAATAAAGACATTCATTCATTCATTCATTCATTCATTCATTCATTCCACCCGATCCCGTTAGTTCCGTCATACGACCACGTGGGTTGCTGAAGAGCGATTTTGACCCAGATTGTTTCATTAGGCCGACATATTTGTGTAGCCTGTGAGAACGGTTCATGGATATATGCATGGTCAGTCTCATGATATGGATTATAGGTCATTCCATATGTAATTACAAACAACACAATGTATTTCGCCAATATCAACGGTTATATCAAGTTGGTATAGACATTCCAGACGTGCTAGATGCATTAGAAATAGGATTATAGAACATGGCATTCGTATATATATATCGGCAGACCTCGTCCAGATCAACACCGCCAGGCCGGTAGTCGTCAAATGCATTGTTCCAATAGAAATTATGAAGTCACCAGCTGTGATCAGCACAAATGTAGGTACAGCTTCTGCTTGCCCAGATCTATATACGTGTCCTGCAAACAGCACAGTGACAAATATATCCAGCGCTATAACTAATTGTAAGACACTGAATGTAATGGATTGGTATGGTTAGAAAGATTCACTTTTTCCCAAACCCGTCAAGATCCGGGATAGAATTGACCTTCAGTAATGCATGCTTGTCGTAAGAGGTGACTAACGGGATCGGGTGGTCAGACTCGCTGACTTGTTTTACACATGTCATCGTATCCCAATTGCGTAGATCAATACTTATGCTGCTGATCACTGGGTTTTCTGGTCCAGACTCCAGTATTTACAGACCACCGCAATATTGCTGGAATATTGCTGAGTGCGGGGTAAAACTAAACAGAGACACCACAAACAACTATGGTTACTCTGAATTCCAATTCCCTGTTTCATAAGAAAATGGTATTTACAAGTTAAATTTAATTTTAAACTCTTAAAACTTATTCAGTGTAGTTTTATAACGCACAATGTGATTGATATAATATCAAGTCCGTACCAGACCGCCAAACTTCTCTAGCGGCCGAGCCTCGTTTTGAGATTTCCACGATTTCCAGATTTCCTTTTGTCAGAGCACGCTGTACGACAGAGCACGCTGCACGACGTGTTTGCAAGGACTAGAAGGAGCGTAGTGTTGCAATATACAAGTGGTTAGATGTATCAAATAATACTGATTAATATTTATGTATCAAACTGAATGAGTTGATCTCAAAATTCTGGACTGGATATTGTACTAAGTTGCGCAACAGGACTGAACCCAATCAGCAGGAAGCGAGATTGTTGTGTAATCAATGTTTTGACTTGTAGGGTTTTAAATGCATTTCCCTCTTTGTACGAAGAACATTCGATCTGCATCGTTCGGACCTTACACATGCGAAGTCTGTCGCGTGGTCCTAGAACCTCAACATTTTCTCTTCCAACCAACCCTTTCTCCAGTGCAAAAATAAAAAATGAAGCAAGTCCAGACTCCCACTGGAAATGACCTATTTTTATGTGTACCATAAGCTCCCGGACTTTTCTGGTTTTTTACCAGTGGTGTCGTGCTGTGTGGTCCTGTGCATAGAGTCCAGGGCACTAATCACTTGAAGTTAAGCAACGTTGATCGCGTACAGGACTTCAGTCCTGCCCAACGACGAAGCACACGTGACACATGAGGTCTCACCTTAGGCAAGTTGGTATGTTCATGAATTGCCTCTGTTCATCCAGCAGTGAATGGGTACCCGGTTTGATAAGTCGGTGTCCTCCCAAAAGTTAGACGCGTTAAAACAACAAAGGTTATGGTTGGTTGCACTGAGGTACACTACACTGTTACCTTCGTCACAAAGCCATTTGGGACCGCCTCCGTGGAGTAGTGGTTAGAGCGTCCGCCTGGAGAGCGGAAGGTCGCAGGTTCGATCCCCGACCGCGTCATACCAAAAGACGTTAAAATATGGTACTTGTTGGTCCCTGACTGGCGCTCGGCATTAATGGGTAAAACAAGGACTGATTGGCTCGGAGTCAGTATAATGTGTCTGAGTGGTGAATTCATGCTTCACTGCGGCATGGTATCTCAGTGGGCTAGCATTATAAAATCAGCTTAAGTCTGGGCTAGTACAATAAGCCGCACATACACATACACACGCATGCACGTCGTCATATGAGCGAAATATTCTCAAGCACGACGTTAAAACCAATTTCACCTCACCTATAAGCCATATGGTTGTTAATATTCTAGTGCCTCACAGAGTTATTCGGGGTATTATTCGTTTGCGCTTTGAGCATGCACAAGCGCGTGGAAACAGGCGCTTTATCAATAGCCAATATTAATACTATTTGCCTTTGCGTGTGTTTGTAACGAACGAGTACCACATATAAGGCAAAATGTGCTAATCTTCTTCGAAAACACACATTACAGTGGTTATTTAACAGCAATTCATGTTTTAGTAGAATGGTACAACAGCCAATGCTATTAGCTGAGATTTCATTTGACCACTGAAGACCTATTATTGCTCTGCTTAACGTAATTTGTTAATCATATATCTTGTACCACAGGTACACTGACGTGGAAAGATAAAATATTCTTTATTTGTATTGTATAAATTGAACAAACCTATTGGTTAGGAGGAACAGAGTCAGTATTGTTTGAGCCCGTGAAGATCCGGGTTAGAATTGGTCTTCAGCAACCTATGCTTGTCGTAAGCGGGATCGGGTGGTCAGACTCGCGTGCTTGGTTGACAAATGTCATCTCATCCCAACTGCGTAGATCGATGCTCATGTGGTTGATCACTGAATTGTCTAGTCCAGACCGTCCCCTGAATGCAGGAATCACGTGTTCAAGAACAGCACTGTCGCATACTGTAATTGTTGTCGTCAGTTAACACCGATAACAGAAGAGAGAGCAACAGCATATAGCAAAACCTAAACACCTATCAAACCCAACTATCAAACCCAACTGAAAACGGACAGATAACAATCTATGGTGTATGTTCCAACACCGTTATCAAGCAAATGATCATCGCTTGCTTGATAACGGTGCTGGAACCGACATCTAAACGTCGGTCTCTTTGTAATAGTGAGTGAGTGAGTGAGTATGGCTTTACGCCGCTTTTAGCAATATTCCTGCAATATCACGGTGGGGAACACCAGAAATGGGCTTCACACATTGTGCCCATGTGGGGATTCGAACCCGGGCCTTCGGCGTGACGAGCGGACGCTTTAACCACTAGGCTACCCCACCGCCCCCTCTTTGTAATATGGAGTTGATCATTCATAGTTTCTTATCCTTCCTCACTGGTCCAACTTCTAAATGGTTCTCAGAGACGCTAACTGATAAACGGGTTGAAGGGAAGAGATTAAGCTGGGGATCTAATGGAAACATGTCCGCTTGCATAACAATGCTTATCTTAGCCAGGCCCTCGTCGGTCATGTTAGCGTTGATGTCAAAGGCTTTTGAGAAAATAACACAATGTGAAAGTATTTCACAAAGTGGAAAATTATGTGATCATCTTGTGTTTGTACTGGTAATATGAACATAATAAGTGTACTATTAGATACCCTTGACATCCGGAATCATGCATAAGTTTCTAAGGTATGAAAACATTTGAAAATGTACAACCTTACAAGTGTTGCTCCACCTGAGGAGGGGCGGTGGGGTAGCCTTGTTGTTAAGGCGTTCGCTCGTTACGACGAATACCCGGGTTCGATTCCCCACATGGGCCCAATGTGTGAAGCCCATTTCTGGTGTTACCCGCCGTGATATTGCTGAAATATTGCTAAAATCGGTGTAAAACTAAAATCACTCACTCACTTCACTTAAAGAAATAATCATATTTCCGACCCTAGTACAGTTAGTAAAGATTCGGAAATTACAATTAAGAGGAATGTATTGGCGATACTGTGTGATAAAGCATTTCCTGAGGTGTCAACTTTTGAGTTAATGCTTGGAAATGTCTGCAAATTCGGTCATAGCATACATGAACGATATACGACGAGCATATGTTTCAATGCCGCAGCTTCATATATAAGATAAGCGCCAAAAGTTAAAAAAATATGGGGCAAGGAGGAAGTCTTGTGCATAGAACTCGCCTTCTTGCCCGCTGAAGTAAGGATTGGAAGGCGCACAATCACAGGTGTTACCTTTCACAAGTATATTTCATACATTTTTGTACTGAACCATCTTAGCGTCCTTTTCCTTTGACTATAAACGTTCATGGCAAAGCTATGATTTATTACACAACAGTAGGGGTAAAGCAAACTTTATTTCCTAACTACAAATTCAAATGAGTCTCACCATCTCACCGTCTACAGATACTCCCGTGCTATGTAATCGTACAGAGGTGTAGGAATAAACGCTTTAAGACGAGCAAGAACCTGAAAATAACAATGAAATAAGTTAGTTGAAACACGATCACCAATTAACGGTAATGACAATCAACAAGGCAAACAGTTCTTGACGCCTGTAAGACAGCGACCAATGACTTTGATGGATGTGGAGCTAGCGATTATTGACCGTACAACATGCAGGACTCGCACTTGATAGCCACACTAGAATTAGCATTGGATCCTTGTCTAACATAAGAATACAATACATTAATTCATTCTCATAAGCATTTGGGTTTTCTTCAGGGCATTCAAAAGTATCAACAGTAACAGATAACGTTGAAATATTTATCAAATGACTCTAATGCATATACTGCTAATGATCGTACCACTAATGGTGGCTGCGAAAAACAGGGCGGTGAGGTAGCCTAGTGGTTAAAACGTTCGCTCCTCACGCCGAAGACCCGGGTTCGATTCAACACATGGCTACAATGTGTGGAGCCCATTTCTGGTTTCGTCGCCGTGATATTGCTGGAATATTGCTAAAAGGGACGTTAAACCAAACTCACTCGCTATAAAAACAGATTATTGGTGTTATGACATCCGCAAACAACGTGATGAAGACTAAACCCCTTACGCAGTAGATATCAAATAGTGAGTTTCCTCCATCTATCAGATATCGATGACGGGGTGTTGCCGCTAACACCGCATCCTCCATGCAGTCAAGGACAGGGGTCAGGTCTTTGCGTCCGAGTCTGGCTGCAGCAATCAGTTTTGTGTAGCAATCCTCCAGGTATTGTCTGCCGTAGACCTCTCTGACGTCATCACTTGCCTCACGCCACATCCTATCGTAGTTCTTTCGATGGGTTTCCATCTGTTAAAGCAATGAACATTGTGTCAAATGCATAGTATAAAAGCGTAAAACACTGACGTAAAACACTGAGAATTGAGTCGATAGTGTAAAAGGGTTTACTGAAATAGACATAAAGCAATGAGAATTGTGTCGATAGTGTGAAAGGGTTTACTGACGTCATATATATAATACTGTGTGAGTGAGTATGGTTTTGAGCCGCTTTTAGCAATATTGCAGCAATATCACGGCGGGGGACACGAGAAATGGGCTTCACACATTGTACCCATGTGAGGAATCGAATCCGAGTATTCGGTGTTACGAGCCAACGACTTAACCACAAGGCTACCCTACCGCCCCTGTACAACAGTGAGGATAGTGTCGATATTGTGAAATAGTTCACTGTTAAAACATAAGACACTGAGGATAGTGTCGATATTGTGAAAGGGTTTACTGAGTTCAGACACGAAACACTGAGAATTGTGTCGATATTGTGAAAGGGTTTACTGAGTTCAGACACGAAACACTGAGAATTGTGTCGATATTGTGAAAGGGTTTACTCAGTTCAAACACGAAACACTGAGAATTGTGTCGATATTGTGAAAGGGTTTACTAAGTTCAAACACGAAACACTAAGAATTGTGTCGATATTGTGAAAGGGTTTACTGAGTTCAGACACGAAACACTGAGAATTGTGTTGATATTGTGAAAGGGTTTACTGAGTTCAGACACGAAACACTGAGAATTGTGTCGATATTGTGAAAGGGTTTACTGAGTTCAGACACGAAACATTGAGAATTGTGTCGATATTGTGAAAGGGTTTAATGAGTTCAGACACGAAACACTGAGAATTGTGTCGATATTGTGAAAGGGTTTACTGAGTTCAAACACGAAACACTAAGAAATGTGTCGATATTGTGAAAGGGTTTACTGAGTTCAGACACGAAACACTGAGAATTGTGTCGATATTGTGAAAGGGTTTACTCAGTTCAGACACGAAACACTGAGACTTGTGTTGATATTGTGAAAGGGTTTACTGAGTTCAGACACGAAACACTGAGAATTGTGTCGATATTGTGAAAGGGTTTATTGAGTTCAGACACGAAACACTGAGAATTGTGTCAATATTGTGAAAGGGTTTACTGAGTTCAGACACGAAACACTGAGAATTGTGTCGATATTGTGAAAGGGTTTACTGAGTTCAAACACGAAACACTGAGAATTGTGTCGATATTGTGAAAGGGTTTACTGAGTTCAGACACGAAACACTGAGAATTGCGTCGATATTGTGAAAGGGTTTACTGAGTTCAGACACGAAACACTGAGAATAGTGTCGATATTGTGAAAGGGTTTACTGAGTTCAAACACGAAACACTGAGAATTGTGTTGATATTGTGAAAGGGTTTACTGAGTTCAAACACGAAACACTGAGAATTGTGTCGATATTGTGAAAGGGTTTACTGAGTTCAGACACGAAACACTGAGAATTGCGTCGATATTGTGAAAGGGTTTACTGAGTTCAGACACGAAACACTGAGAATAGTGTCGATATTGTGAAAGGGTTTACTGAGTTCAGACACGAAACACTGAGAATTGTGTCGATATTGTGAAAGGGTTTACTCAGTTCAAACACGAAACACTGAGAATTGTGTCGATATTGTGAAAGGGTTTACTCAGTTCAAACACGAAACACTAAGAATTGTGTCGATATTGTGAAAGGGTTTACTGAGTTCAGACACGAAACACTGAGAATTGTGTTGATATTGTGAAAGGGTTTACTGAGTTCAGACACGAAACACTGAGAATTGTGTCGATATTGTGAAAAGGTTTACTGAGTTCAAACGCGAAACATTGAGAATTGTGTCGATATTGTGAAAGGGTTTACTGAGTTCAGACACGAAACACTGAGAATTGTGTCGATATTGTGAAAGGGTTTACTCAGTTCAGACACGAAACACTGAGAATTGTGTTGATATTGTGAAAGGGTTTACTGAGTTCAGACACGAAACACTGAGAATTGTGTCGATATTGTGAAAGGGTTTATTGAGTTCAGACACGAAACACTGAGAATTGTGTCAATATTGTGAAAGGGTTTACTGAGTTCAGACACGAAACACTGAGAATTGTGTCGATATTGTGAAAGGGTTTATTGAGTTCAAACACGAAACACTGAGAATTGTGTCGATATTGTGAAAGGGTTTACTGAGTTCAAACACGAAACACTGAGAATTGTGTCGATATTGTGAAAGAGTTTACTGAGTTCAGACACGAAACACTGAGAATTGTGTCGATATTGTGAAAGGGTTTACTGAGTTCAAACACAGTCTAAACACTGAGAATTGTGTCGATATTGTGAAAGGGTTTACTGAGTTCAGACACGAAACACTGAGAATTGCGTCGATATTGTGAAAGGGTTTACTGAGTTCAGACACGAAACACTGAGAATAGTGTCGATATTGTGAAAGGGTTTACTGAGTTCAGACACGAAACACTGAGAATAGTGTCGATATTGTGAAAGGGTTTACTCAGTTCAAACACGAAACACTAAGAAATGTGTCGATATTGTGAAAGGGTTTACTGAGTTCAAACACGAAAACTGAGAATTGTGTCGATATTGTGAAAGGGTTTACTCAGTTCAAACACGAAACACTGAGAAATGTGTCGATATTGTGAAATGGTTTACTGAGTTCAGACACGAAACGTTGAGAAATGTGTCGATATTGTGAAAGGGTTTACTGAGTTCAAACACGAAACACTGAGAATTGTGTCGATATTGTGAAAGGGTTTACTGAGTTCAGACACGAAACACTGAGAATTGCGTCGATATTGTGAAAGGGTTTACTGAGTTCAGACACGAAACACTGAGAATAGTGTCGATATTGTGAAAGGGTTTACTGAGTTCAGACACGAAACACTGAGAATTGTGTCGATATTGTGAAAGGGTTTACTGAGTTCAAACACGAAACACTGAGAAATGTGTCGATATTGTGAAAGGGTTTACTGAGTTCAAACACGAAAACTGAGAATTGTGTCGATATTGTGAAAGGGTTTACTCAGTTCAAACACGAAACACTGAGAATTGTGTCGATATTGTGAAAGGGTTTACTCAGTTCAAACACGAAACACTAAGAATTGTGTCGATATTGTGAAAGGGTTTACTGAGTTCAGACACGAAACACTGAGAATTGTGTTGATATTGTGAAAGGGTTTACTGAGTTCAGACACGAAACACTGAGAATTGTGTCGATATTGTGAAAAGGTTTACTGAGTTCAGACACGAAACATTGAGAATTGTGTCGATATTGTGAAAGGGTTTACTGAGTTCAGACACGAAACACTGAGAATTGTGTCGATATTGTGAAAGGGTTTACTGAGTTCAAACACGAAACACTAAGAAATGTGTCGATATTGTGAAAGGGTTTACTGAGTTCAGACACGAAACACTGAGAATTGTGTCGATATTGTGAAAGTGTTTACTGAGTTCAGACACGAAACACTGAGAATTGTGTCGATATTGTGAAAGGGTTTACTGAGTTCAGACACGAAACACTGAGAATTGTGTTGATATTGTGAAAGGGTTTACTGAGTTCAGACACGAAACACTGAGAATTGTGTCGATATTGTGAAAGGGTTTATTGAGTTCAGACACGAAACACTGAGAATTGTGTCGATATTGTGAAAGGGTTTATTGAGTTCAAACACGAAACACTGAGAATTGTGTCGATATTGTGAAAGGGTTTACTGAGTTCAAACACGAAACACTGAGAATTGTGTCGATATTGTGAAAGTGTTTACTGAGTTCAGACACGAAACACTGAGAATTGTGTCGATATTGTGAAAGGGTTTACTCAGTTCACACACGAAACACTGAGAATTGTGTCGATATTGTGAAAGGGTTTACTGAGTTCAGACACGAAACACTGAGAATTGTGTCGATATTGTGAAAGGGTTTACTGAGTTCAGACACGAAACACTGAGAATAGTGTCGATATTGTGAAAGGGTTTACTGAATTCAGACACGAAACACTGAGAATTGTGTCGATATTGTGAAAGGGTTTACTCAGTTCAAACACGAAACACTAAGAAATGTGTCGATATTGTGAAAGGGTTTACTCAGTTCAAACACGAAAACTGAGAATTCTGTCGATATTGTGAAAGGGTTTACTCAGTTCAAACACGAAACACTGAGAAATGTGTTGATATTGTGAAATGGTTTACTGAGTTCAGACACGAAACGTTGAGAAATGTGTCGATATTGTGAAAGGGTTTACTCAGTTCAAACACGAAACACAAAGAAATGTTTCGATATTGTGAAAGGGTTTACTGAGTTCAGACACGAAACGTTGAGAAATGTGTCGATATTGTGAAAGGGTTTACTGAGTTCAGACACGAAACACTGAGAATTGTGTCGATATTGTAAAAGTGTTTGGCTCAATTCAGACATACAGCAGTGAGATTTGTGTCGATAGAATAAAAGGTTTTACTCAGTTCATACATAAAACACTAGAAATTGGTTACAGTCGATAGGTGTATGTTCACTGGTTACGTCGGAGGCCCCAGTTCGATTCTCCACACTGCGTGAAGCCCATCTCAGGTGTTCCCCACCGTGATGTTTTGGAATATTGCCAAAAGAGGTTAATATCATTACTCACTCACACTACCTGTACAGCTCACATTTCCCAACATCCCCGTTCCTCCGCCATAGTTTCCAGGTTCTATAATGGACACTTTGATTCCGAACCGTGCCATTTCCATTCGGAGCGAATCTGAAAACGCCTCTCCTGCGAATTTACTGATGTTATAAGCAGCACAGTGGGTTGTGCAGACTAGTCCCTGGACGCTCGTCACGTTCACAATTCGACCTGCAACGAACAGACATTTTGGACTGAAACAGCGGTGAATAAAGTTATCAGACTCTTCGATTTCGCAGCACCGTCGGAGTAGGAAGGTAGAGTTATCTCCCTTATGTATACTGTTGAATGAGCATGAAACCTATTTTACACTTCGGTATCAGTGTTGAAGCGCCCACTGCCAATAAAGAGGGAGAGACACAAAAAGAGACATTTTTATTTTTGTGTGTGTCTTGGGGAGAATGTGATGACAGCGAATGTTGTGTTACTAGTTTCAAGGCGTAGTTTCCTGTTGTTTGTTTAATGTGATTGGTTCGAGACTGCACACTGAGTGAGTGACTGAGTGAGTTTAGTTTTACGCCGCTTTTAGCAATATTCCAGCAATATCACGGCGGGGGACACCAGAAATGGGCTTCACACATTGCACCCATGTGGGGATCGAACCCTGGTCTTCGGCGTGACGAGCCAACGCTTTAACCACTACGCTACCCCACCGCCCCTGACTGCACACTGACGGGAAAATGCAGAGAAAAAGGTTAATCAGGTAGGGGAATGTTGGTTTGGTTGTTGTTTAACGTCGCGCTCAGCAATACTCCAGCTATATGGCGGCGGTCTGTATGTAACCGAGTCTGGACTAGACAATCCAGTGATCAACGCCATGAGCATCGACCAACGCAAGATGGATACAATGTCGTGTGTCAACCAAGTCAGCGAGCCTGACCACCCGATCCCGTTAGTCGCCACTTACGACAATCATTGGTCACGGGTTGGTTGGGGAAGGGTCCTCGGTTTCACGACAATCATCATTTGTACGCACAACGAAATCAACTAGAAGGGTGGTGGTACCAGCTTGTCACACTGAAGAGCTGCGCACAAGACCGATAGTGGAAAAGAATGCCCAACGAACGAGCTATCCAAGCGAGACGCTTGATATTACCTTTTCAGTTTGAAAAACACGGCGTCAACATAAAATATGTAATTAGTAGGAAACGTGACAGGCATTTGTACCCAATGTGATACAGAGGTGATCCCTGGCTTTAAACTCGTGAGGAGTCGAGTTTGCACTGTTATGTCATTGAATACGGAAAGAAAACCGTTGATGAACTGATTTCGGTTATTTACCCATCACTACAGTCCGTTTGATTTCATTTGATACCGATGAATTGCTCACTCACTAACACGAAATAGGTCTCAAATGAAATCAAACGGACTATATTCACTGGTGCAACACACTTAGTAAAACATTAATCTTTGCTTATTTTTGCATGATATAATTGGTTGAATGGAGAAAGAATTATGAAGTGAATTTGCAAATACTCAACCCCTAACATGTTTCAAATACTGCAAATTTGTGGGAAAGAAAACAAAAAAATATTGATGTTCAAGAAAAGATGTCTACGAAAGGCAAACTAAGAAACTCAAATAAGAAAATCATTCTTGTTCCTCTTACCATTTTCGTATTTTGTAATATACCTTGGCATTTTCTGATGAGAGGCAAAAAGGATTTGGTCACGCGCACCATGCCAAACATATTGACTTCCGCTGTGTGTTTGAAATCATCCATGCTGTAAAACTCTATGTCGCCAAGCGGCATGGTTCCAGCGTTGTTAACAAGCGCCCAAAGGCCTGGAATATAATAAAGGAGAAAACTGGAAAATTGCAATAACAAAATAAAGTCACCAGAAACATGTACCCCAGTTTTACTGCACAAATATTATTATTTATATTTTAATCGCGAAAACAGTTTCTGCTACCTCAGCTTTTTCATTAATATGCATATTCCGCTAGCGGTCACGTGACCTTTTACACTCATATGTACTACATCCATGTACATGCCCATGGCCTAAGATTTGCATAAAGACAGTGTGCCCTGTTGTCATATTTCTCCAATATTGCTAAATTCAACATGAGTGAATGAGTGAGTTTAATTTTACGCCGCACTCAGATATATTCCAGCTATATGGTGGCGGTCTGTAAATAATCGAGTCTGGACCAGACAATCCACTGATCAACAGCATGAGCATCGATCTGCACAAATGGGAACCGATGACAACCAAGTCGGCGAGCCTCGCAATTGGGAACCGATGACAACCAAGTCAGCGAGCATGACCACCCGATCTCGTTAGTCGCCTCTTACGACAAGCATGGATTACTGAAGGTTCATTCTAACGCGGACCTTCACGGGTCCTAAATTCAGCATGAATATTAATAAACACATTCGGAGTTTATGTATGCTTGTATACACACCTGCCTCGCCAACTATGCTTTGCACACGCGCCATACATTGTCCGACGCTGTTATCGGAAGTGACGTCAAGACACAGCACGCGCATGCGCTCAGATGAGACTCGTTTTAATTCAGTGGCTCCGGACCCTCGTTCTAACAGACACGTCGCTATAACGTTACATCCTCGTTCATCCAGACGTTGTGCCAGCTGATGACCAAAACCTAAAAGAACATTGAAGAAAATGAATTTGAAGTTGATGCCTAAAGAGAACAAATGTACGTTGCGTATCCGCAGCAAGGTTAGTTATAAAAATACAAAAATAGAATTATATCAGGAAAAATAACAATACCTGTGTATTTGAAGTACCAAAATGTCTTGCTTCCTGGGTGCTGTTATGTTATATGCATATCGTTGGAAAGGAAAGTACCGCTTTGTAAACTTAATGAAAACAACTACATGAATTCTATTTCGCCTGTTAAATAAGTTATCTCTTCTTGATGTAAGGCTGACATAGGAACAATGTACGTTGAGCACTTATCTAATTCAGCGTATCAGTACCTCCTAGACGTTCACGGAAGTTTCAGCACTATGGTTCGTGATTCGGAAGGATCCCATTGAAATATCTAGATGGGGCTCTGTACACTCCCTCTGGTAGCACATGGAGACATTGTTTAGTTCCTGGTTAACACAGGCTACTAGGTGCGTGACCACTCGTGTCATTAACTGACTGCATTCGTGAACGACTCGTGCTTTTCCGGGACCAGCCGAATAGCGACACGTGCCCCACAAGAGAAGTGAAAAACGTGAAAAGAAGTGTCCGTAATGATTCACGTATGTATCTTCTTGTGTCATAACTGTTGCAGATGCTATTTAAAACACATTGGATTTACACTGATAAACATTAAGGATGAACACAAATATTTTGGGATATAGTGTTAGTTACAAGACGGATGTAAAATCACAAAGTATTCTTGGCGGATTCTTTGGCCGGTCATACGCGCAGCCTGATTAGTTTGTCGTAATTTTCACAGAACATCCATGTCTTGGGGAACAAGTCATTGTGAAGGTTACGGAAAACGGCGAGTGGTGACGAATATGAAGACGATGTCAACTCGTGTCTTTCTCGTGGCCACTTTATTGACTAGTTTCTGGACAATCTTCGACTCTAAATTTAAAGGAAGCTAATGTGGAAAGTCTGTCCGACTGCAATTAACACCTACCGAGGTTCAAACATAAAACACAGAAAATGATAAAATACCCTTACCCTCTTACATAACTAGGTCAGTAAGAAGCATGGTCATGTTTACCCTTGCCTGATGGTGTATTTGCTATCCTAAATTCAATAGAATAATAGGTATGAATGATGATGCCCATGATGCCTTTACTGAATTTAAATCAAATTCATATTTAAGAAACAGGCACTATCAATCTGTAATTTCCTCATATGCCCAAAGATATTCATGCTTTGCACAGAATTCTGACCATTTGTTTGTGACAAGCGTTTTTAGAGACAGGTCACTTTAATGTATTGTCACTTTAAACATTATGTCAGTTATATTCCGACGTAGATTAATGGAATGTTTATAACCACTTGACTTGATACAATATATTTCTCGCCATCTCGAACCCCACATTCCCATCCTCATCAGTGCACATCCCTCTCCCTCATATGTGACAATACGGTCACGTAGACAACAGCAGCATCGTCACTGTCCTCACTGTGCTATCCGGTAAATATGCGCCTTCCATTTTATACATTTAGGTTATAATTTCATCCACAAAGTGGTAATATTATGTTGTTCTTACATGATACTTGTGTATATTCCATAAATGGCATGTAACATACAGTTTCGTTCACACATAGGCCATGATATGCTCAGCTGTCTTCCGTGTGATACACAAACTTAGACTTACAAAGACAGAAACACCCCTTGTGATGTGTTTGTCATAGACTGCTATCAATGACATACCTGAGAATGGAATCCCAATTTACGAAATACACTTTATGGTGATTTGTACATTTGTACTTACGTTTAATCTATATGTACTTTCACAGGTCCAGTTTCTAAGGTTAACATGACGCTTGGCTGGACTGTGAGAACAGGAATACGAAAATGTGTATTAACGTTGTGATGTACATCATTTTATCATCAACACTTGTTGAACGAATATAGCGTAGTTGATAAAGTATGAATATCGTGTTCGGTTTTCGGTATAGACCCTGACTTGTGTGACTCGGGGTTGGATAGGGTTGTTTAGGTGCTGTACTGAAAGAAGGGTTTATTTTGGGACGAAACAATAGAAATATATGAGTGGTCCTGCCATTGACCTTGACATTCACGAACCAGTTTTGTTTAGACAAGGCAGTTAAAAAACTTCATAGAAAGCCTCATCTGTACTTGGTGTTAACAAAATATATGATGACGTTCCTACAGAGAATACACATTTTAGAACACATTTTTATGTACATTTCAGAGATGTTTAATCCAATGGACAACAATTCGTCGTTTTTGAATACGACACCAACCGCCACGGCAGGAATCAATGAACCAAGAACCGACCTTGAAGCAAGGAGATACCTTCAAGATTTGGAAGCCAATAACCGAGCTGTCTTGCAACCAGCAATCTTCTTTACTGGACTCGTGGGTCCAATTTCCTTCTTCGGCAACATCACAGTTCTCATAGTGTACAGCAGACAGTTTAAAGAAAGCGCTACCAGAAGCTTCATCCTAACAGTGGCTCTGTTCGACTTCCTGAGCACGGCAATTGCTCTACCTGCTGAGATCCTTTCTTTGTTAAACAACGCAACATTTCCAAGTCCTCTGTTGTGTAAATGTTATGTATTCATGGAACAATTCTGCGCCACAGCGTCATCCGGAGCTCTGGTTGTGTTCGCTGGACACCGATTCAGAAAGATTTGTACTCCTTTAAAGAATCAGATGACTGTCACAACAGCTCGCAGTTTAAGACTATGTGTGTGTACGTTTGCTCTTGGCTTAACCTGGCCAGCTTTCGTTTTATATGGGGATCAGACTGCGAAGACACCGTTTGAGGGCGTTCTTGTCCATGGATGTGGCATACAGGATTATTTCAAAGATAGCATCTTTACAAAGATTTACAGATGTGTTTTCTTGGCTATGTTTACGCTGGGAGCAATTCCCATAGCTGTGTTATACCTTCTTGTTGCTCGGAAGCTACTGTTGCTTCGGCGGTGTCGATGCAAAGCTGTTCTCCCATATCAAAAGGTCATGCGCGAAATGATATCGACTGTGAAGCTGCGTTCGATATCTGAATCCAGCAATACATCGTGGAGAAGAGCCAGGATATCGGCAAGCACTCTGAGATATTCAACAAACCAGTCAAATATGTTCACCGTACCTAAACGTACAACCCTTATGATCGCAACAACGACAGTCGTCATCTACCTAAGTTTTCTACCTAACTTAATCTTACGTGTCATTGAACATTTCAGTGGGGATGTTTTGTTCAATCAAAGCGTCGCCACGCTCAGTGTCTACCATTTGTTTTTGAGATTTTATTATCTTCACTGTGCAGCTAATCCTATTATATACAGCACATTTAGCGTCAAATTCAGAGAGGAATTTCAAAAATTGTGTGGTATCACGCAGCGATGTTCGACAGCCAAGAACCCAACCACGAGACCTTTTATCAGGAGGTTTGACGACCAGGAAATGCACAGGCTTTCTGTTTTCCAATAATTCTGCTTGACAAAAAGGGGGAGGTACTTTGAATGGTGTGTTTTGTTCTGATAACGTATTCCAAATTCGTTAAACAGCCAACCGTTACAGCGATCTCTAGGACACGACTTTTATTTCCAAATGCCCCCTTTGCACGTAACGACTATCACATCCTACACATTCATATGGATTAACAAAATAACCTTCGCCCCACCTTAGGATAAAGGTGTAGTAACTAATCATACTTATAACAACTCTCGTGTGTTTATGGGGGTCTTAAGAGCGACTGAGTGAATAATGTTTGACGCCGCAAGTGATTGAATCCAGACAGACCAATCATATTATAAGCAACATCTCGGTCTCTCAGGTTAGTGAGTGAGTTTAGTTTTACGCCGCTTTTAGCAATATTCCAGCAATATCACGGCGGGGGACACTAGAAATAGGCTTCACACGTTGTGCCCATAAGAGGAATCGAACCCGGGTTTCGGGGAGACGAGGGAACGCCTTTACCACTAGGCTACCCCACAGCTCCCAGGTCATCAGGCAAGTCACCGAGCCGAACTACCCGTCTTAATGTCCTCTTACGACAATGGGTCTCTTCTACCCAGTGATACCAACATGATGTGCCTACACCAGTAATGAGTTTTTAGGGGGCAGTTTAAATTAATAAGATAAAGAATTTGAAAATGCATGAAGGACCTTTGGGAGATGTGAAAATGGTTTCACGCTGCTTTTAGCAATATTCCAATAATATCATATGTTACCTATGCACGAAATGGAGCATGGCCCCTCGGGACAAGCGAACACTTTAACCAACATTATACCCTACCGCCCAGATAACAGAAAGTGATTTTGTTGGATGGAGACATTTTGTAGAAAATTGTTTCATTATTAATATATATATATATATATATTACATTATAAATATATTCACAATCCATAGAATCTACAGTTATGTTTATAATATATTAGCGCTTTCAATTATTAGCTATTTTTAGATTACAGTGAGATTTTGTATATTATATCTGCTGTAAAATGTCTGGTTTTGATGCTATCTGTTTCCTACTTCCTACTTTCTACAGGGGAAGGAATGTAACTGAAGGAATACTACAAATGTTCTTCTATTACCATTAAAGTGTACTTATTCTGTGGCTATGATGCAGTTATTGCAGTTATGCAACATGTACAAAACACCCGTTTAGGGGTAATGGCTTTCCTCAGAATGTTGAGATCTGCTTGGTGCAGGTACGTGATCTTGTGATTCGAAAACAATAGCTTTCACGCCTTGGAGAGAAATAAATTTCTGAGCATGAGAAAAAATCCCTTGTAGGCGGCCACGAAGAAAACAGGTTGCACGTTGCTTACGAGTCAGTTAAAAATACTGATAAGCTCAAGTTTAACTCAGCTGAACCGAATTTTCAATTTGTTATATAGCCTATATTTTGCAAAAGGAGATTGAAAAATGTCGGTAATGTTAATTGGTTGTAGTATTATTATACCCCGGGGAATGTGTATTTGTTATGCATATATTTAACGTAACGCAACACTATATATTCACTATAATAATCCGCGTGATGCTTCTGCCACTGAAAGACCCGTGAAGATCCGGGGTAGAATTGGTCTTCAGTAACCCATGATTGTCGTAAGAGGTGACTAACGGGATCATGTTCTCATCCTCGCTGACTTGGTTGACACATTTCATAGTATCACAATTGCGTAGATCGATGATCATGATGTTGATCACTGGATTGTCTAGTCCAGACTCGATTATTTACAGACTGCCGCCATATAACTAGAATGGTGCGGCGTTAAACGACATCCCAAAGCCAAAACCGACATCTGTAACTGCCGTTCCCTGAAGCAAATACCATACATTACAGTATATTTGCAGTATCACAGTATATAGTATTGTGTCTCACAATATGAGCATGAGTACTAGTGAGTGAGTGAGTGTTCGACGCCACATTGATCAATATTCCAGTTATATCACGGCGTGTCGGCTTGGCGAAGGAGGACATCATGACCATTGCTGACGCGATGTACGTCTTAATGCTTTATCAGAACCCACGAGCGATGGTATGGCGCAAACTCTGGGTTCGAAATACAGTTATAGGTTCCTGGCATGCCAAAGGGACGCAAATCCGACGACAACACGGGCCAGGTAATCGTAGATTCTTTTGGCATGTATGGAAATCCCACGTATGAGATAATAAGGACATTTGTAATGCGCTGAATTCCGCACCACAGAGGGGCATGCTCAAAGCGCTAAGATACCATCTGATCATTATAAACCCGGATAACCCAAGCTGCTTGTGAGGCGCTAGAAGGTTAACAGTCTCGTAACAGTCACCGGGTACCCATTTTCTGCTGGGTGAACAGAGGCAATTTTGAACAAATTCACTTGTCTGTGGTCAGAACACATGTATCACATGTGCTTCGTTGTGGGGCAGGAATGAAGTCCTATGAACTCTCAGGAGTCAAGCTGTCACACACGGCCACCCACCCAAGGACTCTCCGTGCCCAATGTTGCTTGACTTCAACTGATTTGTGACCTGAGCTCTATGCACAGGACTACAGCCCAGCACAACTGCTTCTTTATGATGAATGTATTTACATACTTTCTGACAACTTAAATATAACAACACACACGACTGATGCGAAAAATGATATCAGTCGCACTTTGAAACTAAATACATTGTATGGCGTAGAATGAAACCATAAAATGAAATGAAACGGGATTTGCCAACTTGAAATTTCATCCACAAGTCTTTATGTGACATTATCAAACGCTGTAAACAAACGCGTTGTTCTAATAGCTGAAGGACAATCGCAATTAAGTGCCACTTAATTTTGACACAGATTGTACACATGAAAAGGAAACTTAAGCTCTCACCCGAGTCACATCCTGTTATCAGAACATATTTCCCAAGTGGCGACACTTGCTGGGCCAGTTTTTCCGTCTAATGGTGTAGAGGAGGAATACGGCGATCACGATACAACCAATGTAGAACATGTCACGTGACGACCTCACTTCCGGTCTCCCTTCAGCTGAAACTGAGACAGTATCTAATAAAGTTTCATGTTGACAGCGGAAAGGAAAGATGCCCGTTTATTTACTCTGTGGTCCCACTGCGTCTTTTTCATTACATAAGGCACTGTTAACAATCCCCAACCCTACTCCTCAAATTGTTTTGTTTGTACGGGAATATGGATAGCTGAGTATGGGCTATTTATGGATACGTTTACACACGCCCAACACTCGGCATGTTCCTACTTGCTATAAGTGTGGGCGTTTGGTTGACTATTCGTACTGATTTTGTTGTTCCAGTCATCGTATTTCTGCATATCCCTGCACATAATCATGTCTGTAACTGGCAAACTAGTGACCGATAATATGACGCCCAACGCTGTCGGGGTGCCATCACACGGAATCGACCAAGTACCGTAACTTATCACCCGGGTTAATTAAGCACTTCGTACGGCAATTTTATTCAAATAAGACATTTTACTCTCATACAATACCTCCAAGACCCGTGAACAATCCGGGTTACAACTGATCTTTAGTAACCCATGCTTGTCGTAAGAAGCTTCTACCGGTATCGGGCGGTCAGGATCGCTGACTTGGTTGACACATGTCATCGTATCCTTTGTATATATATGTTGAACAATATTCCAATATTGCTCTGTTGATAAATTGTGTTTTATGTTTCTTTGTGTTTTGTGTTTTAAGTTACGTGTGTCCGACAATTGTTCACAGGATAACGTATACATGCAGCAATGTAGGACGCCTCTCTGACAACTATGCATTCATACGTGTTTTGAATGTCAATGGGGTTCAGTGTATACGTGTATACATGTATGTTGTTGTTAGACATGCCAATTCATACGTGCCCATGCTTGTCGTATGAGGCGACTAACGGGATCGGGTGTACAGGCTCGCTCACTTTGTTTGAATAGAAAATGATTTAACAATGCCTAGGTATGTTTGACACATGTCATCGTATCACAATTGCTTAGATCGATGTTCATGATGTTTCTCACTGGATCGTCTGGTCCAGATTCGATTATGTACATATAGCTGGAATATTGCTGAGTGTGGCGTAAAACTAAACTCACTCGCTCACTCACCTCCCGGAGTGAAATTATGAATACGACTCCTCAGAATGTCGCACCAGGTGAACTATGTGATCATCTGATGTACATAACTAATTACTTTTGTTTAGATTTGGTCTTTAAAATTCAGACGTGCATATGAAGCAGTGGCATTACCCTTTTTGGGGTGTTGCATACATCCACTTATGAATCCAAATCAGTTTAGTAAGCCGTCATCTGATATGCTCACATTTCCGCAAACATTCATGTCGAGTTGAAGGTCAAAGAAACAGATGATAATGATTTTACACCGCTTTTACCAGTATCCGTACAAGTCAGAGAAACGAATTCAAACTCGTTAACCACATAGACAGACACATAGACACATACGTGTTTGTGAAACGAAGCCTAGGTCTTCTGTCTTACACATACAACATACTGATGAACAGGATACAACCTCTCCTTGTAATAATGCTGTGTAAGTTAATAGGCACGTGACATATGTTTAATGCTGCTTTGACCAGTATCGAGGATATGATGATGCGATATGCATGAAAAGGGCTAATCAGGTATTCGAACCCACGGCCACAAGTTCCTGGCACGCCTAAGGGATGCAACTCTACAAAACGGTTTATTGTTGGAATAGGCAAGTGTTGATTAACGTTAACACTTGCACATTTGAAGGATCTAGATAATAATCGTCAGATATTTCTTGCGCTGTGAAAGCACTACTTCCTCATTAACTCATCATAACAATAAAAAGGGTTGCATCCTCCCATGATCTAATCAAAAGATGACTACAAGGCAGTGCAGACCTTTAATTCGTTAACGCCAAGTGAAACACAGCGTGAAATAAATTCGACGCCAGAAAAGGTGAGGTTATTGTTAATGAGCTGTCATCGGCGTTAATAACTACCATCGTCACATCCTCTCCTCAATCAAATCATTACAATCCGTGTCAGTGGCTTCATTTCACATTCTAAATATTGTTGAGGAACAGGCTGAGCGTCGGGCATGTAAGTACATGTGTATCAATATTCTCAATATTTATTTTACCAAAACAACAGGTATTCTTATCCGTTTCTGAAAGAAGTTTGGTTTGTTAAATGTGTGTAGAAACTGTCCAGCAGTAGGTGTTGAAAGATAGTTGGGTATCAAGAAACGGTCATGTAATACGAATATTTGTCAAATGTCTGACGGCGCGCCTAATATACAACCGATGCGTGTTAATTGATCACGTTCAAACGAAGCACCGCGAGGGAATATTGTTTCACGCCAGCTATTGCAATATTCGAGTCAAGTCACTGCATGGCACATCACAAGTTGTCTTCAGTCATTGTACACATATGTTGAATGGAATTAGATAATTGAGTACACCCAATTTTTATGTTCTTCAATTATATGTATCCCAATTGAGTAGATTGATGCTTATGTTGTTGATCACTGGCTTGTCTGGTCTAGACTCGATTATTTACAGACTGGAATATTGCTGAATGCGGCGTAAAACTAAACTCACTCACAACACTTAATATATTTATATAACCTAACACAGGTGCATAGCTTATTGGTTAATTTCTCATTGTTTAGCATACATTGACACTGCATTGGATATTGAATAATTTACTGTCCTAGAGCAGTTTCCGGAACAATGTAGGCTTTTCTCCTGAAGCCATCGGTTTTCTCTCAGTGCTTCGAAATAAGAGTTTTTCTTGGTGAATATTCATCTGAACTATCAGACATTCGATGAATGTTGTCCAAACTGCAAAGTTTGTCCCTCACTCTATGAAGGCTAATACACCACGGGTCATTCTCACTTACCCAGCACCTTTTGTTTTAGGGTCCCAGTTCACTTGAGCGACATAATCCCCTACAACAAAAGGTGCGCTTTATATTTTGTTCCCTATGATATTTGGTCACCTGTGATATTTAGTCACTGTGTTGTATGATCCTGTAAACTTTGAAACCTTTTAATTTAAGGTATGACTGTGACAGAATATTGATCGAACACTTTTATTTTTACATGACACATATTAATAATTTACATTGCCTTATATTCATATTATATACATATACATATTATATTCATCTTATATACATCATCTTAAATACATCTTAAATACTCTCTTCTTAAACAGACCAGTTAAGGTCCGGGTTAGAATGAGCTTTCAGTAACCCATGCTTGTTGTATTAGGCGACTAACGGGATCGGGAGGTCAGGCTCGCTGACTTGGTTGACACATGTCATCGGTTCCCATTTGCGCAGATCGATGTTCATGGTCATGATCGATGCAATCACTGGATTGTCTGGTCCAGACTCGATTATTTACAGACCACTGCCATATAGATGGAATATTGCTCAGTGCGGCGTAAAACTAAACTCACTCACTCATCTTAAATACTCTTATATACATAATCTTAACTTCATCTTATATACATCATCTTATATACACATCAGTTCATACACCACACACATTAGTACCCAGTGAGATGGGATACACTATATGTGTACTCAGTCACAGACAAATCACCAGCTTGAAGTCTGGTCTTGAAGGTGGCAAGTTGACTGTCCACCTCAATGGGTGAGCTAGGCCCGTGAGCTAATCCTCCAGCTTCTGGGACCATATCTCACAGGGATGAACAGTATTTGCACACTCAAGCAACTGAACTCATACACAGGGAAGGTCAGTTTCTATGGAAAGTAGAAACACAGTACTTTACCTTATACCGTTGAGTCCCAGGTTCTGTTGGCTGAACTGATATCTATGGTAACTCTATCTAGTTATAGGAGATGACATGGGTCATGTGTCCAGAACATGGTTCAGTATCATTTATCTGACGTGCCGTGTCGAGTTTCTTGATTATAATGAACACCAAACACCCAATATGGATGCCAGAGTGAAATGGGGCTCCAGGATGTTTGTTGGGGAAGGTTAAAGTTGTTTGTTTGTTGTTTAACGCAGCACTCAGCAATTTTGCAGCTATATAGGGGCGGTCTGTAAATAATCGAGTCTTGGCTAGACAATCCAGTGATCAACAACATGAGCATCGATCTACGCAATGGAGATGTGTGCCAACCATGTATGATCCAGTGATCAACAACATGAGCATCGATCTACGCAATTGAGATGTGTGCCAACCATGTATGATCCAGTGATCATGTATGATCCAGTGATCAACAGCATGAGCATCGATCTACGCAATTGGGATACGATAACATGTGTCAACAAAGTCAGCGAGCCTGACCACCCGATTCCGTTAGTCGGCTCCTACGACAAGCATGGGTTGCTGAAGACAAATTCTAACCCGGATCTTCAATGGTGGGCGCGAATGAGTTAGGTAAACCTTTGGGAGAGTTTGGTTACACTGTCAGAGGATGAGGCTGTTCCATTCAGACTCTGGACCAGGTATATCATATGCAACCCCGTCAATAATACGTGGCACGTCTTGATGTTTCAAACTCACAACTAAATTGAAACAAACTACAACAGGTACTACTACCTCGTTGGAGTCCATGTTTCATAGTATCTTCCTACACCTGTGTATTTGTCGTCACTAACTTGATGCTCTGTTTATGAATCCATCACTGTGGTATAATTAGTGGAAGCACCAGCCGGATTGCCTGACAAAGGTTCCCATTTGGCATATCTAGGGTAATTATTCATTTTATGACTGATTTATTACTTGAAACATGATGTGATGAATGTACTACATGACGTGTAACATGCACATGGCAGCAATGGTCAGTTTAGCCACAACGCAATCACATTTCAAAGGATTAACCGATAATACTTTGTTTGCTTAGTCACTGCTATTTTGCACAATGGGTTGCTCAAAGGTATGTGTAATTGCACTAAAGCAACCGGATTATTTGATGAGTTGAAGCGTGTATACCAGGGTGCCGTTGTACAAAGCGATCTTAGCACTAAGGTGACCGTAACTCCCATACCTTAACACTGACTTAAGGTAGCCTTAGCGCTAAGGTTGTTTTGAACAACGGCACCCAGTCCCATAAACGGGATGTTATGTTCTGGTCAACTGCAGCTTCAAGACGCCGTGTGGCGATGTTTAGAATGGCAGAATAATATCATTCAATAAAAAATAGACATTGCATTTGTTACTATTGTGTCATCAAAATACCAAACCAACAATCTAATTATTTTCCCTATGTCTCTCTGTTTTAAGAGTAGCAATATCCTTATATAAACGACCATGAACTGACAAGCATGATCAACACACTTCTCAAGTAACTCGTTATTGGGATTATTATTCAATGACCACAGTTGCGGTTGGAAAAAATAGTCTTTCCAGGGAACCAGTATAAGAAACAGAATTACAAGATACCTATATTCGCTTAATTTATTACATCATTTAAATTATGTTATCAAGATCACACAAATATGTGGATTACATGAAATTTAGAAATGTGAGATGAATATAGTGTAAATAAATTACACATTATTGTTATTTCGTCCGTTTTAATGCGTGCTCTCAGACAAGCAGTATGAGCTGTTTTTCACTTTCCATGCAGCACAGAAATATACATATTGAGTTCGCCACTCTCGGTAATTGACATCTACAGTCACAAGAGTGTTGTGAAGGAACCTGCACGATTTGGTCATGAAAAAGTACGAAGTAACAAACGCTTTTCAAAACAAATTATAGGTTCTTGCATTTATTCTAATTACGAAAGATACTTTGTATTGTATCTAACAGGGATACCGTCTCATCAGGGATTCTATTTAAGCCGAAGCATCCTGTAATTTTGTATCAATTCATGCAGGATGTGAGATGAGTCCGGGACCATCCGGGGGTAACCTCTAGTGACCGTTTACGTTAGACTGTCGAACAAATGCAAGCCCATAACATAAAGGCACTAACCTGATGTCAGAGTATTTTTCTGTTGCAGTTTTCTGTTCATGCGACGATGGAGTCCAGAATTCTTCTTCTGGTTGTTCTGACGATCGGATGTCTCGGTGAAGGTATGTCATCAAACAAATCAAGAATGTATTGTTGTTAAATTTTATTATAATTTTCTTCATGTGACTAAACTCAAGAATGTATAGTTGCTAACTTTTGTTTTTCATTTTCTTGATATGATTAAATTATTCCAGTTTCTTTCAGTCTTAATATGGGCATGGGATAAAAGCTACGCATCTATTAATAGAATATACCTAGATTATAGACTGGTCTTAAAAACTGCACCCTTTATTCATTATCTGAAGAAACATATTCGTGTATGTGTGTATGTATGACTACACTTTCATCGTATGAAGATCCGGGTTAGAATAATTATTGGTCTGTAGAAGAATTGTCATAAGAGGTAATTAACACGGGGTAGGGTTAACAAGTTTGGTTCCTCGTCATTTTAGAACTTACATATGCGCATGTATGGTTTCCAGAGTAGCATTGTAGTATCGGCGTTATGAGACATATGAATTCACATCTCTTCTCAACAGTTGATGGCATATGGTGTTATCGATGTGTGTCCCTCACGAAGCCCAGCTGCACTGCTGGGACAGGTCTGCTCCTGATTAATTGTCCGGCTCACATTGAGCATTGTTCTACCTACGTGTCTTTCGCTCGCGACAACACAGGTAAGGTCACAGTTATTTTACGGTTACACCCCCATTCCAATGACCGTCGGAACCTCATCAGAAGTCCATCTGATCCCAATTTTGCGAAAATTTCTGCGTTCCGATGAGTTCCGGTGAGAATTCACCAGACATCCTTTGTTTTGGGTTCCCCTTTTTCCGTAACATCCGATGGAGATCCAACATTGATCGGGTTAATCGGATGAAAGACTGGTAGCGGCCTGATGTCTGTCCGCCATATTCATGGGCGGCATCCGACTACGGTCGGATTATAATTCGAGGGTGACCTGATACTAATCTGACACTTCCAACACTATCCCGACACCAATCCAACAAATCGGTTACTATTCGTGGGGTATTCGGACACTGACCCAATACTGGTCGGATTTGTCGCCAAAATCAGCAGTCGAGTATAAAAGCGGGCTGCACCTCCTGACGGTTCTAGTCATGGATCAACTTCCTCGCAACGCTGCAGCCCTGGACTTTGTTTTTATGCTGCAGCAACAAACTATGCAACAAGATGCAATGACCCTTGAGGTCCTGAGGAGGAGGCTGAGAAGAAGGCACTACACCAGACTCATGAATGAACTGAGAATGGAGGATCCAACGGCCTTTTTAATTTCTTGAGAGTTACGCCAGAATCTTTTGATGAACTACTCCAGAGACTCGCACCAAGACTCACGAAGGGTGATACCAATGCCAGGAGAACCCTTGAACCTGGTCGCAAGATAGCCTGCACCCTAAGGCACCTTGCAGATGGCGACCGGTATCCACCACTGTCATACAGCTTCAGGGTTGCTCGAGAAACCATTTGCAAGTTTATCCACGAAGTCTGTCAATTGCAAGAATGGCATGCAATTGCTGAAGAATACGAGAGGCGTTGGAACGTCCCACATGTAATGGGGGCACTTGATGGCAAGCACGTGGCACTCAGGATACTGAAGAACTCAGGCAGTCTCTACCATACATTTCTTCTCAGTGGTCCTCGTGGCACTTGTTGATGCGAACTAATGGTTCTTGTGGATAGACACCGGTGGTCAAGGACACATGTCTGGACCACAGATATACAATGCATCTGAGCTCAAAAGAGACAGTGGATAGTGGGCAAATAGGATTTTCCCATCTGAGCCAATGGCCAAGGACAACCAGAACATGCCATACTTCATGATCGGGGATGACGCCTTTGTTCTGCAAACCCACATGATGAAGCCATACTCTAGAAAGAACTTGACTCTTACAGAGCATTAGTAGAGCCCGAAGAGTCATCAAGAATGCTTTCGGAATAATGGCAGCCAGATTCCAGAGTCTCCTAGGAACATTACAGCAACGACTTAACGTTGCGTAATATCATAGAAACCTGTGTCTGCCTCCACAACCTGATCCAAATCCGGCACCCAGCCATGCACCATGGTCAGCTGCATACAGAGGATGCCAACCACAACATCATACCTGGAGAATGGGAGGTTGGTTCTTTGCCTTCTGTCCGCGAACATTTCTGTTCTTTCTTGGACCCATCTTCAGGATCTTGGTGCTGTAAGTGTCCGATGAAACTCTGCGATGTGAATGTCGGCTGACCGTCCTTTTGTAGTCCATTGGCCGTCAGATGTCACCGCTTGATATGCGATAAGTGTCGGATGGCAGTTGAGTTAAAGAGCGATTACCCCCGATGTCACAACGGATAGCAATCGGAAGGTGCTAAATATCATGTTACCCGGGGCGGTGGGGTAGCCTAATGGTTAAAGCGTTGGCTCGTCACGCCGAAGACCCGGGTTCGAATCCCCACATGGGCACAAGGTGTGAAGCCCATGTCTGGTGTCCCCCGCCGTGATGTTGCTGGAATATTGCTGAAAGCCGCGTAAAACCAAACTCAGTCAGTCAGTCAGTCATATTACCCTCCAAGGAGAGTCGAATTGTTGATGGGCGACTATCAGGCGCGTCGGGCAGACTGCAGATTGCAATCAGATGAGCGTCCGATGACTGTTAATCGTCGGACATGGATCAGATAGCCATCAGACGTTGGCTAGGCACATCCGATAGTTGCAGAACACGAATCTGACATACATCCGACTGACTCGACATTCATCCGACACTGACTCGATTTGGGACCGGAAATAGCGTCCGACAATCGGACGATTTCGCCTCATCGGATGACGCCCGACACGTCGGACACTGACCTGATGGTTGACAAACACAAATCGGATATCTCGGACTGTGATTCGACACTCTTCGGTGGGTCACCGGTGGCTTCCGATGAGTGGCCGATGAGCCAGAAATCTCTGTGGAATGGGGGTGTTAACAAAATCGCTCGACCAGGGCTTATTGCCATAATCAGATAATGAGAGAAAAAATGGAACAACAGAAAATTCTATGTAAAGTCAGTAAATATATTAACTGTTTAAATGTTATAATGTGCTTTGTGAACCGGCCACTTCCAGGATCTTATAAGAACAAAACGTTTGCAGTAGTATATACGTTAACTTATACTTGTACTTTATACTTATAAGTTATAAATGTACGTTTTACGTTGACATGACTAATTTTGGTAAAGAATAAGCAATTTGTTTGGTCTTGAGAAACCGAACGATGCACCTAATTGAGTTTAATGTTACTTCTAGTTTGGCAGACGAAACAAATTCCTCAGCAAACATTCGCAAGGTTTGATAAACATGTGGCTTGATTTAAGGATAAACGATTGAAGGTGCCATGCTTTAATCAGAACAAACACTGTTATAAATTTAATATTTCTGCCTACCACACACAATATCCTTGTTGATGTAATGACAATGAAAGTCACTAGCTATATACAGCACTCATTTCGGATAAACAAAACATAACAAACTCTTCTAGGTTATCGGCAATTCTTTAAAGCACATGGACAATACTCTTGCTTCTTGGCTGGTTCTAGAGGTTTGGCATTTTGTTACCTATTCCTGGTAAACGTAAATCTTATTTCAGATCATCTGGTAGTCCGTGACTGTGGAGTTGCTGAGATCAACAGGTGTACCACAAAGGTCGTAGATAACCATGACACCATCTCCTGCTTCCGGTCATGTGATCAAGATGGCTGCAATGGCTACCCGTTGCAAGGGACGCATTCTTACAATCGGCCAATATCGGAGACTGTAGTTTAAACGTGTCAAATACACATTAGACATTATCAAAGCAAGGGCATGTACGGTATTCGCACAAATAAATCAGTGGCATGAATATTGTTTTCTTGATTCGCAGTAATGTTCAAACCTTTTCATGATTACTCCAAGACTGTTTGTCATTCCTTTTTGGGCGCTGACGCGCGTCACACCATTAACTGTATTGCGTCATACGTCATTATAGATGTCCGTATATGAATGTAAAGGCGCCGAACTCCAAGTCGGTAGCATGCCCCTGCACATACAATGTTAGTTATAAGTCTGATTGAAGAATATATCAGGTTGTGCTTTGAAAGGAGAATGTGTACCGATTTCAGTTAGTCTGTAACATTGTTCCACTTTTCTGTTGCTAAGTTGAACGACAGGAGGCCATTTATTTGACTTTTTATCAGGGGACCTCATAGTCAGCATTTCACAGCCAAGGAGAGTCGTGCACACATGGAAACGAGTCACAGACAGAATGCTTTGTTAACGATATAACCAGTAAAGGGCCGCAAGTGCTGGACTGATACTTCCAAGGGGATGACTACACAGTGCCATTTAGAAAGTGGCCAGTTTTCCACCAATCGTGGTTTGGAGACAATATTGTTAAACGTGACATAAAATCCCATTCCTACCATCACATCGTAATTCGTTGTTTAATTCCAGACTAGCCATAGCCGGATCCAGGAATTTTCAGGGGGGGGGGGGTGGGGGTGTCCGCCAGTGCAAAACATTAACTGCAAAGTGGTCTTTATTCATTTTCAAAGGGGTGGTGGGGTGTCGAAACCCCTGAAACATCCTTCCCCACCCTCCGCCAATGCTAGCAGTATGGATTCAGGATCGCACGTTTACTCTACTCGACTGTGGTTACTCTTCATCATGAAACACACAACTTATTGAGTCAACAATAACGAATCTTGCTTAACATTATCATAAAACGTGCGGACAGTCGACGAGATAACATTGACAAATAGACGTTCAAAAGTTACCTCCCTTTCACAGTTACACACCGTGGCGGTGTGTGGTCCTGTGCGTAGAGCTCAGGTCACAAATTGTTAAGCAACGTTGGTCGCGGACAGTCCTCAAATGGGTGACCGTGTTTGGCAGCTTGACTCCTGAAAGTTTCAAGGACTTCAGTCCTGCCCCACAACGAAGCACATATGACGCATGTGGTCTCACCTTAGGCAAGTGAGTTTGTTGAAATTTGCTTCTGTCCACCCAGCTGTAAAATTGGGTACCTGGTATGTTGCGATGGTAGTCGGAATTTGAACCTTGAGCGCCTGACAGGCAACCGGTTGTATTCTCCACATGGAGTGTTCTGTACTCGTTGACCAGGGGTAATATGTCAGCGCTTTGAGCATGCAATGTGCATGGATAAACGCGCAATATTAATGGACTATTATTATTATTATTATCGAGGGGAAAAGTCATACGCGTGACAGTCACTCTTATCAGTCTATTGCCGTCAGCCTGGTTTACACGTCGTTAGCGAAAACATTATATACTATGAATGAGTGTGTGAGTATTGTTTTAGGCCGCTCTTAGCAATATTCTAGAGCAATATCAAGGCGGACAATGCCGTACCCATGTGGGGAATCGAACCCGGGTATTCGGCGTGACGAGCGAACGCTTTAACCCCAAGGCTACCCTAGGGGCTCTTCGTGATCTTAGGCATTATTACTTATTATGATAAATTTCAGCATACAGAAATGTTTTAGCGGGTTAAACGGCTGCCCTGTCTTCCAAGGCGCCACTATTCGCTGTGCAGAGTTGCTGTCGTAGATGTCACTTAGACACGCTGGATGCACTGACAATAACATCAATCCATTAAACATATATTTCAGACATATGTTTCCAAGTTGGAGCGTTTGAAAGGAAAATTTAAATGCATTTTCTCGTACCTCAACCAACCGGTAAACCATCAATAAGTTAGGAAGAATTATCTCCCCTGAAAGACCTATCCGCACCGACTGAAAGGGCTTGCTCGTTATTCGCTTTTGAGTAATTTGGACAAATTGGTTACTTCCTCCTTGATAACCTTTCAGATTGAGGCAGTGTGGAAACTACGAGGGACCTAATTAAAGGCACACACTCTCTCCATACAGCATATTTTACAATAAGGACTATTAAAAATGCAATTTATTTTACTTCTATTAAATTCTGACTCACGAATTCGTGTTTGCATTAATTAGGTAAGTTGTATCTAGAATTCGGTGTAACATAAAGATACGCATTACAGTGACTTTGTGGACAAGGACTTCGGGGAGTTATTTGTGCTTCCTGCTGATATATAATACATCTTCATTGAAAACCGGTCCTCTGCACGTCGCCGTCACTTTCGACGTCACTGTCCCAAGTTCTTGAAGACCATTTATTATTCACCACGTGACGGGTAATTTTATGCAACGTCATTTTACAAGGTAAAAGTAGAATGACTAAACCAAAGTTCGGTCCATTTTACCCCAAAAAAACCCAATGTATGTTTAATTACCTAACCCTAACTCGAAATTACGAATTTGGTAATTTATATAATCTTTATTAACCCCACACGCAAATACACGTCGTGTTTTTATGAAATTGTGAATGAGTGTGCCCAGTCTTCTACAAAAATGTTCACGATACCTATCATTTATGATTCAGTATTTTCAGTCAAATTTCGGTTTTGCACCAGACTTACCTCTTTTTGCGAACACCGTAGTATTCATTGATGCGAGACTCGCGCAAATGAGCCGTGGCCACAATGGCTGAGTGGGCGTGGCTAAAAGAGATCACGTGCTGCAATGCAGTGAGGCTATTAGTTCATGTAGTTTTTTAAGAATAAGCAAGCAAAGAAATTACAACAAGTCCACAACGAGAATCAAGAAAAATTTCATTCAAGTAGGTATGTTTAACCCTGTACTTTGTGAACTCTATCCTCATTGTGGGAAATACGCCTTTAATAAGCTTGCTGTTTCCACCGTCCCATTCGCACAACACTCGGCGTGCATGCATTAGTCGCCCGACTTCCACGCTTCTCTCGTGACAGCACCGCGTCCGATCAGTCAAACCTGCTGTACCGGTATATACCGCTGGCATGTAGTCAGATCTCGCACTTCAAAGGATTGTTTACAGTTACGCACGTGCAACTTACATCGCGTGCTGATGCACGTGCTGCGGCGAGATCACGGGATCCACAGCCCTGGCTGCAAGAAGTCATGTCGGCTCTCCCACGTGTTGCTGTATTGATCGTGGCTGTCTGTGCTCGGATTGCATCAGGTGAGTAAGCAACTGTGTTATCGTCCAGCCCAAAATGTAGTGTAATTGACAACATGCCAGTTCTGTAAAATATCTATCACAGCGAATAACTGCATCGCATTCTTTCGTTTGCGTTGTAGAGTGTTCGTCTTCGGTGTATGCAACCACCGCTAACAGCCATTGAGTGACATTAATGAAAATGCATGCATTGTATGGCATGTTGAACCCTGGTGGTAAACTTACTTCTCGTTTTGTGCTCGACGAAGAAACGATCGAACGATTGTATTATTGTATGATACTTTACACATATCTCTACAACGTTGTGTTCACATATCTCTGTAACGTTGGGTCTACATATTTCTATAACGCTGTGTTCACATATCTCTACAACGTTGTGTTCACATTTCTCTATAACGTTGTGTTCACATATCACTATAACGTAGTGTTCACATATCTTTACAACGTTGTGTTCACATATCTCTATAACGTAGTGTTTACACATCACTATAACGTAGTGTTCACATATCTTTACATCGTTGTGTTCACATATCTCTTTTACGTTGTGTTCACATATCTCTATAATATTGTGTTCACATATCTATAACGTTGTGTTCGCATATCACTATAACGTTGTGTTCTCATATCCCTACAACGTTGTCTTCACACATCTCTATAACATTACATTCTACACAATATCTCAACATTATCTCCACTATATATTCACACCCGATATGTAAGATGGTACAGACAACGTCATATAGACAAGACACTGATTAACAGTAACAGACAAGAACAGCGTTTTACAGAAACACTCCGGAATAACAGAACACAATATTTGGATTTAAAGTACTTTTAAATCATTTTGTGCGCACCGGCATTACCAATTAACGGGACTTTAAACTGACATATTCTGGTGACACTACATTGTTTCGTTTCCTCATGATTTTCTTATGATTTATACAATGGAACCATCTAATTACTCAGTAATGACAACTGGAGACATTATCGCCGATACATTAGGACCATCTGACTTATTGCTGCTAAACATTCGGCATACACTACTGATATTCTATCTGAATAGACGCAGCACTGTCAATATTATCGCAGGGACCCATTACACATTCAGTCGAGGGGCTGAAACCTGTTATTGCGGGAAGTGTTTTTCTTTGGTCGTGGGTGATTTCCTGTAATTATAATTCGGCCCTGCAAATAGTGTAGTGACGTCACAGAGTTCATGAACTGGTGACGGACGATGTATGGGAGAACAGTCATGACATGATTCTGTATGTGCGGACACTGCCAATGGACATTATACCCAGGCATTCGTAACTACTCGCCCCTTTCCGTGACCTACAAGAAGACTCGTACCCCTATCGTACGCCATTATTGCGATTATAATCGTGGCAAACCAATCAAATCTAGTAAAACGCATTTCGAAGCATGAAAATTGCGGCACCGTTGAAGTTTGAAACTTCGCTAAAACTATGCAAAGCACAATTTAAACATAAACTTTGAGCTATAGGATCAGAAACTTTAAACACTGAAACATATTTTCAAAGGAAATGACTGTATTGCTGCCCACCCACAGGATATTGGATATTCTAGGTGCCATGTTTGGAAATTCAGAGTTATCTTTCCTTGGTAATAGTACTAGACTATTTTCATCTCCATGCCCGTTTGCGCTTAGACAGGGCCCAGTCGTAAACATGGCCACGAGAGGTGTACGAGACGCCATTCGGCTTGCCGGAATGACACGAGTAGTTACGAATGTATACCCAGGATGGGTGTGGTGTTAGGCCACATGAAAATACTTTCTTGTTTCTCGTTATCGCCCCACCCTAATTTTTATTTTTTTGCACTGGTAGATTTGCGTGTATAAAGCCGACAGACTCCTGAAATCCGTCTCAGCTTCCGGCATTCCAAGTTTTCGCTAACATTGTACAGAAAATCAGCCAAACTATTAAAAAATAAAATCCTCCCTACTACCCATTTTTTTTTAAATAAGTGATGAGAAACAAGCTATTTTTTTATGTGGCCTTAGTGTGGTTGCGTTAAATATATAGCCTTACAATACAGCGATGTTTCAGTGATAAGCAGCACGACCTTTCAAGATTTGACTGTTTCCAGTGGGGATTCACCTTGAGTTCGATGGTTCAGAATTAACTATTTAAAATTGTTGCAGAAAAATTGGGGAAATATTATTTGTTCCTATTTTTTTTTAAATTCAGAAGTATTTTAGCCAGGCGTGTTAACATTGCATAAATGCAATACTTTAACCTAACTAAAGCATGAAACCCTCTTCCTCCTTTTGGTCCTGTTATCAGTGAGGTGCATGTTTCCTCTACAAGGTATTATCATCTGCTGTGTTAACCATGTTAGCATGAATGAAGAAATCATTTGATTCCATTTTTGGATGTTATACTTTTGTTTGTTTGTTTGTTTGTTGTTTAACGCCGCACCCAACCATTTTCCTGCTATATGACGACTGTCTGTAAATAATGGTGTCTGGACCAAACCATCCAATGATTGACATCACGAGCATCGATCTACGCAGTCGGGATGCGATGGCATGTGTCAATCACGTCAGCGAGCCTGACCACCAGATCCCGTTAGTCGTATCTTATGACACGCATGAGTTGTTGAAGACCAATTCTTTACTTGGATCTTCATTTTTGAGTTGTCATTTTTGTTTTGCTGAAAATCCTTTCCGAATATCGGTCTCTGATCAGGTCTAGATGGAGCCCCCACCCTCGGTTCAGGACATCTATTACTGAAATGGGGGCGATGGGGTAGCCTAGTGGTTGCAGCGTTCGCTCGTCACGCCGAAGACCAGGGTTCGATTCCCCACATGAGTACAATGTGTGAAGCCCATTTCTGGTGTCCCCGCCGTGATATTGCTTGAATACTGCTAAAAGCGGCGTAAAACCATACTCATTCACTCATTCATTATCAACAAAACCGTTCCGGAACTGCGTCACCTCAGACTCAATTGCTGTAACATTGTATAATAGTCTACTCAAGCTCACGAACCACATGTTGCAGAATACATATGGTTATTCAACGATTTCCTTAATTCATATTTCATTATTCGTGAACGTCAAACCCGAGATACACACGAGATTGGTAATCAATCCGTATACACAATACAAACTGTACCTGTTATGGATTTTGTTAGCGCACGTGTATGCGACAAACTAATCTCCATATTATGATAAATTGATTCGACGGTCATACCGTAGTGCTACTTCTAGCATCCTAATACTGCATGCTTAAACCTACACTAACACTTAGCCTGTGAATTATATACGGTATAAACAACATAGTCTATATGACAGGAAAAGGATAGGAAGGGAGAATAGTGTTGTTTTAGATATCTTGAATGAAAATTGAGATATCTTGAATTGAAGATATCATAAAATGAATTTTAAAAATATCTCTAATAGAGATAAATATAGATATGTGATATCTGTAATAAAATTCGTGATATCGCGAAATGAATGTCATAATGTGATTAACTATACAAATGATGTTGTTAGTGTATGAAATTCAGTTGCTGATATCTTGCAATTAAATACAGATATCTTTAATTAATTGTCACTTTCAACATGATGGCGTATACGCTACAGAAAAAGGTCAACACAAGATACGGACTCTCTGGTATGACGTCACAACCATATTCGGCCGACTGCTAAAATAAAAACAAGCATACGTGTGGGCGGGGCTAAAGTGGTTATAGTTTTGGTGCATATTTATAATGTTTACGTTTTTTTTCCATAAATGAATGGTGCAGATGTGATATATATTCATGTTTGAATGACATGTAATAAAAAAGCGTTTTGTTTAACCTTTTTTAAAATCCCTTAAATGAATTGAAGATATCTTGAAATGAATTAATGATATCTCGAATAGAGCTAATTTTTGCTGTTCTTTCCTGTCGTCTTTATTACAGATATCAATTACTGATATATTGATATCTTTCTTCATCTATCTATTTTCATTATTGGCATCAGTAATGGCAAGAATTGAAGATATCTCAGGGTTAAGGATAGCTCTAATTGTATAGAAGATATCTCTTATTGTATTAAATATATCTATAATGCGTCTGTGGATAAGTATATACTGTTTCAGTATACCTTGAGTTGAATTTAAGATATGCTGAATTGAATTCTGATAGAATTATGTACATTTTGATGGTCATTGTCTTACTGATATCTTTAACACACGGAATATTTTCTTGATATCACAGTAGCATTTTATGATATCAGTGATTCTATTTTGGATATCAGAAATCAATCAAAGATATCTTCAATTGTTTTCCGATACCGTAAAGGTCCTGGTTAGAAATGACCTTCAGTAACCCATGCTTGTCGAAAGAGGCGACTAACGGGATAGGGTGGTCAGACACGACGACTTGGTTGACACATGCCATGGTATCCCAGTTGCGTAGATCGATGCTCATACTGTTGATCACTGGATTATCTGGTCCAGACTCGATTATTAACAGACCGCCGCCATCCACCTGGAATATTGCTGAGTGTGGCGTAATAGTAAACTCACTCACTGACTCACTCATTATATTCAAATTCAAGATGGTATCTATAAAACAATTAATAATGTCGATAATTTCTTAATAAATGTGAAAACGGCGTGCTATACATTCTCGGACATTCTGACCACCGAGTCTGTCACGTTGAGATTAATTGCTAAAGGAGTTCAGAATGTTTTGGCAAGTCTAGATTTCCTCATCCGAATGATCGGTCATGTTTGAAATTCCCCATTGATCTGGGCTCCGTTTTGATTATATTTTGTATGTTTTAGATATATGTATTTAAATGAGACACCTGTACATATTTCTGGGACTAGTGTCTGTCCGACCACCATGCATCCATGACTACTGCTTGGTAATGAGATGTGACCTACAAAGAGGTAGAGCAGGTCGCACCAGTCCGTGAGTCACCAGGACCTGCCGTGGTGTTCCCGTATCACAGGTCAAACCCGTCACTGTCATATCTATTACCAATGACTAACTGACGTTCTCGACCCGAACGAGTCGATGCACAGGGGACTTGGCTGTTTTGTAATAGTTAGGGCCAGTGACCATAAATTACATGATGGCCTCTTAAGGGTTTTTTCCTGGAAGTCTTGCAGTTTCAAAGCTATAGTGTAATCACTCATAAGGGAAATATGCAGTGTATAATTTGGTTTTATGTTAATGTACACATTCAACATTCATAAGTTACGACGCCAATTATCATGCTGTACGAACATCTTGTATATGTTCATAGTTGTTTCGGCCCTTTCCGGTGCCTACACATTTCTGCAAGACTGACTGACTGACTTTTGGTTTTACGCCGCTTTTAGCAATATTCCAGCAACATCACGGCGGGGGACACCAGAAATGGGCTTCACACATTGTACCCATGTGGGGATTCGAACCCTGGTCTTCGGCGTGACGAGCCAACGCTTTAACCACTAGGCTACCCCACCGCCCCCATTTCTGCAAGAACAACGCGACCTCCGTTCGGCTCTCTCCGTCAAACCTGGTAAATTGTTATGTCAGCCCAGACTGCAAGCAGTCTGAATACCTCGGGCTTCAGTGGAGTAGAGATACTGCATACTTTCACTGTAAACCGGATATCGACCGAACCCATGTAGTTACAGAAATAGAGCTGTATTGTATTATTGCATAGTATGCATCAATGTGTACTCTGAAAGAAAGGATCGCTTCCTCCACAGTATTGCGTTGCGAACTAGTGAAACTAGCATTTCAGTTCAGTTACGGATACACACAAATGTCATCTGGGATCAGTTGGAGAGTCACTGCTTTTTGAGCAAGTGGCTGTGCAAAGTACAAATCTGTTTGCTCTAAGAAGCGGCCCTAAAATACCTCGTTGATGGGGTCCAAATTAACGTGATTTACTCAGTTCGAACCAACGAGAGTGAATACGGAACTGGTGTATCGTATAAGGATGTGGTATGGTACCTTTGTGTTTTTCTCAGTAAGTGAGTGAGTTTTAAAAGCTGACAATCGTTGTTCGTTTCTTGAAATTCGAACGTTTGTACTGGGACTTATGGTATGTCTACTGATACAGTGAGATAGGTACTCGTTACCAGTCTGACGTTCTTGTTGTGCTAGGTTGTCATTCACGACGACGCTGAATTCGAATTGAAGTACTACATATATGCCCACATGTTTCATGGTGTGAAGACACGTGAAGGTCCGAGTTAGAATATTGGCCTTCAGTAACCCATGCTTGTCGTAAGAGGCGACTAACGGGATCGGGTGGTCAGGCTTGTTGGCTTGGTTGACACATGTCATCGGTTCCCAATTGCGCAGATCGATGCTCATGCTGTTGATCACTGGATTGTCTGGTCCACACTCGATTATTTACAGACCACCGCCATATAGCTGGAATATTGCTGAGTGCGGCGTAAAACAACAAACTAAACCAAACCTAGGATATGGTCCGAACCAACCTCGGACCAACACTGTAACATAATCATCTGATTTCTTTGAATGTTACAATTACCACTGGCTTTGCCTGAAAAGTTATTTCTAAGTTAGTAAGTTTAGTTTTTCGCCGCTTTTAGCAATATTCCAGCAACATCACGGCGGGGGACACCAGAAATGGGCTTCACACATTGCACCCATGTGGGGAATCGAACCCGGGTCTTCGGCTTGACGAGCGAACGCTTTAACCGCTTTAATTTCTGAAGCCTGGATTGCATGTAAGCTGTAGAGCGTGAGTATAGTTTGACACCGCCTTCTGGGCGACGCAGAATAATATGGATACGTGTTATTGAAGCACCAACGCGTTTACTGAGGACTGCACGTAGATATGATGTATTTGTTTCTGTTGAGTTTTCAGTGCTGAGCCTAAAGTGTGCCCAGTGCACATCAATCCACACCCGACCCTGTGCGAACGGGAGAGTCGAGCCGACAGACTGCATGGGACTATATCAAGGAGCCCAGTTTTGTGTGACTTACTCGGGCACTATCAGAACAGGTAGGCTGTACAGCAACCGGGTCATCTCCATGTCTGTAGTGTCAGGTGTTATAAGAGTCTGTTTCCATGTCACGAAGTAATGCGAGGTATATTCAGAGAGTATTGTTTACAACTGGTATGCGTAGCTATGTGTGGGGTCTGAAGGCATATAAACCGCCTCCGTGGTGTAGTGGTTAGAGCGTCCACCCGGAGAGCGGAAGGTAGCGGGTTCGATCCCCGACCACGTCATCCCTAAAGACGTTAAAATATGGTACTTGTTGGTCCCTGCCTGGCGCTCGGCATTAATGGGTACAACAAGGACTGGTCGGCTCGGTGTCAGTATAATGTGTCTGAGTGGGGTATTCATGCTTCACTGCGGCATGGTATCTCAGTGGGCTAGCACTATAAAACCAGCTTAAGTCTGGGCTAGTACAAGCAGCCGCACATACACACGCATGCACGTCGTCATATGAGCGAAATATTCTCAAGCACGACGTAAAACCCAATTTCACCTCACCTCACCTCTGCAGGCATATAACCCACTTGGATGATAAATGTGTTATGAATACACAATGATTGTCCTGACAATAGAAAGTGGTCAAATTTAGCCGCAAACCCACTCATTCACCGCGGCTTCCATATGTGACTTTGTGTGCTGGCGATTAGGTGTCGGACTCTGAGGGTGTGTGTTCGAATCCCGAATGGTACTCAATTAAACTGAAGTACCAGAATCTGTACTTTACTGAGACAGTGTAATCCCATCTATAACATGTGTTAGATAAATGTGTTTTACTGTGATAAATTGTCATTGTTAAATCATCCAGTGTGCAGATGTTGTAGGGTCTAAGTGACTTAAGTAATAAGGCCCGCATTTATGTGTAGAGCTTGTTTCGAAGTCGAATCCTAGAATCGCCTCGATTATAACCAGTCATTCGTCTACACCCTACCCATTCGCCCGGGTTTCATGGTAAACGACAGCACTCTGATGCATTTAGACTTTACTTTGTCATTTGGTTAAGTGCAGTGCCGTAACTGAAAAATGCTTCAGCCCAAATCCGGGGCCCGGCTGTCGCTGTCGTCTGAGGCGATGTAATTCGCCCTGCAGTGATGCGGGTCTTAGGCGTGGCAGAAACCAATGGTACTTAGTTGAATCCCAGTTCGACCTGTTATATTTACTATAGCCGTGGTTCCCATTTTCATGAAAGTTGTACACGTCTAACATCTGGATCACCTTATCCTTCATATAGCTGACCCTGGTATAACTGAAATATTGTTCAAAGCGTCGTTAAACCGAAACTCAATCCCTTGACTATGATCAGCTTCTGTACACGTATATTCCATTGCAATCTGAAGTCCACGTTTTCTCCAACAGGTCGTGTTGTGTTCCGCGACTGCAGCTACGTGGACATGCACAGCATCTGCAGGAGCCAGCTGATGGAGAACCAGAAGACGGAAGTCTGCTACGAAACATGCGACACAGATGGATGTAACTCAGTGCCTAACTCAAACCAACCCTTCTGTCCTGCAGGGACAATCATCACGTTATGTGTCATGCTGGCTTTAATGGGGCTCAGGTGACAGGACGTAACCTGACAATATTCCCGACCAGGTGATGTGTCTCCTCCTGACAATACTCCTGTCCAGGTGACGTCTCCTCCTGACAATGCTCCTGTCTCGTCTCCTGACAATGCTCCTGTCCAGGTGACGTCTCCTCCTGACAATGCTCCTGTCCAGGTGACGTCTCCTCCTGACAATACTCCTGTCCAGGTGACGTCTCCTCCTGACAATGCTCCTGTCCAGGTGACGTCTCCTCCTGACAATACCTGTCCAGGTGACGTCTCCTCCTGACAATACTGTCCAGGTGATGCGTCTCATCCTGACAATGCTCCTGTCCAGGTGACGTCTCCTCCTGGCAATACTCCGGTCCAGGTGACGTCTCCTCCTGACCAGTTGATATATCTCCTCCTGGAAATACCCATGTGTCCATATTAAAGGTTCATTTCGGTGTTACACATATACACGTGACATGTACAGGTGACGTCTCACCGTGGTATTCCTGATGTCCATGTTAACGGTGTCCTGGTGGTATTACTCACACGCATGTCACAGGTGTCGTCCTAACATGACTCATGTTCACCGCTGGGTATCTCATCCCATTACACTGACAACAGGTGTCATCTTAGATTTTTCGCAAACAGCATTTCAACAAGGAGTCTATGTTGATACAATCTACAAGGATTGTAATGTATTGTGCGGGAAGACGCGGCTTAACCTAACGTGACCTGGAACCTGATTACATTGATACTGAGCGTGGTCAACTGATAAAACTGTTCCTTTCACTGACCTGGGCCCAGATTTTCGAAGCTCTCTTAGCGCTAAGATAGTTGTAAGTGCCATTTACGACTACCTTAGCGCTAAGAGAGCTTCGAAAATCTAGGCCCTGTTCACTACACGCTGAGGATGAGGTCAGTACGAAGACGCTGATATGTTTCTTAATGCATAATATTGCTTGAACTGTTCTCAGGTTGAAACATGTCTACAGTATGATGAATATCATAACAGGTATTCAGAAATATTCCAGCTATAAAACAGCGGATTGTAAATAATCAAGTAAATGACTACCTGACCAAATATGTGTCGTCTATTTACCACAATACAGTGTGTGAAACCTGTTCTATCTTGGAGCTGTTCCATCACTGGAAGTGACTACTGAAGACATCAGTTGGTTAAAGAGACGAAGGCACCGTTTAAGTTTCAATATATATGTGTTTTCCTTTATGTATTTTAGGTACATGTTTTTTTCCTCTGTTTTAACTGTGGACTTGTTATGTTTGATGGGTGTGTAAATAATGAATTAACAGTATTGTACATTAAAGATCAACGGCTTTAGGTAATAAACGTTATGAAATATTCTCCTTTTTCTCATAATCTTAATGTGTGAATGCTTGAAATCTGTGTATGAACTGCTGGATATATCTATGTTTTATACACCTACTTAAACGACTTTATATGTCTGTGTGATGTGTTCCTTCTTTCGTACCGAAAAGGAGCGGTGGGGTAGCCTAATGGTTAAAGCGTTCGCTCGTCGAGTCGAAAACCCGGGTTCGATTCCCCACATGGTTACAATGTGTGAAGGCCATTTCTGGTGTGCCCCGCCGTGATATTGATGGAATATTGCGCGGCGTAAATTCATACTCACTCGTACAGAAAATCGCTGTGCAGAGTTGCATCCCTTAGGCACGCCAGAAACCAATGCTTGTTCTATCCCCGGTTATGGGTTTGTTAGCACCATGCACATGACAAACCTCTGCATAAACTGTATAATGTCTATCTTTCCGCGCGCATTAAACCGACACGTCGGGATGTAACTAGAATCCTGTTTAATGAGTGAGTGAGTACGAATTTACGCGATTTTAGCAATATTTCAGCAATCTTGCGGCTTGGTGGCAACCGGAAATGGGCTTCACTCTTTGTACCGATATGAGGAATTGAAATCCGGTCTTCGGCGTAATGAGCGACCGCTTTATCCACTAGGCTAACCCACAGCCCCGAATCCTGTTCAAAGCAGCGTTAAAGCCAAATAATGTTATGCATTGGGATCGGTCGGACAAAATGTCTGCGTAATGTGGCCAGTGTTGGTTTTGATCGTTTTTAAAGACGGATTGTGCCCAATAACACACTGTCTATTTCCCACGGGGACAACGGCCGCTTATGCGTTACTTATACTGTACGATGTACTATATAATGCTCCTTACAAGAGAAGTAAGTGATCTCTATAACACCTGATAGTTTCATGTAGGTGAATTTAAGCTACAACATGCTCCTGTTCTACACAATCAATAACGAGGAGCTGCTTGTCACGTTCTGATAAGCCCCGTTGTTGATTTTGCGGCCATCGACACTGTATGAGCGCTGTCAAAGGGCACACTGTAGAATATTGTACCCTTTATATTCTCTACTCTGTTTACCAACATATTTACCTTGATAATAGTGCAATGTCGTCTCGGCACTGTTCGAGCAATACAGAGGACAGTGAGTGTCGAAGGCGGGTTTTTGTTTCAACCGAAGCCCTGAATCTCTGTGCATCATTGGCTCCATAAAGCACCTGTTCCCACGCACTTGTGCATGATCAAGGCGTTCGACATTACCCCTGATAAGGTTTACAGTCATATGACTTATTCCACCGGGTACCCATTCATTGCTGGGTGAACGGAGTCAATTTATGAACAAACTCACTTGCCTTGGGTGAGATAACATGTGTCACGTGTGCCTCGTTGTGGGACAGGACTGAAGTCCTAGAAACTCTCGGGTGACTAGGCTCGCTCACATATTTGACACAAATCATCGTATCCCAATTGCGTAGATCGATGCTCATGTTGTTGATTACTGTGCCTGGTCCAGACTCCATTATTTACAGACTTCCACCATATAGCTAAGTGCGGCGTTAAACAAACAAAATCATACCTAAGTTAACCGAAAAACTACATAGACAAGTCCTAAATAAATGCCATCGACAGCACTGTTATGTTACATGCGTTCCGCCGAAGACCCGGTTCGATTCCCCTCATGGGTACAATGTGATACCCCAGTATACAGATATTGCTGTGGCGTAAAATCCAATCCACTCACTCACTCACGCTCAGAGGCCAAACCTGTATTCCAGCATTTCCTCGAATAAGCCTTGTACAAACGAGTACCCGTAGTCAAATAACAGCACCAATGTGGTAGTAGGTGGAAACTGCCTTTGTGCCTATTGGCTCTACCGTATAACAATGATTAAAAAGTGATACATTTTGCCCAAAAACAATGTGCTTAATAGGATTGCTTGTATCAGAGTATGTATTTCTCATTGAGGTTTCGACATCTGGCAGACATATGCAATTTCAGTTCACAAAATAAGCACTATGATTAGTTGTGTTAAATATATCAAAACTTGTATATATATATATATATATATATATATATATATCGGGACTGAGCAAAGTTCATATTGATGAGTAGACACATGAATGCATCGTTCGCCATGCGGTACTGTAGCACATTATACAGGTATATTAAAATCATTGAAACGCGTGTAGAAGAACGCTTACACGTGGCAATGTTGTGTTTGTATATTCTAAACGGATTGTACAGGTGGGGGTGAGTTGCTGTTTATTACGATAATATAAATATTTACTTGTTTGTCCACAATGTCAACTCCTGAAGATCATTTCCTGCGACTCATCTCTGTCATTTTGGCATCCTTGTGATAAGTTTCACTAATTCATGTGTCGATCATATCATCTAAAACACTGTTTGGTAACATGGATTTGTTACTACTTGGTTCCAATTTCTCCAAATATGAGGGCTGGTGGGGTAGCCCAGTGACTGTGATGTTTGCTCGTGACGCCGAAGGCCCTTCGACATGGGTACATTGTGTGAAGACCATCTCTGGTGTCCTCCCGCTGTGATGTTGCTGGAATATTGCTAGAAGCGGCTTAAAACCATACTCAAATTATGAATTGAATATACATGCATTATCATCGTAGTCCCGCCTCATAGACACCGCATGCGAATGCACTGATTGATCATATATCAAATGTGCTTTTAGAAGCCATAGACTGCCTTTTCAACATACAACCCTGTCTGGGGGTCTTGTTTACGTCTTAAATGTTGCTAAGTAACAAGCTGTATACCCGATGGTATTTACCAGTACGACATTTCGTGATGTCGGGGGCGGTGGGTAGCCTAGAGGATAAAGCGTTTGCTCGTCAGACTTAAGGCCCGGGTTCGATTCCCCACATGTGTACAATGTGTGAAGCCCATTTCTGGTGTCCCCCGCTGTGATATTGCTGGAATATTGCTAAACGTGGCGTAAAAACTCACTCACTCGCTCACTCAAGGTAGGTGGCCACGTTGCTTAACCTTCTTGTTCCACTAGCGGGTTACAGTGAACTACGTTTTTGGTGTGCGAGGTATATCTATAGCTAACGAAATATGCCGGGTGGAGTCTAATACTAATGGGATGCTAAGAGTGAGTGGATGTGGTTTGATGCCGCTTTTAGCAATATCACAACGGGGAACACCGAAATGAGCACCACGTGTTGTATCCATGAGGGGAATCGAATCCGGACCTTCGGCGTGACAAACAAACGATTTAACCAGTTAGCTACTATAACACCCCTTTTAATTATTGACACATATGTGAGGTAAGGTGAAATTGGGTTTAACGTCGTGCTTGAGAATATTTCGCTCATATGACGATGTGCATGCGTGTGTATGTGTATGTGCGGCTGCTTGTACTAGCCCAGACTTAAGCTGGTTTTATAGTGCTAGCCCACTGAGATACCACGCCGCAGTGAAGCATGAATACCCCACTCAGACACATTACACTGACTCCGAGCCGACCAGTCCTTGTTGTACCCATTAATGCCGAGCGCCAGGCAGGGACCAAAAAGTACCACATTTTAACATCTTTTGGTATGACGCGGTCGGGGATTGAACTCGCGACCATCCGCTCTCCGGCTGACACATATGTAGAGTCATTATAACTAAACACCCATGTGGGTGATCGAACCTTCGCTCTTCGGTGTGACGAGCGAACTATTTGATCATAATACTGTCCCACCGACCCGGACCGCTAAGATGCGTAGGTCAACGGCTATTAATAGAGGTGTACGTGGTGGTTTTAATCTGGCAGGTCAACGGTTACTGATTACGATTGTTGAATGTCGAGGTGAGTCTTCTTTCAAGTGTTTTGTAAAGTTTCTGTAATATTTACAAAAAACAACCATCTGATATCAACTTAAAATTAAAGTTGCATGCCCGAGTTGCGTCCTTAACTGTCACACATTTACTTCCAAATTTCGAACTATTAAGGAGAATAAACTGTGCATTTGTTGTTTTATCTAGCGAGTGATAGTGTTATACGAAAATAGCACAGGTGACGTGAAGTTGTGCTGAGTCGAATGTTTTCAATTCATTACAAATTCATCGTCGATGAACCAGCTTTTCCCTCTTCATTGTTGAAACAGGTAAATTGCAATAATTCTGCTTCATAAGTAATAGGTTGAGACAGATATGAGGACATTGACATGAACCCGTTTCCTGACACGAATTGTCCATATATTCCTCATTGACATAACACAACTTTTAATTGAAAAGGATTGTGGAAATGAACAAAATATTGTCAAAGAGGGATATAGGATTTCATTAAGAATAATACTGGCCCCTTTCTGTTTAAAGATGACCCGCTGTGTTGAAATGGTTGGTCTCGGCACCACCGAGCTGCTTTTCTGTGTGTCAGCCCTTTGTCTGATGTACGTGTCACCATGTGGACTGACTATTCCTAGTTTTCTTCTCACCGGAAGCATTTTTGTATGCTACTGGCTAATTCGAAGAGCAAGAGCAAGAAGGATTGATGCACAAGGGAAATATGTACTCATTACAGGTTGTGACACAGGTAAGGTTTAGTTTGTAAAGACCTCACATAACGATAGGATTATAACTGTTAATAAACTTCTAACCGTGATGACCATTCATGAACATAAGAGACTGAAGCCGATTAAAAGAGATGATAAATATTTCAGAGTGATGACTAGTAAATATGTGAAAATGATGACGATTAATAAACGTGAGAGTGATGGCCAAATAAACACAAATGTGACTGATGACAATTGATGATTTGAGAGTGATGACAATTAATAAACGTGAGAGTGATGACCATTACTAAACACGTGAGAGCGATGACCAAGACTCTGAAAGAGAGGAAGATGAACAAATTGATGACAGTGAAAATATATCTTCCAATTTAATCTTATCTATACTGTATGAGCTTGATCATTCGGTTGTTACATGGTGTGTCGGCGTAGTCACCGGCTGAGCACGTACATAGTAATCTATCAGCGTCATTGCATAGAGATTTTACATGAACGTTTTCTCGTTTCAGGTTTTGGAAATAGTCTTGCTCGACTCCTTGATAGCAAAGGTTTAAAGGTATTTGCTACATGCCTTTCTGAACAAAGTGAAGGAGCAAAACTATTGAAGAAAGATGGAAGCAAGAATATGCGTGTTTTACAGCTGGATGTCAGTTCGGATGCGAGCGTTCTTGCCTGCCTTGAACAGATCAAGCCCATATGTTTTAAAGAAGGTACATTAGGGCATTTCTGGGATGAATTCGAAGACATCATTGTAGATGAATTGAAATGTTCGCGTCGTTTCGGATTATGGCATATCTAGCTTTTTGCAGCACGCACATGAATAACAGAAACGCAACCTTCATCGAAACGTACCTTACTATTATACCATGGCTGAATTGGTTTACAAAGTTCGTAACGTTTTCTTTGTAACAATTCAGTACATAAAAGAATGTATCACTTTTGTTCAAACCACTTTGCCTCGCATATTGGCCGAGTTGTTACATTCGACACCAAATGATAATCTGGTACACCACGCATTTTGTCGTTCACATCCAAACCTTTGAAATGAACATTTTGAAGAGGACAAATAAAATATCACCTTTGTAGTCATTGTGATGCTGTGTTTAATTTTTCAGGCTTGTGGACCTTGGTAAACAATGCTGGGATAATCTGCAAAGGCGATGTGGAGATACAGACCATGGAAGCGTATAAGAGAATTGCAGAAGTTAACTTATTTGGGGTTGTACGAATGTGTAAAGTCTTTCTGTCAGTTGTTAGAAAATGTAAAGGTGAGCTACGTTTGCTTGAACTGCAGACGTCAACATATTTTGGGCTGTACGAATGTGTAAAGTCTTTCTGTCAGTTGTTAGAAAATGTAAAGGTGAGCTACGTTTGCTTGTTTTCAGTTGTGGATATGAGAGCAACTTTGAAGATTTATTTTATTTATTCTTTGAAAATGCCCATTGATATGCAGATAGTCACATATTAATGATTACCAACATATGACGTTTGTGTTTTAGGCAGAGTTATTAACGTCACAAGCGTCCGAGGATTACAAGCCTTCTGTGGGGATTCCGGCTATGTCATGAGTAAATTTGGTCTTGAGGGTTTTACCGACTGTCTTAGGCTAGAGATGAGGAGGTTTGGAGTCAAGGTCATTCACGTGGAACCCGGAATGTTTGGGCTCAACACTGGTTTATTCAATGAAGAAAACGTACGGTTGTTGGTTCTTTGCTATGCTATGTATTTACAATAGAATATGTTCCATATCTTTATTGAACACCTGTTGTTATCTATTCCTATCATTTTCCCCCTCTCCAATTTGCCAATAACGTCAAATGGAATTGGCAGAAATTCGAGAATGGTTATTCTCTGGTGTTTACGCTTCCTATATAGTTTGATTTGGCATGAATTCTTTCAAACAATACATGTTTGATGGGCATTTAAGAGTAACATAACAACGTGCGGTGTTGATTTACAACTTCTTCATTATTTACAACACGCCGTTTCTGGGCTACTTCTTGCCCCTTCATCAGGTAAATGCATGCTAATATCTTTATGTGTTTATGTTGATAACTAGTTATATGTTCGCATTTTATTCACCCCCAAACAGGTTGAACGATACAAAGTTTTGAGCAAGAAGCTGATCGATAATGTCAGCGATGAAATAAGGACAGCGTATGGGCAAGACTATCTGGACACATACATGCGGGTGCCAAAAATGCGCCCAGGGTCTTCCGACCAGGACATCCAACCAATGCTTGATGCCTTTGAAGATGCCATACTTAGCTGCCGGCCAGACAGTCGCTACCTTGTTGATGGGCAGAGGGTGGACGGCGACTGTGTGAGTGAAGAACAATGTGTATGAAGTATATGTTCAATATGGACAAATTTGATTGCTCATCAACCATGTAAAAACTAAATCTGTGAAATATATTCTGGTATTTAAACATCATTTGGAAAACGTACTGAACCTCCGGTATAATTTCTTGTTGTATTTGCCTTTAATGCTTCTTAATATCTTTCCACATGCATGTACATGATCCAAACTTGTCTTAACCTTTCAGACGATGGCTCGCCTCAGAAATGTCCTGCCTGTATTTATTATGGATCCATTGTATTTCTACCTGCGTCCATTGCCAAAAGAAGCTTTCTATGCAAGTACAACTTCTAGGCATTGAAGAAGCTGACGTGCAAATAAACATTTGTAAATGAATTTAGTTAATGCTCAGGAGTGCTTAATAAAGGTATTTTATCATTTTCCGAATCCATTTTTCATGTGTGGGTGGCCTCGTCCTGTTTTAAGTTTCTTTCAAATATACTAGGCCTAAAAGAAACTGTGCATACAAAAATTTAAAATGTAAATTTATCAAACCTGTGTAGACACATAAGGATTTAAATTCAGAGATTATTGACATGTATCCAACATGCATGCACGTGCCACGTTCCATGACGTCAGTGGGTTCGTCCTTGAGACGTGCAGTACGTTGTTGCATGTGCATTCCGGGAAAGAGAAACAGAGCAAATGAATGCGCCACAATTCCGTCACTTTGGAAAGCTCAACCCCTGCCCTTGCAATCGTTCAAAAAAATTAAACGGCTATTGAAACGCATAGCATGCCAAGGCTCACGACTGCACAACGTCATGAGGCCATTGGGATGGTCCGTGGGGGAATGTCTCAACGACAAGTGGCTGCACATTTCCACTGCCACCGGAACACCATTTCTGCACTGGTGAGACGCTATCAGAACACAATGACGTCATCGATCGGCCACGTTCTGGACGTCCACGTGTAACAACGCCAAGACAGGACAGATGGATAAGGGTGACCCACCTTCGCCACAGGTTTCAGACTGCAGTGATGACTGCCCGAACCATCCCAGGACTTCGCCGTATCCACCCCAACACAGTTCGACAACGTTTACGTCATCACGGGATCAGACCACGACGTCAGATAACATCCTTGGCCTTGCAACAGAACTTGCGAGAATCTGGCGTGACATCCCACAAGCTTTCCATGCACGTTTGATAGGCTCTCTGCATCGTCGATGCACTGCTGTTCTCAATGCCGATGGTGGATATACCCGTTATTGAGCTTGTGACATGGTCATTTGACCCCTGTCCCGCTTGTGGACTCGTGACGTCATTGTGATTGACTTTTCAATTGAAATTATCCCGACTTGTTATGGTCTCATGATCCCTCCATTAAAGTTTATATGTACCTTTGACATTGTTATCGTACTTATCAACTGGGATAATATTTTGATAATGCACAGTTTCTTTATGTGGCTAGTATATATACACGGCGTCGAAGTGACCGACACATCAACACGATGGCTGGGGAAATGTGCAGCTGGATATCTTCACGAGTGATCGTTTATCCGTAACGTGAACTTAACAAAAGTGACTAATAGTTGTTATTGCTACTGTAAATGTCTCAATGACATAATTATACATGCGTAGGCTTCTCGAGGAAATATATATATACTCGAATCCAAACGAACGCGAATAAAGTAAAGCTTTGATACAGTGATGAATGAAGATATTGATGTTTGCTTTTTGAAATAATAAATAATGGTGAATATTTATAACGCGCCTTTCCAGGCTTCACATCCTGCTCAAAGCGCACAATCAGATCATTATTACCCCAGATAACCCAAGCTGTTTGTGAGGCGCTAGAAGGTTAATAGCCACATATCATATCCCGCCAAGTACCCATGTTCTGCTGGGTAAACAGAGGCAATTTTGAACAAACTCACTTGCCTTAGGTGAGACTATATGTATCACATGTCGGGCAGGACTAAAATCCTAGAAACTCTCAGGAGTCAAGCTGCCAAACACGGTCACCCATGCGATAACTCTCCGCGCCCAGCGTTGCTTAACTTCAACTGATTTGTGACCTGAGCACAATGCACAAGGCCACACACTACCACATCATATTTATAACCAGAACTGTGTCTTGATGTTGTCAGTATGACATCGTCATTTGGTAACGTCACTTATGGGTCATGGGAAAGAACATTTCAGTGTCGAATATGGCCTCCATCAGCAGTCACTTCGGTATCATCAGAACAGTGACCAGAATGCCTATCTGAACATCGAACACATACCACTTTGCCTCAACATGTTTCATATTTCAAATACTTTCAAACAATTGTAATATCCACGTTTCTTTTGGAATTCAGTTTACTTACCGTCATTAATTATACGCGCTATGGCGGTTGCCATGGATGTTACACTCCTGTGTCACTACCCTTTAGGTTTCCAGAAGAAGTTTTCGAAATTGTGATATCAGCATTGTTACAGGAACTCATATTCGCAATAAATTAAACTTTGCTGTTCTTATATGAAAATTGCAGTTTTCAACTGAGCTGTCCGAACAATATCCTTAAATAGATTAGTAACCTGTGACCACATCACACAGCTCATGATATGGTATAAATTCCTGAGAAAGTGTTGTTCATTCAGGTGTTGTAACAGTCGGACGAACGAAGGTTCGAACAACGTGCCAAGGCATAAGGTCTTTGTAACCCTGGATTTAGGGGAGCTGATGTACTATATAATGCTCCTTACAAGAGAAGTAAGTGATCTCTATAACACCTGATAGTTTCATGTAGGTGAATTTAAGCTACAGCATGCTCCTGTTCTACACAATCAATAAAGAGGAGCTGCTTGCCACGTTCTGATAAGCCCCGTTGTTGATTTTGCGGCCATCGACACTGTATGAGCGCTGTCAAAGGGCACAATGTGGAATATACTACCCTTTATATTCTCTACTCTGTTTACCAACATATTTACCTTGATAATAGTGCAATGTCGTCTCGGCACTGTTCGAGCAATATAGAGGACAGTGAGTGTGGAAGGCGGGTTTTTCGTTTTAACCGAAGCGCTGAATCTCTGTGCAGCATTGGCTATGTACATAATAATAATGGCTCCTCATAAAGCACCTGTTCCCACGCACTTGTGCATGATCAAGGCGTACGACATTACCCCGGATTAGGTTTACAGTCATATGACTTATTCCACCGGGTACCCATTCATTCCTGGGTGACCGGAGTCAATTTATGAACAAACTCACTTGCCCTGGGTGAGATCACATGTGTCACGTGTGCCTCGTTGTGGGGCAAGACTGAAGTCCTCGAAACTCTCGGGTGACTAGGCTCGCTCACATATTTGACACAAATCATCGTATCCCAATTGCGTAGATCGATGCTCATGTTGTTGATTAATGTGTCTGGTCCAGACTCCATTATTTACAGACTTCCACCATATAGCTAAAGGCGGCGTTAAACAAACAAAATCATACCTAAGTCAATCGAAAAACTACGCAGACAAGTCCTAAATAAATGTCATCGACAGCACTGTTCTGTTAAATGCGTTCCGCCGAAGATCAGGTTCGATTCCCCCTCATGGGTACAATGTGATCCCCCAGTATACAGAATATTGTAGACTAACAACTAGTCTCTAAAATGAACTAGTCTCTAAAATGAACATTTGTACTGAAAAAAAGTTCATAGTAAAAAAATAAAAAATATAATGAAAAAGAGCCCTGAGACTTTCTTCATCCTGAAGCTGAGGAAATCTAGACTTGCCACATTTTCTAGACTTGCATGGGCTTTCTTGGATATATTTACTTCAGGGTCTGTACGACAGACTAAGAATATTGCTGTGGCGTAAAATCCAATCCTCTCACTCACTCACGCTCAGAGGCCAAACCTGCATTCCAGCATTTCCTTGAATAAGCCTTGTACAACCGAGTACCCGTAGTCAAATAACAGCACCAATGTGGTAGTAGGTGGAAACTGCCTTTGTGCCTATTGTCTCTACCGTATAACAATGATTAAAAAGTGATACATTTTGCCCAATAACAATGTGCTTAATAGGAGTGCTTGTATTAGAGTATGTATTTCTCATTGAGGTTTCGACATCTGGCTGAAATATGCAATTTCAGTTCACAAAATAAGCACTACGATTAGTTGTGTTAAATATATCAAAACTTGTATATATATCGAGACTGAGCAAAGCTCGTATTGATGAGTTGACAAATGAATGCATCGTTCACCATGCGGTACTGTAGCACATTATATAGGTATATTAAAATCATTGAAACGCGTGTAGAAGAACGCTTACACGTGGCACTATTGTGTTTGTATATTCTGAACAGATTGTACAGGTGGGGGTGAGTTGCTGTTTATTACGATAATATAAATATTTACTTGTTTGTCCACAATGTCAACTCCTGACGATCATTTCCTGCGACTCATCTCTGTCATTTTGGCATCCTTGTGATTAGTTTCACTAATTCATGTGTCAATCATATCATGTAAAACACTGTTTGGTAACATGGATTTGTTACTACTTGGTTCCAATTTCTCCAAATATGAGGGCTGGTGGGGTAGCCCAGTGAGTGTGATGTTCGCTCATGACGCCGAAGGCCGTTCGACATGGGTACATAGTGTGAAGCCCATCTCTGGTGTCCTCCCGCTGTGATGTTGCTGGAATATTGCTAAAAGCGACTTAAAACCATACTCACTGCAATTATGAATGGAATATACATGCACTATCATCGTAGTCCCGCCTCATGGACACCGCATACGAATGCACTGATTGATCATATATCAAATGTGCTTTTAGAAGCCATAAACTGCCTTTTCAACATACAACCCCGTGTGGGGGTCTTGTTTACGTCTTAAATGTTGCTATGTAACAAGCTGCATACTCGATGGTATTTACCAGTAAGACATTTCTTGATGTCCGGGAGCGTTTGCTCGTCAGACTTAAGGCCCGGGTTCGATTCCCCACATGGGTACAATGTGTGAAGCCCATTTCTGGTGTCCCCTGCTGTGATATTGCTGGAATATTGCTAAACGTGGCGTAAAACTCACTCACTCACCCACTCAAGGTAGGTGGCAACGTTGTTTAACCTACTTGTTCCACTAGCGGGTTACAGTGAATTACGCCTTTGGTGTGCGAGGTATATCTATAGCTAACGAAATATGCCGAGTGGAGTCTAATACTAATGGAATGCTAAGAGTGAGTGGATGTGATTTTATGCCGCTTTTAGCAATATCACAACGGGGAACACCGAAATGAGCTCCACGTGTTGTATCCATGAGGGGAATCGAATTCGGGCCTTCGGCGTGACAAACAGACGATTTAACCACTTAGCTTCTATAACACCCCTTTAAATTATTGACACATATGTGAAGTGAGGTGAGGTGAAAGTGGGTTTAACGTCGTGCTTGAGAATATGTCGCTCATATGACGACGTGCATGCGTGTGTATGTGTATGTGCGGCTGCTTGTACTAGCCCAGACTTAAGAAGGTTTTATAGTGCTAGCCCACTGGGATACCATGCCGTAGTGAAGCGTGAATACCCCACTCAGACACATTATACTGACTCCGAGCCGACCAGTCCTTGTTGCACCGATTAATGCCGAGCGCCAGGCAGGGACCAACAAGTACCATATTTTAACGTCTTTAGGTATGACGTGGTCGGGGATCGTACTCGCGACCTTCCGCTCTCCGGTTGACACATATGTAGAGTCATTTTACCTAAACACCCATTTGGGTGATCGAAAACGGGTCTTCGGTGTGACGAGCGAACTAGTTGATCATAATACTTGTCCCACCAACCCGGACCGCTAAGATGCGTAGGTCAACGGCTATTAATAGAGGTGTACGTGGTGGTTTTAATCTGGCAGGTCAACGGTTACTGATTACGACGGTTGAATGTCGAGGTGAGTCTTCTTTCAAGTGTTTTGTAGGTGTTCTGTAAACATCTGTTATCAAGTTAAAATTAAAGTTGCATGCCTGAGTTGCGTCCTTAACTGTCACATATTTACTTCCAAACTTCGAACTATTAAGAAGAACAAACTGTGTATTTGTTGTTTTATCTAGCAAGTGATAGATAGTGTTATACGAAAATAGCACAGGTGACGTGAAGTTGTGCTGAGTCGAATGTTTTCAATTCATTACAAATTCATCGTCGATGAACCAGCTTTTCCCTTTTCATTGTTGAAACAGGTAAATTGCAATAATTCTGCTTCATAAGTAATAGGTTGAGACAGATATGAGGACATTGACATAGACCCGTTTTCTGACACGAATTGTCCGTATATTCCTCATTGACATAACACAACCTTTAATTGAAAACGATTGTGGAAATGAACTACATATTGTAAAAGAGGGATATATGATTTCATTAAGAATAATACTGGCCCATTTCTGTTTAAAGATGACTCGCTGTGTTGAAAGGGTTGGTCTCGGCGCCACCGAGCTGCTTTTCTGTGTGTTAGCCCTTTTTCTGATGTACGTGTCACCATGTGGACTGACTATTGCTAGTTTTCTTCTTACCGGAGGCATTTTTGTATGCTACTGGCTAATTCGAAGAGCAAGAGCAAGAAGGATTGATGCACAAGGGAAATATGTACTCATTACAGGTTGTGACACAGGTAAGGTTTAGTTTGTAACGACCTCACATAACGATAGGATTATAACTGTGAATAAGCTTCTAAACGTGATGACCATTCATGAACATAAGAGACTGAAGCCGATTAAACGACATGATAAAAATGTCAGAGTGATGACAGGTAAATATGTGAAAGTGATAACGATTAATAAACGTAAGAATGATGGCCAAATAAACACAATTGTGACTGATGGCAATTAATGATTTGAGAGTGATGACAATTAATAAACGTGAGAGTGATGACAATTAATAAACGTGAGAGCGATGACCAAGACTCTAAAAGAGAGGAAGATGAACAAAGTGCTGACAGTGAAAATATATCTTCCAATTTAATCTTATCTATACTGTATGAGCTTGATCGTTTGTTACATGGTGTGTCGGCGTAGTCACCGAAGCTGAGCACGTACAAAGTAATCTATCAGCGTCATTGCATAGAGATTTTACATGAACGTTTTCTCGATTCAGGTTTTGGAAATAGTCTTGCTCGACTCCTTGATAGCAAAGGTTTAAAGGTATTTGCTACATGCCTTTCTGAACAAAGTGAAGGAGCAAAACTATTGAAGAAAGATGGAAGCAAGAATATGCGTGTTTTACAGCTGGATGTCAGTTCGGATGCGAGCGTTCTTGCCTGCCTTGAACAGATCAAGCCCATATGTTTTAAAGAAGGTACATTAGGGCATTTCTGGGATGAATTCGAAGACATCATTGTAGATGAATTGAAATGTTCGCGTCGTTTTGGATTATGGCATATCTAGCTTTTTGCAGCACGCACATGAATAACAAAAACGCAACCTTCATCGAAACGTACATTACTATTATACCATGGCTGAATTGGTTTACAAAGTTTGTAACATTTTCTTTGTAACAATTCAGTACATAAAAGAATGTATCACTTTTGTTCCAACCACTTTGCCTCGCATATTGGCCGAATTGTTACATTCGACACCAAATGATAATCTGGTACACCACGCATTTGGTCGTTCACATCCAAACCTTTGATATGAACATTTTGAAGAGGACAAATAAAATATTACCGTTTTAGTCATTGTGATGCTGTGTTTCTTTTTTCAGGTTTGTGGACCTTGGTAAACAATGCTGGGATAATCTGCAAAGGCGATGTGGAGATACAGACCATGGAAGCGTATAAGAGAATTGCAGAAGTTAACTTATTTGGGGTTGTACGAATGTGTAAAGCCTTTCTGCCCCTTGTCAGAAAATGTAAAGGTGAGCTACGTTTGCTTGAACTGCAGACGTCAACATATTTTGGGCTGTACGAATGTGTAAAGTCTTTCTGTCAGTTGTTAGAAAATGTAAAGGTGAGCTACGTTTGCTTGTTTTCAGTTGTGGATATGAGAGCAACTTTGAAGATTTATTTTATTTATTCTTTGAAAATGCCCATTGATATGCAGATAGTCACATATTAATGATTACCAACATATGACGTTTGTGTTTTAGGCAGAGTTATTAACGTCACAAGCGTCCGAGGATTACAAGCCTTCTGTGGGGATTCCGGCTATGTCATGAGTAAATTTGGTCTTGAGGGTTTTACCGACTGTCTTAGGCTAGAGATGAGGAGGTTTGGAGTCAAGGTCATTCACGTGGAACCCGGAATGTTTGGGCTCAACACTGGTTTATTCAATGAAGAAAACGTACGGTTGTTGGTTCTTTGCTATGCTATGTATTTACAATAGAATATGTTCCATATCTTTATTGAACACCTGTTGTTATCTATTCCTATCATTTTCCCCCTCTCCAATTTGCCAATAACGTCAAATGGAATTGGCAGAAATTCGAGAATGGTTATTCTCTGGTGTTTACGCTTCCTATATAGTTTGATTTGGCATGAATTCTTTCAAACAATACATGTTTGATGGGCATTTAAGAGTAACATAACAACGTGCGGTGTTGATTTACAACTTCTTCATTATTTACAACACGCCGTTTCTGGGCTACTTCTTGCCCCTTCATCAGGTAAATGCATGCTAATATCTTTATGTGTTTATGTTGATAACTAGTTATATGTTCGCATTTTATTCACCCCCCAAACAGGTTGAACGATACAAAGTTTTGAGCAAGAAGCTGATCGATAATGTCAGCGATGAAATAAGGACAGCGTATGGGCAAGACTATCTGGACACATACATGCGGGTGCCAAAAATGCGCCCAGGGTCTTCCGACCAGGACATCCAACCAATGCTTGATGCCTTTGAAGATGCCATACTTAGCTGCCGGCCAGACAGTCGCTACCTTGTTGATGGGCAGAGGGTGGACGGCGACTGTGTGAGTGAAGAACAATGTGTATGAAGTATATGTTCAATATGGACAAATTTGATTGCTCATCAACCATGTAAAAACTAAATCTGTGAAATATATTCTGGTATTTAAACATCATTTGGAAAACGTACTGAACCTCCGGTATAATTTCTTGTTGTATTTGCCTTTAATGCTTCTTAATATCTTTCCACATGCATGTACATGATCCAAACTTGTCTTAACCTTTCAGACGATGGCTCGCCTCAGAAATGTCCTGCCTGTATTTATTATGGATCCATTGTATTTCTACCTGCGTCCATTGCCAAAAGAAGCTTTCTATGCAAGTACAACTTCTAGGCATTGAAGAAGCTGACGTGCAAATAAACATTTGTAAATGAATTTAGTTAATGCTCAGGAGTGCTTAATAAAGGTATTTTATCATTTTCCGAATCCATTTTTCATGTGTGGGTGGCCTCGTCCTGTTTTAAGTTTCTTTCAAATATACTAGGCCTAAAAGAAACTGTGCATACAAAAATTTAAAATGTAAATTTATCAAACCTGTGTAGACACATAAGGATTTAAATTCAGAGATTATTGACATGTATCCAACATGCATGCACGTGCCACGTTCCATGACGTCAGTGGGTTCGTCCTTGAGACGTGCAGTACGTTGTTGCATGTGCATTCCGGGAAAGAGAAACAGAGCAAATGAATGCGCCACAATTCCGTCACTTTGGAAAGCTCAACCCCTGCCCTTGCAATCGTTCAAAAAATTAAACGGCTATTGAAACGCATAGCATGCCAAGGCTCACGACTGCACAACGTCATGAGGCCATTGGGATGGTCCGTGGGGGAATGTCTCAACGACAAGTGGCTGCACATTTCCACTGCCACCGGAACACCATTTCTGCACTGGTGAGACGCTATCAGAACACAAATGACGTCATCGATCGGCCACGTTCTGGACGTCCACGTGTAACAACGCCAAGACAGGACAGATGGATAAGGGTGACCCACCTTCGCCACAGGTTTCAGACTGCAGTGATGACTGCCCGAACCATCCCAGGACTTCGCCGTATCCACCCCAACACAGTTCGACAACGTTTACGTCATCACGGGATCAGACCACGACGTCAGATAACATCCTTGGCCTTGCAACAGAACTTGCGAGAATCTGGCGTGACATCCCACAAGCTTTCCATGCACGTTTGATAGGCTCTCTGCATCGTCGATGCACTGCTGTTCTCAATGCCGATGGTGGATATACCCGTTATTGAGCTTGTGACATGGTCATTTGACCCCTGTCCCGCTTGTGGACTCGTGACGTCATTGTGATTGACTTTTCAATTGAAATTATCCCGACTTGTTATGGTCTCATGATCCCTCCATTAAAGTTTATATGTACCTTTGACATTGTTATCGTACTTATCAACTGGGATAATATTTTGATAATGCACAGTTTCTTTATGTGGCTAGTATATATACACGGCGTCGAAGTGACCGACACATCAACACGATGGCTGGGGAAATGTGCAGCTGGATATCTTCACGAGTGATCGTTTATCCGTAACGTGAACTTAACAAAAGTGACTAATAGTTGTTATTGCTACTGTAAATGTCTCAATGACATAATTATACATGCGTAGGCTTCTCGAGGAAATATATATATACTCGAATCCAAACGAACGCGAATAAAGTAAAGCTTTGATACAGTGATGAATGAAGATATTGATGTTTGCTTTTGAAATAATAAATAATGGTGAATATTTATAACGCGCCTTTCCAGGCTTCACATCCTGCTCAAAGCGCACAATCAGATCATTATTACCCCAGATAACCCAAGCTGTTTGTGAGGCGCTAGAAGGTTAATAGCCACATATCATATCCCGCCAAGTACCCATGTTCTGCTGGGTAAACAGAGGCAATTTTGAACAAACTCACTTGCCTTAGGTGAGACTATATGTATCACATGTCGGGCAGGACTAAAATCCTAGAAACTCTCAGGAGTCAAGCTGCCAAACACGGTCACCCATGCAATAACTCTCCGCGCCCAGCGTTGCTTAACTTCAACTGATTTGTGACCTGAGCACAATGCACAAGGCCACACACTACCACATCATATTTATAACCAGAACTGTGTCTTGATGTTGTCAGTATGACATCGTCATTTGGTAACGTCACTTATGGGTCATGGGAAAGAACATTTCAGTGTCGAATATGGCCTCCATCAGCAGTCACTTCGGTATCATCAGAACAGTGACCAGAATGCCTATCTGAACATCGAACACATACCACTTTGCCTCAACATGTTTCATTTCAAATACTTTCAAACAATTGTAATATCCACGTTTCTTTTGGAATTCAGTTTACTTACCGTCATTAATTATACGCGCTATGGCGGTTGCCATGGATGTTACACTCCTGTGTCACTACCCTTTAGGTTTCCAGAAGAAGTTTTCGAAATTGTGATATCAGCATTGTTACAGGAACTCATATTCGCAATAAATTAAACTTTGCTGTTCTTATATGAAAATTGCAGTTTTCAACTGAGCTGTCCGAACAATATCCTTAAATAGATTAGTAACCTGTGACCACATCACACAGCTCATGATATGGTATAAATTCCTGAGAAAGTGTTGTTCATTCAGGTGTTGTAACAGTCGGACGAACGAAGGTTCGAACAACGTGCCAAGGCATAAGGTCTTTGTAACCCTGGATTTAGGGGAGCTGAAAGTAGATCAAGCAGTTTGCCGAGATAACACGAATTAGGTCACAGGGGCTTAACAGAACTGTTGCAGTATTCAATGTGTCACTACAGTGCGCCTATCGCTGAATTAGCCCAGTTGCAATAACCTTACGACAGTTGCCGCAACACAGGATTCTTATAGTGGAGAAAGGGAAGGCAGTTCTCCGAAGTAGACCATGCATAGTTTGGTGGACATGCTTGGTCCAGTGGTATCTGTGACCATTTTATGCGTGTTATTTGTAGTACTGGTATTTGTCACATTATGGGGACATGTGCTCAACCTTTGTCTACTCTGTGGTGCATTTTCTGTCAGTTACTGGTTTATACGCAAAGCAGGCACAAAGATGGTCGACACACAAGGGAAATACGTTCTTATTACAGGGTGTGACACAGGTAAGTCTTCACGTCTCTTAAAAAAAACAGGTATAAGTTTAGACTGTGTATTAAAACAGTGTTTGGAAGACCTAATGTAACAGCAGGACCGTGTGATTCAGTGATTTACTAATGATGTCCCAGATGTTTCCGGCCTGACAATGAACGGATCTCCCAGACACAACCAAACTGCCTGTGTATATAGATCAGGATTAAAGCATGACGGTAACATGAATAGCTTGAATTGCACAAACTAGAACTGCATATATACTCCTGTCAAGCTTCACTTCCTTTCCATTTACTCTCAACAGCTGCTCAAAATTTTAAAAAAGTATATACTCTCAAGCACATTCATGAAGACATGCCACAAACATTAGGTGATACTTGCCCTTCATATAGTACAGTAAATCAGTGCTGTGCTGATTCACAGGCAAGCTGTAGCGCCAATAGGTTGGAAACGTACTTCCCTCGCTTCAGTTCGAAAAATATTTTTAATATCAAAATAAAATATCAAAGGTAGACACACATTTCCAACCTCATATTTAATAATTACTCACGTGAATATATTTCATTAAACATTTTAAGCGCCATTCTTGGCATATCAAATCGTTCTTCGTCTTCATTACCCCTGTCAGCTTCCTGTTCAGCCGAGTGAAGGGACGGGTGAGTTAACTCTAAATATACTTCTTGAATCACCTGTCCACTAGAATAACTACTGGCGGAGTTACCTTCCTTGCTTTCATTCACCCCCTACGTCCAGGTTATTCTCCAGATCTAGCGCTCTCTGACTGTTTCCTCTTTCCGCTTTTTCCGAGGCAGCACATTTAAGACACATGAACACATTATTACTGCCATGGAGGACATTTTAGGGTCACGTGACAAACTGTGGTTTTCGGATGGGTTACAAATGTTGGAGAAATATTGGATCAAGTGTACAGAAGTCAAGGATGACTATGTTGAAACATAGGTAGAAAGATATTCATACATATCGTATTTTTCATGATAAGGCCGGAAACTTCTTGAACACTCCTCGTATATAAAACTATGTGTATTGAGTCCAAAACGTTATTGTTTTTAAGCCAAACGTAGTTGTAGGGTAGGAAACGGGTAGCATGTAATAATTCAATAATATTGGTACACAAGATATTGGCCCCAAATCATAAGTTCCTGTTGTAAGCCAAACATATAGACTTTTGCCATACACAGGCTTCGGGAATAGCCTCGCTAGACTACTGGACACCAAGGGACTGAACGTCATCGCCGCGTGTCTGTCTGAGGAAAGTGACGGTGCCAAACAATTGAAGACAACAGGGAGCAGGCGCATGAGTGTCTTACAGCTTGACGTAACTTCGGATGAAAGTGTTGCTTCATGTCTTCAGAGGGTAAAGACGCTATGTAACAAAGAAGGTACATTGGGGTGTCTTAAATACATTTGATATGTTAATATGCTACTGACTACCTCAAAGCATAGGGATAATTTATTAATAAAGTACCGAGCCAAATTAACAACCAAATACCTCAAATCAATGGCTTTTGAAAACACATATTGCTGACGTATGACTGAACATTATACACCATTTTGCAAAACATGATTAAACGTTTTCTTTGTTGATACATGCTTCAGACAATTTCAGACCTTGACAATGACCTGAGCTTAATTTCATTGGCGTTGTTCATGTGTATGTACATTGTGTCAAAATATCATCTTGATGGTTCCTGACAATGAATAGCTATTTAGATGTGGATGTGGTTTATCGCTGCTTTCAGCAGTATTCAAGGCACACCTGAAGGGACACTTGTAACTGAACACGCTCCTCCTGTGGGGAATCAAACATGAGTCTTGAGCGGGACAAACTAACCCACTTACCCCTGGTTAACCACTATGTGTACCGAAAGGTCACTCAGTAAAACAACATAATTAACTTACAATCTATAAATGGTTAATGCAAACTTTGCAGACAATTATTTAAAGTTATACCAGTTTTGAGCTAATATACACAATGTATCAAATTGTATACCTAACTGTAATATTGATACAGGTTTTATGTTTCAGGATTATGGGCCTTGGTAAACAATGCTGGCATACTATACACAGGGGATGTGGAGATACAGACAATGACTATATATAGGAGAGTTGCAGAAGTAAATCTCTTTGGTATGGTTCGAATGTGCAAGGCGTTTCTACCTCTAGTCAGGCAAAGAAAAGGTGAGAAAATATGATTTTATATATTATTTCTATACTGAGTTGAATCACAGTTTTGAAGTAATAGTGACATAAATACTACGGTCATTACACCAGGCCATTCCACACAACTCCATGTCACCATGTCTCCCTGTGAGGAGTGACAGATTTTTATCTCCATAAATGACCAATATTGTGACCTTTTGTTCAGGACGTGTTATCAACGTGACCAGTGTGCGTGGTCTGCTGGCGGGCCCAGGTCACTCAGCTTACGTCATGAGTAAGTTTGCTGGAGAAGGATTCACAGATTGTTTGAGGCTGGAGATGAGGAGGTTCGGAGTCAAGGTCATCCTTGTACAACCAGGAAGTTTTGGCCAAAGCACTGGCTTATTTAGTGTGGAGAACGTACGTATTGCTTAAAGTTTTACATATGGAGTGTGTACAGTATGGTTTTAATCATGACCAATTAAGTAAACATTAATTAAATGAAATTGTATAAAACACGTTCCGTTAAAGATATAATCTTTTACAAAACGTATTAAAAAGTGCATGTATTTGGTACAGCCGCTAAGACTACAATATTCCAATATTTTTCTGATGATAAATTGTGTTTTATATTTCTATTTGTTACGTGTGTCCGACAATTGTTCACATAACGTATACATGCAGCAATGAAGGACGCCTCTTTGACAACTATGCATTCATACCCGTTAAAAATTGATGTTTTGAATGTCAGAAGTGTTCAGTGTGTATCTTCCTTGTTATTAGGTATGTCAGTTCATACGTGACATCATCTTGCATTCACAGACTTTGCGTTAATAGCAGCAAGTACATACAGGTAGAGGACACCCGTAAATATCCGGGTTAGAATTGGTCTTCAGCAATCGATGCTCATGCTGTTGATCACTGGATTGTCTGGTCCAGACTCTACTATTTACAGATTACCGCCACACAGGTGGAATATTGCCTTGTGCAGCGTTAAACAACCAACCAACCAAACCAACAGGTATAGGTTCTGGTGCATTGTCTCATGAGCTGCACCCAGTATTACATACAGTACATGTACCTTAACACAGAGGCGTTTAGGTTGGGTGAGATCAAGATACATTTTATTTATAATCACAGGTTCAGCGCCAAAAGAAGGCGTACCAACAGCTAATAGACTCTGTAGATGACGAGATACGGGCAGGGTATGGACAACAATATTTAGACACATATATGCGCGTCCCTAAGATGAACCCGGGGATCCTCTGACAAAGATCTTAAAGGTGTTCTGGATGCATTTGAGGATGCCATACTGAGCACAACCCCAGACAATCGATACCTCGTCGATGGCATTCGTAACAGAATTGACGTATTGTGCGTAAGTAACACCCTGTTACATGGTCACCGTTCTTAGACATACAACTTCGTCTTGAAACTACTTTTTCCCAAACTTGTTTACTGCAAACATGGCTGCACTTGCAGGTAAGCAATCCCTTTTTACCCCAGTCACAAGGCAAATGGAGCCATGGGTGGCCTTTTCGCCTCAATAGCATCATCTTTAGGTTAGTTGTAGTCCTTTGGAGTATGAGGATCCGATGATATATCAAGCCGTATCAGCGTCATAGTAAAGGTAAGGAGAAAGATGGACTGACATCGTGACAGCTTTAGTGAATGCTTCAAGAGATAAACCACACATTCATAATAGCATAAACACATTAGAAACTGGTTTAGTTGAGCCACGGTTATAACTAACGCCATATATATACGTCAGTGTAGCTTGTAGTATTTCTTGTAGATGATGGCACGACTACGCAACTTTCTGCCGGTGTCGGTGATGGATGCTCTTTATCTCTGGCTCCAGCCACTGCCAAAAGAGGCCTTTTACACAACTACGTCGTGAAGTGAGGCGTTATTAACCCGGTCAATGCAATGTTAGTTGACGGTTTAAGTAGTAAACTGCAGTTGGTTTGCTGAAGATATGACAATTCGCTCTTGCTTGACAACGGTATAAGAACTTATTTCAAAACGTCTCATCATAATATGATACTTTATCATCGATAAAGTATCGTGTCTTTATTATTACGTTTCTTTTTGACTAACTGGATAAGCTGCTGACGTACGAGCGTACGTCACTGAGAAGATATACGTTAGTGTCTGTGTCATGATTACTATTGAATAACGTTGGTGATACATGCAGGTTTGATCCCCAGCTCTAGATTCTTGTATCTGGGCCTTATACTGTATACTGATAGCCAGTACTAGTCAGAATGAGCAATGATCAACGTCGTTGGTGGTGATGCCGCACGATCAACTAGGAGACACAGGAGGATCATCCTCATTTAGACAACTGGAGGACTAGGAGGCTGAGGACATAGGGACGGTCTACATATTGACCCTTTATGTCTACCGTGTTCGTAACACTTTTCTTGATATGTGTTTTAGTTAGAAAATAAACTTTCTTGAGATCACATTTCTGATTGGTGGTTATCAATTACAGTTAATTCATTTAATAATAGCGTTTGATTAATACAAAAAACAGACATGTAAAACAATACAAATTTCCGATTGCGTGCATCGGGCAGAACAATTACCTGTCCATTGCATGAAACGAGCAAATATTGCATTTGCCCACATTGGGTGTAACATCTAGATTCATGCGTCAAACAGGCTTTTTGTAAGCGTACACTTATGACACACAGTGTTGACACGCAGCACATTCCAAAAGCAACAGTAGAGAGCTGTCCCAAGCGGGGATACGGCTATTCAAAGTTTCTTTTCAGCCGCGGCTTTTTGAGGACATGGACTACAGTGTGTACTGATATGTCACATGCTCGGCTTATGGGACAACTCGACACACAACCTCTAGGGCCACTAGCCGTGTGGGTGGTATCTAGTTTTCTCGAATATTTCCAGGACGATATGATGCAGATTGTACTGTTGCAGACCTAGGCAATCTACAACTCAGCGCAGGTCACAGTACTTGAAGTAACGTTATCGGTACAAAAGAGTAATACTATAAATTATTCATTTCCTTCATTCTGCCTTATTCACAATATTTAATTTCTGAAAATGCCCGCAGTCTGTAGAGGCCTTATAGAAACACACGTATCAGTGTTTACGGTGTTCAGAGACAAAATATCGATCAACATTCCTGCATTTCGAGCGACGCCAACACAAAAATCTTCACCCATCAGCGTCATTGTAAATGAATGGGGTTTTTTAAGATGAATATGTTCACAGAGTGAATGTGCCAAAATATTGGAAAAGATGGGGAGCTATCAATTGCCTTGTTTATAAAGCTTGACATCAGTGCCGATGCGAGGGAGCTTGTCCACCTGGAAAAGATCGAGCACAAGTGTCTTAAAACAAAAGATGATTTTATATGTTTGCTGGATACTTCACATGTGGTTCATTCTCCAAGTAAGATGCAGGCTTTACGGTAATGTACACTATTGCACTACTAACCGATTCAAAGATTGACACACTTCTTATGATTCAGAGGCAGCCAATGTTCTAACAGGATTGATTGCTAGTATGTGTTAGTGCAATTAAAGTTCTTTTGGTGTATTCGTTGATGCACCATCCCATCCCAGTTGTAGCTGTTCTAGAAGACTCTCTTAATTTTACAGGGGCGGTGAGGTAGCCTAGTGGTTCAAGCTTTAGCTCGTCACGCCGAAGGCCCACGTTCGATTCCCTACATAGGTACAATGTGTGAAGCCCAGTTCTGGTGTACCCCGCCGTGTTATTGCTGGAATATTGCTAAATCCATACTCACTCACTCACTTAATTTTACAACAGTAAATGAGGAAATGACACGAGCACAATGGAATTTCAAATATGATTCCCACGGCGGTCTTATATCAAATTATGCAATGGAGAACCTATCAAACTCTTGGTTCTTTGAATTGACACTCCTTCCGAAAGCATTACATTTGAGTGATTTCTCTGAAGGAAAGGTTCGGTTTAACCATGGTCTTTTCGACTGAAACCACCACGACCTGGCTGAGAATCAACTGTAACAACAATAGCGTGACGTCCTCGTCATGGTGTAAGATTGCGTGGTTCACGACAAAACATAGCATTCTCATTGTGTTTTCGATTACTGTTACATAATATCTAAGTAGTATTTATCATGTGTGATGATATCGGGCACAACATTGGCGTTTCACTTCTTTTTTTGTTTACAAAGAGACATGAAATTCATGTACCTCGATTTAGAGTGCACACAGTTCTTGGAGTGTTCGAAGAAATCACATTTGCTCCAAATTCAATCACGGTAAGACCTCAGGTGAGCAAATAGATCACGCAATTTAAGAGATAAAAAAGAAGTAGGCCATAGAGGCGTCACAGAACTATTGCAGTATGAACAGGTGCCGTTTCAGCAGACAATTCGTGTAGCCTATTTTGGCAAATGTGCCGGTACTTATGTGTGGAATGGGAAGTCTGTTCTCTCTTGTAGATTATGTCTAGTTTGGTGGACATGCTTGGTTTGTGTGTCTTCGAGACCAGTTTAGGCGTGTTATTTGTAGTACTGGTATTTGTCACATTATGGGGACAGGTGCTCAACCTTTGTCTACTCTGTCTTGCGTGTTCTGTTAGTTACTGGTTTATACGCAAAGCAGGCACAAAGATGGTCGACACACAAGGGAAATATGTTCTTATTACAGGGTGTGACACAGGTAAGTCTCCACGTCTCTTTGACACATAGTACGATTTTAGATATTACATGTATATTTACGCCTAAAAGTGTTTATTAGAAGAAATAGTCTAATAACCTTATGTTTCTTTCAGTTCTGTATTAAATTGTATTTGCTTACCAAAGCTTACAAGGTCAGGGCTAATGTCAAGGATTTGCCCAAACACACGAAGAGAAGATTGGCATGTGTGTGGTTACTCGAATTGAATACATGGAAACAAAGAAAATGTATGACTGTATCTTTACTGACTATCTTTATGTGATATGTTGTCGGGTAGAGAGAGGGTAAATTATAATAATTCAGCAATATTGGTACACAAGACATTGACCCCAAATCATAAGTTCCTGTTGTAAGCCAAACATATAGACTTTTGCCATACACAGGCTTCGGGAATAGCCTCGCTAGACTACTGGACACCAAGGGACTGAACGTCATCGCCGCGTGTCTCTCTGAGGAAAGTGACGGTGCCAAACAATTGAAGACAACAGGGAGCAGGCGCATGTGTGTTTTACAGCTAGACGTAACTTCGGATGAAAGTGTTGCTTCATGTCTTCAGAGGGTGAAGACGCTATGTAACAAAGAAGGTACATTGGGGTATCTTTAGATTACTTCAGTCACTTTTTGATTCCCAAGTAAAGACTAATGGGGGAGTTAACTGAAAAATCAGTAAGGACAAAAACTCAGTGGGGAACCAACAAACAACAAAACAATGTGATATGATAAAGATTAATACAAATCTCGACATATGTATCACAGTGGCTGTGCAAGTTCAAGGGCAGTATAAAATATAAAAGCAATGTTTATAGTAGTAGAGACAGAGATGTAATATTCTCTTCATTGGAACGATGGTCAAGTTTCCAATATAGACCCTGTTTCCAGGGTAAGGCTGATCTCCACAAAATTACAGGTCTCCTGGTTACTGTACAGATGTATATCATGTTAGATGAAAGGAAATAAGTAGCTTCCATTATATATATAAGAACACGACTACAGAAGATTCTCCAACTCCTTGGGTCAAAATATAAAGGCTCATAAAATCGTAGCACCTTGTAGTAGCTTCCAGATCTCTGTCTACACATAGCACAAGTCTCAATATACAGTACACTCAGTGACTGTCGGCAGAAGTTACAGTATTACACAATTGGAACGATCTTACACAAGAAAAGACCGTCACACAACACTGTGTGGTTGACCACCTTCCTGGTGTGGTGGATCTTCTGGCCACGTACTATCACATAACGATGAATAATGGCACTTAAAAGCTTGTGACCCTGCCTGGGGTGAAAATATACGGACCGGGCTGCGAGATTGTATTTATATTGGCACCGGCATAATTCCGGTCAAGTACAAGCACAGCCAAATCTCGCTATATTATTAGAAAGCAAGGTCTAAATCTATGGATATGTTATGATTGAAACTATTGGCCCAAGTAAATAACACTCAGTGGATAATGCAGAAAATATAGACAACGATACAAAATTGTACCAGTTGTAAGGCCATAATTTAAACTGTCTATCTTCTTTAACATGTCAATACTGATTAAAATCTTTACTTATGAAGTGTAATGTTACCTTTCAGGATTATGGGCCTTGGTAAACAATGCTGGCATACAATACACAGGGGATGTGGAGATACAGACAATGGATATCTACAGGAGAGTTGCAGAAGTAAATCTCTTTGGTATGGTTCGAATGTGCAAGGCGTTTCTACCTCTTGTGAGGCAAAGAAAAGGTGAGAAAAATATGCTTTTATATATTGTTTACATACTGATATGAATTGAATTTAAGAATAAATATTGACGTAAATACGACGGTTATTACACGCGGCCATACCAAACAATTCCTTGTCACTATGTCTCCCTCTGTTTGGTATGGTTCGAATGTGCAAGACGTTTCTACCTCTAGTGAGGCAAAGAAAAGGTTAGGAACACTTTTGTACTTACACTATGCATCCCGCAGAAATAACTCGAATTTGTGAGAACGAATCTAGAATTTGCAGAGTGTATATATAATGAAACGCCAAGGTAGTAAAATGGGTTTTGCTGATATTCATACAAATTGAATACCAAATATGATATTCCCATGACTGCATGCGTGAGGTGTGATTTGTGCGAGTAGAATTAAGCAACAAATATACCGAAAACGTGTGGGGAACGCAAAAACGCAACCATGTCAGAGAATGCGGCCGAACACACCGGCATGGAGTGAACGTGCATCATGATTTGTTGGTCTGTGAAAACGATGGGCTTTCACTTGTCTGCCATCACAATTGTACAGCAAATGAAAACTGAAACATGTCATGACTGACAGAAGCTCAAAGGCATCGGCTGACTGCAACGGGGAAATTCGGCGTCAGCCGTTCCAGGGTTTCAACGTGATGACAAGCACTATTACAATACTGATAGAACCGCCATCAGATGCAAGGATCAACACAGTTTGTTTGACAATTACATTTCAAAGAAATAATCTATAAGAGCTGATATCCATAAATGACTAATCATTTGACCTTTTGTTCAGTGTTTGCCCTTAACTCTGAAAAGCTGCAGGCACTAAGGACCCAGAACCATACAAAGTTGTGGGTCCTGATCAAAATGTGTAGGCTCTATATTTGAATATGGAAATAATACTCTTAGTTATTGGGGATGAAAGAGCTGTCGTCCATAAGAACCTGCAAAAACAAAAGCTGTGGGTTCGAGTGGATTTCAGTCGGCTTCGGGCCTAAGAACGTTGCTTTTGTTCAGGACGCGTAATCAACGTAACCAGCGTGCGTGGTCTGATAGCATGTCAAGGTCACACAGCTTACGTCATGAGTAAGTTTGCCGCAGAAGGATTCACAGATTGTTTGAGGCTGGAGATGAGGAGATTCGGGGTCAAGGTCATCCTTATAGAACCAGGCGGTTATGGGCTCAGCACTGGTTTGTTTAGTGTGGAGAACGTACGTATTACCAGGGATAATCTACAACTTATATAGTCCCCCCGGTATTACTTTTCGCACTCTACGGTTTTGACCATGACCAAATAACTAAATATTGATTTATTAATCATATTCTGTTAATAAATATTGTGTTGTGAATAGTACGTGACAATGAATAAATAGCATATATATTAATTATATAAAACCAATAAAAACAGTAAAAAATATTGCTTTATTAACAATAATATCATGTTGAATCAACGATACAATATTATTACAAAATAGTTGTGATGTTATTTTTACCGCCTCCAATATTTATTATATATAGCAGTGTTTTCTGTAAATATTTGTATATTAAATGGTGGTCTCGATTTGTTACATGTTGTATCTTGTAAAACGGTTACTTTAACAGACACGTAAGCGTCTACGGGCCGCTATTTATGACGTGACATTCAAAACTATGCACACATACTCTTAAGTTTGAAATTATTACTTTGAATAGGTTCATATGTTTTTTTTATGTTCGGTGTTTAATAAACATAAGGCGGTATCGCACATCGTGCAATAATATCTCATGCGGATGGAATTATTTTTTACCATTAGATGATCATCTGCATTACCCTCGTTGCAATACAATTTGTGCTTAACGGAGATACGTTATAAATATTCATATTCGCACTCTATCTGAGGTCGCATATATTTACCATCTCAACCAGTGCTGTAAACGATCGCACTCTATCTGAGGTCGCATATATTTACCATCTCAACCAGTGCTGTAAATGATCGCACTCTATCTGAGGTCGCATATATTTACCATCTCAACAAGTGCTGTAAATGATCGCACTCTATCTGAGGTCGCATATATTTACAGTCTCAACCAGTGCTGTAAATGATCGCACTCTATCTGAGGTCGCATATATTTACCATCTCAACCAGTGCTGTAAATGATCGCACTCTATCTGAGGTCGCATATATTTACCATCTCAACCAGTGCTGTAAATGATCGCACTCTATCTGAGGTCGCATATATTTACCATCTCAACCAGTGCTGTAAATGATCCATAAGACATTCTGTCATTTGCCAATATAGGTGTGAAAGTGTCTAGTTTGTACATGTAACTGTAACAATTCAACATTCATATGATTATTATCGATATTCGAATGTGTCGTTTTCACGTGCTATTCTGGTTTTATCTTAAATGAATCACACATGAATATTCATTTCATACGTGTACGTTATTTTGCATTCATCATTTTAATAGGGATTGGCTTAATAATCTGTGTGAAATGTGGATGTGATGTAGTAAATCATAAAGTTCATGCCCGATATATTTTATGTATTATATCATTTAAGTGACAAAAGATTTTATTTGTTCTAGCTAGTGAGTTCAATTCCAAAACGTTTTAAGTGTAACATCTTTGTAGTATTGCAAGCTGCATCTGAACGCAGATTGATTTTGGCGTCTCAATGCACTTCGTACAGACACGTACATTATGACCTCTTGGGCTATACCCGTGAAGGTCCGGGTTAGAATATTGATCTTCAGTAACCCTTGCTTGTCGTAAGAGGCGACTAACGGGATCGGATGGTCAGGCTCGCTGACTGGGTTGACACATGTCATCGTATTCTAATTGCGTAGATTGATGTTCATGCTGTTGATCACTGGATTGTCTGGTCCAGACTCGATTATTTACATACCACCGCCATATAGATAGAATATTGAGTGCGTCGTAAAACTAAACTCACTCAATCTCGGGCTATACGGTTGGCAAAATATATTTCTAACTAACGGTGTTAAGCAGAAGTTTGAAATATTAAACGTGCATCGAAAGATATAAACTTACCGGGGATTTCTGCAGCACTCCCTTTGTGTCAGGAATCCATTAGTCGGAATACATGTCATTGGTGTCATTGTGTTACACTCATATAGCCATTGAGAATGACGGTAAATATTATTTAGCTCCAACAACCAAAGCTTAATTGTGTGTACCAATCATACACACACTATGCGATCATTGTAGGGCCACTAAGTGGTTGTCATGTCAATAGACCAAGATTGGTTCCCCACATAGGAGTGTGTGAATCCCATTCCACATGGCCCCCGAATGTGGCTAGACATGGTGAAAATCATACCCACTCAATTACTACCCGTGAAGGTCCCGGTTACAATATTGATCTTCAACTCATCCATGTCGTAAGAGGCGACTAACGGGATCGGGTGGTCAGGCTCGCTGACTTGGTTGACACGTGTCATCGTATACCAACTGCGTAGATAGATGTTCATGATGTTGATCACTGGATTGTCTGGTCCAGACTCAATTATTTACAGACCGCCGCCATGTAGCTGGAATATTGCTGAGTGTGGCGTAAAACTAAACCCACTCACTCACTTACTACACTACCAATATAATCAGCTGTCCAGTGGCCGTTTACAAATTTGAGAAAGGAAAGATCAAATGTATTTATGAAGAACAGAATATGTTTCAACCAATTAGGCTAACGATCTCACTCGTTTGACAATGCTATGTTCTTTCATCACAGGTTAAGCAACAAAAGGTAGTGTACCAGAAGTTACTAGACTCTGTAGATGACGAGATACGAACAGCGTATGGACAACAATATTTGGATACATATATGCGCGTCCCTAAGATGATCCCGGGGATCCTCTGACAAAGATCTAAAAGGTGTTCTGGATGCATTTGAGGATGCCATACTGAGCACAACCCCAGACAATCGATACCTCGTGGATGGAATTCATAACAGGATTGACGTATTGTGTGTAAGTCTAACAATGTTTTATTGTTATATTTCCTCAACACTATAAGTTGAGGGGAGAAAGAATCCATACCCGGAAGTTGGATTGTAGCTAAAACTTAAACAAGAAATAGCAAATTTAGCAAGCAAGCAACCGTTCCCTTTCCCAGTTCAAAGCAACACAGGGGGCTGGTGTGGTAGCCTAGTGGTTAAGGCGTTCGCTCGTCACGCCGAAGACGTGGGTTTGATTCCCCACATGGGTACAATATATGAGGCCCATTTCTGCTATCCCCCGCCCTGATATTGCTGGAATATTGCTAAAAAACCATACTCACTCACTCACTCAAAGCAACACAGAGATCAACAAGTGGGTGCAACAGTTCAAGTTCACTTTTCCGATTCTGTGATCCGACGATAACAGGTTATAAATCTATGAGGCCATGATATGTGCTTGAGCACCTGAGGTTAGACGAATCGACGACTTATGCTCTTATATATACGTCACTGCAGATTGTAGTATTTCTTGTAGATGATGGCACGACTACGCAACTTTCTGCCGGTGTCGGTGATGGATGCTCTTTATCTCTGGCTCCAGCCACTGCCAAAAGAGGCCTTTTACACTACTACGTCGTGAAGTGAGGTGTTAATAACCTGGTCAATACAATGCATTTTCTGACTGGAATAATAACTACAGTTGGTTTGCTATACAGCTGGGGTTTCGGTTTCGCCGATGAACAGAACTGGGATATTCTTAAACACATTATGTTGCTGCATCGCATATTACGTTTTATCTTAACTATTTTTCCAAAATGTTTTTGTTATTGTGTTCCAGTAATCATAATATCTGCAATAAATTTACAAAATATATATTTCTTGCTGCTATTCTTTTTTCAACGGGATATCTGTAAAATGATATTGAAGCTACATTAATGTTCTCAATATTGCATTGTACGTGTATTTATATACAGCGCTCATGTTATAATCCTGTATAATGGGCCGGTGGCCCTTTACCTGAATAAAGCATCATACTTCATTTTTCCTGTTTGAAATTTAAACTTCCCAACATCTTTCCATATTTTAGTCACCAGTGACACAACGTGTACATGACAATGCCCTAATTTTATTTGTACCGTATGTTCTGTATTTTCAAGAAAGAACAATTGACTTTCCTTTGCATGTGTTATTGGCGGATGGCAGTGCTGGGGCAAGATGTGACCACCCTTTCTAGGTGTCGTCTCTGTATATAGCAAATCTACTCAACACTGTGTAATAGCCTCTGCTTTAGTAGGGTTTTCTTATGATTAGAGAAAATAGTTCTGTTACTTTTTAGTCAAGTCGATATCTTCTAAAAGACGTTTGTCAATCTCGTATGAGATAGCACTTAGTCCTAAATAAATATGAGTGACCGAGAGAGTTCGATAACACAGTACAGGTGTGGTTAGTCCTCCAGTTTAAACGGCGTGCCAGCTTACTGTGGGAGGTACCCTTGAAGATCCGGGTTAGAATTGGTCTTCAGCAACCCTGGTGGTCAGGCTCGCATCACATGTCATCGTATCAAAATTGCGTAGATCGATGCTCATGATGTTCATCACTGAATTGTCTGGTCCAGACTCCATTATTTATAGACTGCCAACAAATAGTTGGAATATTGCTGAGTGAAGCGTGAACAACAATCAATCAATCAATCAATCATACTGAGGAAAGCCCGAAGTGATACAGGTCACGACTTTAGAAAATAAACACCAGCACAGTACTGGCGTATTTACCACAAACTCGGGGCGAACTTGGATTCGAACCCATGATCGTTGGTTTCTGCACAACAACAGTGAGACAATTCTGCACAGTGAATGGTCTCAATGACATGGTGCGCACATGAGGTCAAAAACAACTGACGATAACTGCGACATTCTACAACATACTTCTTTATATTCGAAATAAATTAGCTCTTTCATAGACTAATAATTACAAGTATTCATCAATTACTTTTATCGCAGTGATATACACATTATTACATAAACAGCAATTAAATGCTTGCTTTACTACAATGTGCACACGAATGCTACACCATTAATAAATAAAATGCAAATGTATATCATTAATACCCTGCATCTCCTAATGGTTGAATTGTTGGTTCCCCTTTCAGTATCAGAGCACTGTTTTAGGCAACTGTCAAATGCTGCCTACATCTGCACACAGCACTAAGACTCATGTGGATATATTGGAATCAATATCCCTGGTGTATATTCAAACACTATTTTACACGTACACTGTAGATATATGTCATATTCGGCACACTCTAGGATGTTCCCCAAATTTTCAAGTATTTCTTAGTATCAATGGAACTCTGGTTGCGCAGCAACTGGAGGATGTCCTCGCACCTTCAGCATTAGATAGTCCAGGATTCCGACTGGCACGAAAGGACGAAGACGGGCCATAACCTGTCAACATGTGGAATATAACACACTTGTAAAAATACCTAGATTGTGTTGTATCAGATATAAGAGAAGTAATGTATCGGACACAGATCTCCATATTGTATGATTGTAAATAAATCTATGTTTTTATTTTTCGTGTTGTTCACATGTACGGTAAGACAGTGTTAATCATTTAATGACATGATTTTTTATCTGAATCCACGCTTTGCATCATATACTCGATTGAAGCTCATTCCATATCCATTGTATCGTGTGCCTGATAATTACTTTAGGCCAACTCTCTAACACGTCATGGTGTTAAAGAGTAACATCTGTTAATGGAACGTTAGTTTGTTACTAAGTCCGAAAAGCATTTGTTACACTGGTGAAATATTCATTCTTACACAGTCAACGTCGAACCATTGGTTGCTGCCGTCTACGAGGTAACGGTTTTGAGGAGAAATGCTTCTTATAGAAGCTACAAGGGCCGCCATGACAGGCTCGAGATTGGGAAATGAGGTAGAACATCCTTTAACAGCCCCTGCAAACATCGTGTCAAGATACTGGGGCCCATACGCCGTGATGACGTCATGACTAGCTGCTGACATCATTTCTGCATTGGCGTTCTTCATCCTCTGAACCTACATGACAGAAGGGTGTCATTGATGAGAACAATGACGTCATCAACAACAAGTTCTTCATGTATTTTCCAGGGTCTTTATGTATCTTACTTTCTTGTTTCTCTTTCTGCGAGTAATAGTGAACTTTGAGCTTGTCAATCCGGATTACCCTGAGGTAGAAGTTCATCTACACCTGTAAACCTGCTTGGAATATGAACTGGAGATCATTGGAAAGGAAACGTATTTACCCGAAGTGTTTGAAGCAAATGTATTTGAATGGATCGCACATGCATGACTAAGCATTTGTTATTTATTTTTTGTACTTGAAGGTTACAAATCTACTGAAGTAATCGATAAATAGACAGTTGTACTGTCTGTCTGTCTGTCTCACTCACTGCTCGAAGTATGACGAGTTCTTGGTTAAACGGCATGGTGTGTACAAAAGTTGGAATATGATGTAAAACCGAAAACATTCGTTTCTTAATCGTCCTCAAATATGATAAAAAAATTAGAGGGGTTGAGTCATAACAGATGATTTAACTCTACAAACTTCAGTATGAATATTGTTTCTATGAACACTGCAATATAAAATATCCACTAATTGTCTTCCATTTCTTTCGAATTATCACTACTGTACCGAGATATACTGTCCCAATTACCTACATTCGCTTCATCCCACAGCGCTGTGGCCCCACCGAAGTTCCCTGGTTCGACGATAACGACCTTGACTCCGAACCTCTTCATCTCCATACGAAGGCAATCAGAGAAGCCCTCAGCGCCGAACTTGCTGACAACGTATGTGGAGTTGGCCGGGAATGCAACAACGCCTCGCACACTTGTTACATTGATGACTCGACCTTTTCAGGAAAAAGAGACATCACTATATTTCGTGCATCAATTCAGTAATCCCACTTAAGGGGGATGATTTGGCTACGGTGGTGGTGAATTGTCCGCGGTTTCATGGGTCTAGCTCACTGTCATACCTTTCCTCTGTGTAACATTGGCACCTCACTGATGCTAGACCACTGAAAGACCAGGCCGCCGTTGTACATGATACAGTATACTGAACCCGTGAAGATCTGGGTTAGAATTGGTCTTCAGCAACCCATGCTTATCGTAAGAGGGGACTAATAGGATCGGGTGATCATGCCCGCTGACTTGTTTGACACATGTCATTGTATCCCAATTGCATTGATTGATGCTCATGATGTGGATCACTAGATTGTCTGGTCCAGACAACAAACAAACAGTATACTGACCCCGAATGACTCGCCTACTTCTTGTGCCATCCCCATACTGCCTACGCAAGTAACTGAACATCGAACCTTCCGCTCTCTCGGCAGACACCATATCGATCTCACCATGGTCGCGGTCGGTATGAAAGAGTCATCCATGATCTACCAAATCATGATGGGGAATCGAGAACGGAATTGAATGGGATAGCACCAGAAACTAGACTGAGCTTATACCTTTTTAACAATTTATTTGAAGCCTGATTTTGTATTCATGCAAACATTCCTCTATTGGCATTCTTTTGATTCATCACCTCACCGGACAACACCCGCATGAGGGTGACATCAGCAATGCATTGATCCGCAATGACGTCAGCACTAGCATACCTGGAACATGTAAATGACTTACCTTTACATTTTCGGATCATTGGTAAAAAGGCCTTGGTAGTTCTGATCATTCCAAAGAGATTCACATCAGCTAGTCGCTTATACATGTCCATTGTCAGAAGCTCTACATCCCCCATGCCTATCACACCTGCGTTGTTGACGATGGCCCAAAGACCTGAAAACGGGTATTATTTCTATGTAATAGGTTTATATGTGCATGAAATGAGAATTTGCAATAGGAACTGACTTAGGATGCTTGCCGCTCTGTGTCCTTATTCTGCTATGACATGTGTAATGAATTCCCCAGCATGGCGACTACGCCTGCACTACAAGCGCTGTAGTGAACACGGTAGAATAACGAGAGGCGAAACACCCCATTTATGTTATTTGTTGTGATGTTCAACAAAATGTTATTATGCCTATATATCCTTCACCGATTCATTACCCACATGGGTACAATGTGTGAAGCCCATATCTGGTGTCCCTCGCAGTGATATGATATTGCTAGAATATGCCTAAAGGCGGCGTAAGTGATCAAGTGATCAACAGCATGAGCATCGATCTACGCAATCGGGATACGATGACATGTGTAAACCAAGTCAAGGAGCCTGACCACCCGATCCTGTTAGTCGCCTATTACGACAAGCATGGGTTACCGAAATCATTTCTAAAATACCTGTAGTCAATAGTGTATTTTGTGAATACATTTTTCTAGTGTGTTTTTTTAAATTGTGAAAAGTTTTAAATCTTCTGTTTTTGACAACATATCAATTAACAGTCCGGTGGACAGTGCAGGCACACATGTTACAGATTAGTATGAACTAGTCGACTTGCATGTATGAATATGTTCATTACCTTTATCGCTAGTGTTCTGTTGAACTGTTCTCACGCAGGCTTCGACGCTATCATCGGAAGTGACATCAAGAGGAAGCACGTGCATTGTTTCACCACCAGCTTCCTTCAGTTCCGATGCTCCGCTACTATTAACATCCAAACACGTGGCCAGTACGTTGAAGCCTTGTGCGACCAGGCGCTTGGCAAGAACTTTACCGATACCTAAGTACAAGTAAAACAGAACAACAAAGGTCTAAACCTCAATAAACTTAAATGTGCTTGACTCAAACTTCTGTAAAGTGAAACAGCTACAAAATCGAAGAATACGGTACATTTAAATGTAAGTACAAGTTCATATTTATGAGTAAGTTCAAATTAAGTCAATATATTGATTAGTAATAAATCCCTTTTATTTTTATTTTGGATTTAATTACTGGTCGTCAAATGATATCGAATAGATGTACCATTCAAAAGAAATCATAACAAAGAATGGACACCGCGTTGTGCATTCATGTGGAACATCGGACCCGGACCATCGGCGTGACGAGCCAGCGTTGTAACCACTTCATGCATCGCTTCAGATGTTATTGCATGTTTTACACATACCTCTTTAATATCGTGAGCATATGTAAAGCGAAATCGCAAGACGTATAGTCGATATGTAAACACGTGCTGCAGTTAATAAAGGGCGAAATTGTCGTAACACATTTTGTCCCAAGAGAGTCTGTTTCATTCTCATCTGACGTATTCACCTTTATTATATTCACCTTTATTATATTCACCTTTTTTCATTGTCATACCAATAAAGGGAAAAGCATTGCCAATGAGGTATTTGTATTAATGAAAGGTCAAACTTTCCTTCAATGGAATGGTACGAGGGGGCATATACAATACCTGTGTCGCACCCCGTTATAAGGACGTATCGGCCATCCGGCGTTATCTGCTCCGTGCCTCGTTCCTGTATCACTCGGAAGGTGTAAAATAAGATGAGGCCAACACAACAACTGACGAGCACGGCTTTCTGGAGACAGGCGTAGACCATTAGCGCCATACATCCACAGAATGTGATCTCGAAGAACTGGAGCCCCAGTGTTTCAAGCAGCCCCATTCTAAAACAGACATTGTGCACTGTGAGTGAGTGAGCGAGTTTAGGTTTACGCCGCACTTTGCAATATTGCAGCTATATGGCGGCGGTCTGTAAATAATCGAGTCTGGACCAGACAATCCAGTGATCAACGCACACATACATGAGCTGTTGCTGTTGCACATAATTGACTGAATGCGTAAGTGAGTGAGTTTAGTTTTACGCTGCACTCAACAATATTCCAGCTGTATGGCGGCTGTCTGTAAATAATCGAGTCTGGACCAGACCATCCAGTGATCAACAACATGAGCATCGATCTACGCAATTGTGATACGATGACATGTGTCAACTAAGTCAGCCAGTCTGACCACCCGGTCCCGTTAGTCGCCTCTTACGACAAGCATGGGTTGCTGAAGACCATTCTAACCCGGATCTTCACGGGTACAATAGAGATACTGGTAACTCGATGTGATTTGGCGAGTAATGTTTGACTTATAGAAGTGTAGCAAATGGTGTATACTGCCAGTGTCAGCGAATGTAAGACACACACGTCTCAACTGATAGATCTGCTCTGTGGTAATTTATCGTAACCAAGAAGTACAATGTGCATCTCTAAATGGTAATGTATTCCACAAATATGAAACAACATGTCTAATTCATGAGTGAGTGAGTTTCATCTTTTCGCAATATTCCATCGGTATCACCGCGGGGGGAATGCCGAAATGAGCGCCACATGTTGTATCCACATGGGGAATCGAACCCGGATCTTCGGCGTGACAAACGGGCGATTTAACGGGCGATTTAACTCTACCACGCTGTTTAATCCTTGACACCGACACATAGTCATTTTAACTGGACATACAGTGCGTGTATTTCAGTGTCTGTTCAGTAAAGTAATAAGTATGATGAAGATCGCTGTACAGTGAAAGTATAGAGATCAACGTTGTTGATAGCACGTACACAGAAACACATGTACAACATTATTTGCACTCCACACGTACACTTGACAAAGGTAAATGTTTAACATTAGCTGGTACGTTATGTAAACACCAGATTAAATTAACACGGTGCAATTTGACGTCTACTTACGTTGTTTCGATCGGGTATATCTCCACATGAGCGTGACGCGAGATACAGGGGTCGAGGTTCAATCTCACTGGAAAGTAAACACGTGCGTTCCATCTAGACTGTCTCCTCGTCTCACTTAAGTCAGACCATGCTTCGTTAACACAATTAAAACGAATCCGAATTACAATAACCATTACAAATACCACCACGTGGATTTTATAGATTTTTGTGCGATTGTATGTCCTATAATATGTAAATTATTATTGAAATTGTTAATATTTTGGAGTGATCCCCAGATGTAGAGCCTCAAAGTGATAACAGCTGTATCCTTGACCTGTATCCTGACAACACCTGTATGCACTAGCATTCTCGGAAGCGTGATTTTCTTAGTTAGACCTAACAAAGTAAGACTTCCTTTATGTACTTTACTTCAGTCGATGACTTGTGTTTTGTTCCATGATCACCTCTACCCGGGAGTCGACGAAAGGCGATTTGCCAAACGTAAAAACCTCATTCATGTGGCGCGCTAACCTGATCGTCAAGGACAGCGTGGGAGATCAATGTGACTTGTTTGTATCGTGTGGAATTATGTTTTCCTTTCATGCATTTAGTTCTCATGTTGATATGAAATAACGCCGTTGAAGGAGTTTGGGGCACATATTCTTTACAAATATTTGTTAAGGTGTGAGGGTCTGAACCCTTGGTAAAAATACTGTCAACTAAATCAATACTTCAAAGGAGTTAACTATATTTTTAAAACAGATATAACACGAATTTGTTAGTTTATTTAGACTTGCGAGTTATATGATTTTGTTGTATTTATACAGACGTTAAGATGTCCAGGAGCAGTGAGGTAGCCCAGTGGTTAAAGCGTTCGCTCGTCACATCGAAGACCCAGGTTGGATTCCCCACATGGTTACAATGTGTGAAATCCATTTCTGGTGTCTCCCGCCGTGATATTGCTGGAATATTGCTAAAAGCGGCGTAAAACCAAACTCACTCACTCACTTAAAATCCAGTTCATGTTAACACATTTTATAATGATATGAAGTTTTGTAATCTATAGTGTGTAACATACTCACTGTTGTGTCTAAATACCTGCACGTATCTACTCTTTAATTTAATCTGAAAATATCCACGATAACAAAATTCGCAAAAATATACTGAGAGAAAACAATAAAGGATCACCGGAATATTCAAGCGTTCCTATATTATTTCCCAGTTTTCATTACCACAGCGCTATTCAAAGCTGGTGATGAAAACTGGAAAATATTTTGTCACTTCGTCGCACACATAAGTAATAACTATGTACTAACAACAGACACCGTGATCATAACACTACTAAAGTATGACAACAATGTCTATGTACTGAAAGTCACACAATATTCTATAAAAGTATGTATATATTGTTTCAAAATATAGAAAGTCAGTAGAAAAGAATACCCAGTCTTGACTATCGTCTGAAAAAATCCTTGTTTTCGTGATGGGAATACAACAACAAACAGCTGTAAGGACAAAATAGCAGTGGCAATTATATGAATGGATCACGGGAAAGTAGTAATGACACCAGGTGCTTGCAAGAAGGGTCAGCTTGTCCTGCTCTACCTGAAGCATCCATCATTCTCCAAAAGGAAACTCACTCACTCACTCACTTACTCACTCACTCGTTGTGCGATCAAACGTCAGTGGTACCTTTGAGCCAATACCTTATCCTTCCCACGGAACCCTTAAACGTTGGTAGTTGATATAGGAAGGGATATGTATAACGTCCTGCCGGCAGAGAAGAGTTATCTCCCCCTTTTCCCAACGCTGCAAAATCTCAAAATCATTGTATTGCCGGGTACAGACCGCCGCCGTGACTGGAATATTGCTGAGTGCGGCGTAAAACTATAGACAAATAAACAATGTTCCCGTCAATGTAACAAGTCAATACCTGACATGTGATACTCCGCGACACTCTAACAATATACCCTTGTGCACTGCAGATGGACCTGCTCCAGACACTGGGACCACAGGCATTTGAGGTGACTTTCTTCCTCTCCTTCCTGTTGCTGCTGTACTCAGCCCTAACCCTACATATGCTGATGTCTCTGGTATTCTTTTCCCTGGTCTACTACACGTATCAGGTCATCGGAAGGAGAACTGCCAAATATGCAGTGCCTACAGACAAATATGTTCTCATCACCGGCTGTGACACAGGTTAATTTGAAGTGTGTTGATAAACCCCGTATTCCAGGTCCGTGAAAATTCCATTCTGGACCAGACAATGCAGTGATTGCCATCCTAACCATGGATCCTGGCATTTGGTATGATGCCAGCCTGTCTGTCTTATCCATTTTGTCGCCTCTTAACACAAGCTTATGGCGCTGGGGACTTCCTTCAAACACAGATTCCCCTCGGTCTAAACAAGTGTTGATGACACAGTTCCCATGCAAAGGAGCATTCTCAGAAAACCCAAAGACATGATGTATCACACTAAAGTGTTGATGATGCAGTTGTCATGCAAAAGAGCATTCTCAGAAAACCCACACGCATGATGTATCACACTTAAGTGTTGATTATGCGGTTGCCATGCAAAAGAGCATTCTCAGAAAACCCAAACGCATGATGTATCACACTAAAGTGTTGATGATACAGTTCCCATGCAAAAGAGCATTCTCAGAAAACCCAAACGCATGATGTATCACACTTAAGTGTTGATGATGCAGTTGTCATGCAAAAGAGCATTCTCAGAAATCCCAAACGCATGATGTATCACATTGAAGTGTTGATACCTCCCTGCCTCCCTATAACAAACTGGGTGACCCCCCTTAAAATCATCATCACCCCCTAGCCATAAATTATGAACAGTCCCTAAATACCAGTTTGGAAAGGTATTAATTTTTCAGACACGTGTTATGTATCTGTCACCACACAAAAGCCTGCAATTATTTACAGGTATTGGTCACAGCTTGGCTATAACGTTAGATGACATCGGGTTCAGTGTGATAGCCACATGTCTGCGAGGAGAGGGAGAAGGTGCAAAGCAGCTGAGAAAGGCGGGGTCCAAACGAATGCATGTATTGGAGGTGGACATCTCAAGTGATGAAAGTGTCGCAAACAGTCTGAAATATGTCGAGAACGAATGCAAAATGACAGGTTAGCAAGCATTGGTTTTTTAATATTTTTCATTTTCCAGAAACGGACCTTTCCCGAATAACATCATGTAATTGTATAGATGTTTTCTCCCGGGCCTTGGTATGGATCCAAAGTCAGTCACACTTGTAATGATGTACAAGAGGGACTGATGTTATACTGGTTTGACGCCAAATTGTCAAATTGGTCCCTGTGGTCAGAGGTGGCCTCTGTTGTCCAAGAGGCTTAAATTCAGAGGGAACTGTTCGCTGAATGGCCCATGGGTTATGATGGACAGAGGAAACTGTGTAGAATATTTGGTATAGACAATGGTTAAGCGAAACCTACATGTAAGCACCCATATGCTGACAGTTTTCTAATGGACTCGGTTGATAATAATACAAATGCTAGAAGTCCCGCTTCTGTTTGCCCTTTGAAACCAGAGTGAGCTCATTTACGTAAATCTTTAATGCTGCGCTGAGAACATTTAACATTAACATTTAACCACAGTCTATGACTCCCACTATGTGTGAAGCCCATTTCTGGTGTCCCCCGTCGTGATATTGCTGAAATATTGCTAAAATCGACGTAAAACCATACTCACTCACCCACTCACACACACACTCACTCTGAAAGTTTTATCTGTTTCCGACATTAATATTAACGCAATATTTACACAAATATGATATATATACATTTGCAAACATCGAGATTGACATTATAATAAGATGTATTTACATAACCTGCCTCTAATACTATACCATGTATTCTGTACCAATACTGTGTTGTTACATTACTGATAGTATTATGTTCCTGGTTACAGGATTGTGGGCTCTCGTCAACAACGCTGGAATAAACTTTCTGGGCGATGTAGAGCTTGCTACCATGAAACAGTACAGCCACATTAACAACGTCAATAATTTTGGTCCTCTAAGGATGTCAAAAGCGTTCCTTCCTCTTATACGAAAGGCAAGAGGTACACCAATGTGTATTTATATAAACAAACCAGTACAACGTTATACAGTAGCTGCAATATGACTCGTCTGACCATCACTATAAGGATTAATAATACACCCTCATTTGTCTTCACATGTCATCGTAACCCAAATGCATGGATCGATGCTCACGATGTTGATCACTGGGTTGTCTGGTCATATAACTGGAATATTGCCGAATGCTGCGTAAAACAATAACCAACTAATCATTTGTCAATATACATGAAGTGCATTCATTTTCATGCTTACAAACTGCATTTGAACCAAATGCACAACGCGGCAGCGATTCTGCAGGCATCAGTGTGATTTAGGAACTTTCTGCTGACGAATATGTACAAGTCGGCAACCTACCCATCAAGTATGTTAAACTGAAACGGCTACATGCAACAGTCAGCTAGCCATGCGACCATTGTGTCAACTTCAGTGAATGCTTCCCCTTCCTCTGCCACTGTTACGAAATGGGCTGCGTGGTCCAAGAGGGGAAGAGCCTCGAAGATGTTCCAGGGTCAGAAAGACCTGTAATTGTCACCACTAACACAAACTGTGCAAACATGCATGACACGATTCTGTCACATAGCCAATACTGTTAGCTTTATCTTGAGAAAAGTTTGGAACATTCTGGGGACTGAACTGGGCATGACCAAGGTTTCAGCAAGGCTAACGACTCCTCATAAAAGCAGTTCATCTTGTGATAGTCTTCGTCCTTTTTCAAAGCATTGATTTTGTTGTGTGATTAATAACTACGGGCAAACTATAAAAAACTGTTAAACCGCTAGGGAAAGTTATGTCCATTGTTCTTGAAGGTGTTTTATTAGCATAACTGATGAACTGCCCTGGGGCAATTATTTCTATTTAAAAACGCCGCCATATAGACTGGAATATTGCTGAGTGCGGCGTAAAACTAAACTTACTCACTCACTCTATTTGAAAACATGTTCATCATGCCTTATACATATGCATTACGCGCGTATTAAATACGTAAGCCGTTTAATCACCCTCACTACGGTAGTTACGGTAGGGCTTGTGAGGGTGATTAACCTGTAAGTAACCTAGTGAATCTAGTTATTCATGAGGGGCGGTGGGGTAGCCTAATGGTTAAAGCGTTGGCTCGTCACGCCGAAGACCTGGGTTCGAATCCCCACATGGGTACAATGTGTGAAGCCCATTTCTGGTGTCCCCCGCCGTGATGTTACTGGAATATTGCTAAAAGCGGCGTAAAATCAAACTATCAGGGTCAGTTATTCATGAGTTCACCTCTCTAAGCCAGTGGATACATCTAACGTATCTTCTGAAGAAGGCAAAGTCAGCTCCGTCCGCTGACAAGGATATGGCTTCTCTTTCTTAGGATTCCAAATGAATTCTACTGTTGGCCTAAACTAATATACTAATCTGCTTATGCACTTGCATGGCAATATTAGTGTTGAAGAAAGTGCACTAATGTCGTTCTGTATGAAGGAAATGCATCAGCGCATTGGTCTGTTGTTCCATAAACTTTCTTCAAACTCTTTGAACAGCATCCGTAATCACCAGAATTGGCACTCTCAAGTGTCAAACTCTTCCCAAACTTGCGCTGGACTTTTGCAAACTTTTGTGGAGGACATCACCAGGCGGAAACCTTCTTATCCAGTGGGAAAGATGTACCCCACGACAGCTCTTATTAGTTAGGGTGAAACACTTCTCATATTGCAGGTACGACATATAGACCGTAGCATAGTTGTGTGAATCACATCACGACATACATTGTATGAGCTGCACTTTGCACAGATTCAGTTGTATGTAAATGTATTCAGACTAAAATCTCTATGTAGAATAATCTGAATGTTTTAACTGGTGACGATATGTTCTAATTTTCTGTTTGATTATGTACCATTGGTTTCAGGTCGCATAGTGAATGTAACCAGCGTCAAGGGTAGGTTCGCCTTGCCTTCCAACGCTGCATACAGTATGACCAAATGGGCAGGAGAAAATTTGTCAGACACTCTTAGACTGGAGATGAAGAGGTTCGGGGTCAAGGTCATTATCATGGAACCAGGTCATTTTGGTGGGGCCACAGGGTGTCTTAACAAAGAAGGGGTATGTAAAATAGTTCAAACAAATTATTTGCATAAAATGTTGTCAAGTGGCATCTAGAAGCTGGTATGGTGAAGAGGAACAATCTGTCAAGTATAGACAACTTCCTTTTTGGAATAAATGCAACGTTTTGGTGTAGATGGTAACACCGTTAACACTCATGAATTGCTTGATAACGGTGTTAGCATCTACGCCGAAACGTTGCATCTGTAGCAATGAAGAAGTTGTCTATCCATAAAAGAATGTGTTTCCCTTAATAAACAAGCATTTTCATTACCGGTCGAGTCTACATACATATTCCTGGAAATGGCGACTTTGACTTTTCATACTTGTGTTGCGCCTTGGGTTTGAAAGCAGAAATTGGAAAACGTTGTGTAATATTCGATACATGTTAGTGCAACTGAAAATCTGTAGACTCTGATCAACTGACTGACTGAGTTTGGTTTTACGCCGCTTTTAGCAATATTCCAGCAACATCACGGCGGGGGACACCAGAAATGGGCTTCACACATTGTACCCATGTGGGGATTCGAACCCAGGTCTTCGGCGGGACGAGCCAACGCTTTAACCACTAGGCTACCCAGACTCTGATCAAGATTCAGCATCAATGATCCGCTGTGTTCGCCACATTAATACTGTTGCACGATACTCTGTTCTGGTATACAGCCAGTTGTCTACGACAGAGCATCTGTCAAGTTAACGCGACAAGATTGGATAAAGTCTTCTCCTGTTTTAGGATTAAACCCATCCACGAACCCACCTATCCCGAGACTGTAGACACATGTATGTCATATAAACCGCCATTCAGATGGGTGTAATTCATTGTGTCTCCCTGGACTCCAGATTGCCCGTATCAGGAAGGACCTGGACGAGCAGTGGGAGGAGGCGTCTGAGGATGTGAGACAAACCTACGGGAAGGACTACCTTGACGAGCAATTCCAGGCCGCCATTGCCTCTTCCTCAACCAGCTTCCCTACTCTTCATCCCATTATGGTCGCTTTCAAGGATGCACTGTTGAACGAGCAACCACAAAAAAGATATTTAACTGATGGTAGCAATGGCCTGTACGACCCATATTGTGTAAGTATTTCCAGTACATACCTCCAATCACAAGGTTTTCCTTCAGGAAACATATTTTCGTCACATACACATTATACAATTAGAATCAACAACCCACAACTGCTATTATTTTCTACAATATGTGGTGTCATGTCTGAAGTGTACTTCAGGTTAGATATATTATGATCATGTGATCACACTAACGATCATATAGATCAAAGATTGACTCCAGAGACCTAATCGGTTTAATCATTAATGCACGCCTCTAAGGCCACAGACCCGTGAAGATCCGTGTTAGAATTGGTCTTCAGTAAGAGGTAACTAACGGGATCGGTTGTTCAGACACGCTGACCTGGTTGACACATGTCATGGTATCCCACTTGCATAGATGGATGTTCATGATATATTAATCACTGGATTGTCTGATCCAGACTCGATTATTTAGAGGCCGCCACCATATGGAATATTACTGAAAGTGGTGTAAAACTAAACTCACTCACTCAAACTCGCTCTAAGGCCAATGGTCAGAGCGGAGTCAAACGTAAAGAATGCAGAAACAAACAACAGCTGTATCTACCAAATCTGCTGATAAAATCCACATTGCCAAGTGCACAGTGGACATACGCAAATGTAATAATAACAAAATCCTCATCCGTACGAGAACATGTGATTGAAAATATCTTACTCCGATCTGACCTTGGGAAAGACAGTGTAGCTTCACTTCCGTGGCTCCTTGGTGATCAAAACGTGTGAAAGGGAAGAGACAAGAATAATTGATCGTATACATTGTCATTTATTATCTTGCGTGAGTTGATGAGTTTACATATACGCCGCTTTTACTAATATTCCAGCAAAAACACAGCGGGGTACATCAGAAAAGGGCTTCACACATTGTACAATTGTGAGGAATTGAACCAGGGTTTTGGAAGTGACGAGCGGACGCTTAAACCTCTAGGCTACCCCACCGCCACCATTGTCTTGAATATGACTGCAACATGTTGAGAAATGGCAAATGTATTCAGTTAAGATGTCAGACAAACACAAATTGCAAGTTTAAGAAGTGGCAGGTAAACTTTACTTCCATACTATCTGATAAATTCTCATGGACATATGACACGTGCAACTCAATGCAGCGTACCCCTCCTCTAACCTTCAACGATTACCTATTGTATCCCAGCGACTGTCCAATAATCATAGTTTCGTACTGCGTGTTCTTCCTTAACTACCTTAAGATTCTTCACAGGGCGGTGGGGTAGCCTAGTGGTTAAAGCGCTGGCTCGTCACGCCGAAGACTTCAATTCATCACATGGGTACTATGTGTGAAGCCCATTTCTGGTGTACCCCGTAGTGATATTGCTGGAATATTGCTAAGGCGGCGTAAAACTAACTAACTCACTCACTAACATTCTTTATTGTCCGTTTCAGCTGTGTGCCCGCTTATATAGCGTTCTTCCCGAGACGTGGATGGACAAAGTTGTAGACTATTATTTTGGAGGAGGACCCATTGCTGATGCCCTGAAAAAGGAAGCATGAGGAGTAAAGCGCTGGTTATCTATCGTACAAAACAATACTGCTGATTACAGAGTTGTGTTGATTTTTAGTACGTGTTGATTCCGAAGTAGAAACAAATGCAAATAGTGAACCGGAAATCAACCCGTAAAACAATAAGTGTGAAAGCAACAAAGCAGCTTGATGTAATTTACAACTGTGTACTAAAATTAACTAAGTAAACAAATTCATACTAATTACTACAAATTCATTACCAGACATACAGGTTTATTCGGTAATTTAGGCCCAAGGCCCATAATACATACATTTGGCAAAAGTAAATACATACTGAGTAAGGCTGAGTATAGTTTAGTATTGATTTGTTTTACAGTTATTCATTCCTTCTACGGCAAACTTGTGAAAGATATTTACTCAATGATTTTCAAATATGTATATTGTCCGATGACAACAATCTGATGAAGATTTCAATTGTCGGTGGTTGAGTCAGATGTATTGACAAACAATCAGAGCTTTGTTGGGAATATTTGGACATATTAATAAAATATTACCGTGATAATACAATGCAATAGACTGGTAGTACAATTTCAACTGCAGTACTATGCAAAAAGCAGTGGTAATAGCTTTAAAGACAAAGATGGTAATATTCACGTCACTGCAACAATGATCAAGTATCCAAAAGTAGGCCGAGCATGAATATCCAGGATACGATTGCTGGTATTCTTGAGATGTAATATGAGAGAGGCAAGAGTTATCTCCCATAGACAAAGGTGGTAATATTCACGTCACTGCAACAATGATCAAGTATCCAAAAGTAGGCCGGATATATATCCAGGATAAGATTGCTGGTATTCTTGAGATGTAATATGAGAGTGGCAAGAGTTAGCTCCCATTGTACACACAAGAGAAAGCCTCCAGAAGATTATCCAACTACCTAGGTCAGAATATAGAAGATCTCTGTCCCTCACTGACTATCTGCATGTACAATGCTTTATATTTGGAACATTCTTACACGAATGAGGTTTAGAAAGCATCACTCAGGGCTGGGCATCACTGGAATACACCAACCCACTCAAGCACAAACCGGTCTCTATACACACACAAAAAACCAACAAAGCACACACACACACCCTCACACAAAACCACACACACTGCGTTTTAAGTAGGGTTGCACGGTATTACCGGTATACCGCAATACGCTTTTCAAATGATACGTATTGCAATATGTTTTTCTGAGAACCGGTATATTGGGTAAAGAACATATAAAAAGTTTTTGTGCTTATTTTTATGGTTTAAAGTAAAATCTATACAGACTTTCCTTCACAAGAGATGTTTTACTTCTTCATTCAATGACAACACGGCATACCATTAAAAATATGTATAAAAAGGAAATAGAATCCCTGACTATGCAACTTAAGTTTGCGATTGCTGTTAGAACCATAACGTATATTTGTAGGTACTTATAATATAGAAAACTGGATCGACATGTACAATTAGTGTCACTTAATGTCAAACACTTAAGTTCCCAATATATCTCAATACGTATCGCAATACGGGTATCTGAATCGCAATATATTGCAATACAATTTATTTGCCAATACACAGCCCTAGTTTTAAAGTTCGGTAACATGGCTGCTAGTATGCCAAACCGCAATAGTGTGGTTCGCTGTGGAAGGTTTTAGTGAATGCTGTGCCCAGGTTGGAATTATTAACATGCTGCCGTAACACAGTGGGGTCATTTCTGGTTCGATGTTCACAGTATTGCTTGTCATGGCCTTATACCTCGTGCCTTTGTTGCGCAAGTGATCACTGATCCCTCATCTGCGAGTGAGACGCGTGTACGTGGATAGGATGGTCACATAGCTTGGTTTATAACGAGCTATTGCAAGTCTGGCTTGTACTGACAAACAAAAGACAGTATAGACTTACATGTACACGTAAATCTTTCAGATACCTCATCATCACCATCATCACCATCATCATCATCATCTTTATTTCCTCCATTTGGAGATTAATGTGAAGATATTTACAAATCTGGACAGTAGATGGACATTTACATCTTTTCAAAATAAGTGAGTGAGTTTGGATTAACGCTGCTTTGACCAATATGCCAGCAATATAACGGCGGGGGACACCAGAAATTGGCTTCACACATTATACCAATGTGGGGAATCGAACCCGGGTCTTCTGCGTGACGAGCGAACGCTTTAACCACCAGGCTACCCCACCGCCCTTTTCAAAGTGAGATGTTAGTAAGTACATATTGGGATTGATTAGGAATTGCAAAACATTGGAAAACATGCATGAGATTATGAATGAAATGGAGTTCATATGTTTATCGTATTTGCATAATGCCTCTCACTGTTCATAATTGTAAATTGAAAGCTCTCTTTGGTAGATGGCCGTGATCTCCATTACAAATGTTGCACTTAGGTCATTGACTAGGTCACTACAATCGGAGTCATATATTGCATCACATTAACGTCTTTACTTCAGATTCCGTATGACAAACCATCAGTGGGTGAGTGAGTGAGTTTAGTTTTACCCCACACTCAGCAGTATTCCAGATACATAGCGGCGGTCTGTAAATAATCGACTCTGGACCAGAAAATCCAGTGATTAACATCATGAGCATCGATCAACGTAATTGGGATACGATGACATGTGTCAACCACGTCAGCGAGCCTGACCACCCAATCCCGTTAGTCGGCACTTACAAGCATGGGTTACTGAAGGCCAATTCTACCCCGGTATCTGCGCAATTGGGAACCGATTTGTCAAACAAACCATCAGTCTGCCCGCGAGTAGAACCGACGTTGACTATACGGCTGAAACTGCACTGTGCAAAGCTGTCAATACACCAGTATCTGAATATCAGTTTTCCCAGATGAACAAATAGAAGTAATCTGTATTGCAATAACAAGGAATACAAATGGATTTTGTTAACACAGTTTATTAAGACAAACATTAAATAATCGAGTGAATGAGTTAGTGAGTTTACTTTTACGCTGTTAGTAGCAATATCACGGCAGGGGACACCGGATATTGGCTTCACACATTGTAGCCATGTGGAGAATTGAACCCATATATATTATGTATAGTCTAAGATTTGAAGCAACTGCTATAAAACAATGTACATCAAACATACATAAACAATACCTTCAGCAGTACAGAAAACAGAAAGCTGTCTCTAAATTAAACAATCTGCATCCAAGCTTCAGGTCGAGACTTCAGTGGCGATCATCAGGAGACAAATAGCAGCTGGCCTAACAGTCAATGTTGACTCGACTCAACCCGTCTTATATAACAAACGTGTGCGGACGTCGGAGAAGACAACCTGTCTTCGTAGTCGTCTAAGTTAACCTGGCAGGCTGATCAACATATATGTGCATGTTTGCCGGACAGAATTAGCTGCAGCAACTTTATAAGAATATGTACAGTAAGTGTGATACATGTATAGAAAGAACGTGATTAATACTAAAATGTACATCAAGATGTAAAGAGAATGATTTGTACTGTTAGTAGCTGACAAGACAATGGCAAAGTTAAGCCAACAACACAAAATTATACGGAAGCAGATCTCCGCAGAACACAAGCGCTGTACAAAGGTAGCAAATGGCTACACGCGGCCTCCGTGACAAAAACTGCATACTGAAGAGAGGTTATTGTGTGTGATATCTATCCAGGAGCCAGAATAAAACATGTTATAAAACATGTTTGAATGCTCACATTTTGGTATTAGACTACTAACACAGCTAGCATTACCTTCCGTTGTCATGGTATACAGTGTCCATTATTCATAGTGTTGGTGGTTCGAAAAAGTGATATACGAACGTTATATGCAGCTTGATAACATTGTCATACTATGATCGGGAGATGGTGCCGCCAAATCCGCTTCCCCAACTGCACCAAATTCTGTTCTCTGCTTAAAGGCACACTATCACGCCACACTTCTCTAATAATGCATTTATCTCATTAAACCTAACTACCAGCCCCTAGCGAAGCTACCATATTTGAAATTTCTTTATTCGGGACAGTGGTATGGGCCATCACCCTATGTACAACATGGTCCATACATGATAAGGGAACTTATGCAAGTACAGCAAGGCTATGTGACGATACAATAGATTTTGCAAAATACTTATACAGGTGTGTCCAGGCATGGAAGATATAACAATCCATGAACAATGATGCATAATTTTACAAGGTAATTATACATGTGAAGCTTTTTAAGGCAAAGTCTTAAGGCCTAGAGGATATAACAGTCCATATCCAATGCTACCTGTTACAATGATACCTATACAAGAACATCAAGACATGGAAAATAGGACGGTCTATATATAGTAATCCATGGGTTTAACAAAGTACAGATGCATCATGGTATGGAGATATTAGTTTTACACAGTATATAAACAAGTGCTTGAAGGTCGGAGATTTGCAGCATGGAAGATATATCAGGCCACTTTCGATTATACATAGTTATACCGAGCGCTTACACAAGTGCATCAAGACATGAAAGACCTAGCATTCCATATATACTAAAACATAAATTTTATACAAGAGTTTTAAAAAGGAGACATAAAGGAGATTATAATAATATTGTGATACATAATACAAGGTACTTATACTATACCAGAGCTTTGAGGCGAAGATTTGAGGCATGTTGAGAAGACATTAGTAAATTAAACTTTGTCAAAGTTGGAAATTCAGAATATTTAAGAGGTATATATCTCTGGCGAAGATTATAATTTATTCCGAAAACAGTACGTATTAAAATTGCAATATTAAATTAAAACGTTCCAATGAATTAAGGCAACGTTGCATTAAATCGACTCTCGCATCCTCTACCGACCGAACTTTATTTCAAGCGAACCCCCATAGAGTTATGTCCCTTGGAACACTCTTCACGAATATCCTATAACGCAACTTGTGATTGACGCCCGTTCGGCAAACACCGACAACACCGCGTGGGACTGTTTTCGGTGTACGGAGCAATTGTTTACGTTCCATATATGGCAAGTGGTATCTGTTTGGAAGCTGTTCGCCTCGAAGTTTCAATTATCGATCTCAGGCATAAGGGATAATAAGTCTATTATTGTAACAATAGGAGGCTAAAGTGAGTGCATATGCCCCAATATATAATAGTGGAGGTGATGGGTGAATTATAATTATCGTTTTGGTTGCTGCGAGTCGTTTCATTCTTTTTGCCATCCTTGCCTTTAGGCTTGAACTTATTATCCCTTACGCCTGATGCACTCACTTTAGCCTTCTAGTGTTACAATAAAGACACTTATTTTATCCCTTACGCCTGAAATCGATAATTGAAAACAAAATATTGTCGAAAAATTGTGACATTGTGCCTTTAAAACAATTGTCCGCAAAGTACAGCTGTATCATAGCGTCCTGTTAGGGCATACATGTAGTCTTGTCCAGACAAATGAAATATTGTGAACATCGTCGCGCGACGTGGTGGTACTGCAGCAGAGGTGATGGCTGATGCAACTGGTATGGATGAAGTTGCACCTGTTGCAGTGGAGGCGATGGGTGAATTGTTCCATGTTGTTACAAATGTTTTGGATGACGTTTCATCTGTTGTAGTGTCAGCGAAGGCTGAATTAATGCATGTTGCTACGGTGGTATGGGTGAACTTTCATCTGTTGCAGTCGAAGTGATGGCTCGCTGGTGTAATTATTCTATAGCGTGACAGATGGTATGGATGAACTTTCATCTGTTGCAGTGGCAGCGATGGCTGAATTAATGCATGTTGCTAAGGTGGTATGGATGAACTTCCATCTCTTGCAGTCGAGATGATGGGCTGAATTCTGCATGGAACTCATCTGTTTGCAGATGGTATGGATGAAGACTCATTTACTGCAGAAGACATGAATGTGGTGGCTGATGTGTCTTCTGCGAAGAAGCCTATGCTGAATGCTGCATGGCGTTACGGATGCTCTTGATTAAGATGCATCTGTTACATCGGCGCCGAGGTCTGTGTCCTCTGTTCCCAGTTGTAGTACGTGTACACAGGAGCATAGTTCATGTCTCCTTTGGTAAAATCCGTGTCAGCATCGTCCTTAATGTTCACAGTACCAAACACACTTTCTGCGTAGGATGGAGGCGCTAAAAGGCAAACGGTACGTTAATTTTCAGGGTAACACAATCACAAAGGATTTGTCTTACGTAAGGAACACAACGTAATAATTTATGCACAATTTCAAACGGTGTTCTTGATCTGTTAAAGAAAGTCTTGTAATAGGTTAATAATAAGATGACGTGTTTTGATGATTGTTAAACATGGCAGCACGGTACATATATGACAGTCGGAGTTACATGGGCTTCAGTGTACCATCTGATACACTGATAATGTGAAGAATTCAAAATGCTTTCTGGTGACAAAGTGTGAAAACACGAACTTTTACAGTTTTGCATGGGCTGAATCGACGGACACATAAAATATTCTAGTAAATATTGCTGTAACAGTTTTATTAACTTTAACACAAGAACTTATAAGTGACAGGTGCGATGACTGCAAAGTAAACTCACGCATTATTTCTTCAGGAGGGGCAGTAGCATGTGCCCCTTCCTGGTAACGCTCGGGATGGCCGAGGCCCTGGGAAGGAGGCGCGAACCCGTACTGCTGGAGCGTGGCACGGAGTGGTATGGACCCGATGGTCACCCCGAGTGGTATCTCTAGCTTGAAAGCGGGTCCGGCAGGACTCACACAAAACTGTAACCACACCAAATATTTCTCAGATTCGAGACATAGTGGTATATCCATAACAAATTCAAGGTTCAGATTATAGAACTCTGAAACGAACAATGAAGTCGAACATTTTAGACAGCTGTCATCTGATTTGCCGAAGAGCAAAAAATAAATGTCAAAAGTTGCTCCTTATTCAGCTGACGTGACCGTGGAGGATGAACAGAAATTAAGCGGAATGAAGGTGAAACCTTATTAACTAAAGAACATTGCTTTTAGATTGAGCCGTCAGCGTTCAACAATGCTTCAACACAAGCGGTTTCAAATGAAACGTTGGTCAGAACTTCCACCGAAAATATTGCATAAGACCAAGTATGATAATGTTGGTACATTACTGCATAAGACCGAGTAGAATAATGTTGGTATTATTTCATTACCGACATAATGATTTAATCCCAAATTGATAACATTGAACAATAATATTGATAATGTCTACAAAAATTCTAAAATTTATTTGAAAATATATATTTGACGGCCGTCTTGCATTTTGGTCAACACGGGCGAGAGAGCTTTGAGAATATATATTGGGGTGGGGGTGGTGGGGTGGGGGCGCTAGATAGTTAATCACGTACAGCACTGTTACGAATAATTCTGAATAAAATACAAAGTCTGACGATATAATGATGACTGACTGACAGCCGTTTCGCTATATTGGCGGCCATCTTTGATTTCCGCCACTTTACTGAGCTAGAGTTTAGAATTGTTCGATGTATAAATGTGAAGCGTGTGATGCAAGTTAAGCCACAGTGTCCCATTTTGCCAAACCCTGCCTTATCCACCCCACTAGAGACATCTGATTCAGTTAAAACAACGTGGTAGCACAGTTTACCTTTACCAAATGCACAGAGCGCCTATACTGAGATGGATTTCGTTCATGTGACAAGCAGTGACGACCCTTTGATAACAACACAACACTGTGATTGTTTTAATAGTGCCATAGAGCTAACCATTTCGATAGATTTCTTAAACCTTCATATATCCTAATGATCTAATTGTTTCAATATATGTCCAAAGTATACCGAAATTCTATCTCCTTTGTCTGTTTAATGCATTCAACATTCGGTGTACCCTTCTCAGCATAAAACCCTCTCCGGGCCTGACCATTAATTCTCAATGCTTAACTTATTGAAATACACAATGACATTAGTACAAATTTTTACACTAAACACTTTTCACAGAATTTTAGTATGGCCATACCTGCACAAAGTAGTTAATTTCGATTATTCTGCAACCCTGTAACTCTGATGGCGGTACGGGCGGTACCCTTAGAAGGTCACCATTCCATACATCAGAATCTCCAGGAAGGATTTCTCCATGCGATATTTCCCTATTTTCTCAAAGTTTGTTCGCGTCTTGCCTCTTGCATGATACCGAACAACCTACAAAATAGATGTGAAGTCAAAATATTATGAGCCAATAAAACACATGAACGAAGTAAAATTTACATGATATCTAGTACCTATAGCAATGCATGTATATCAAGTGTCCTGATGCAAAGCCGACGCAACACAATGCTAAGAGTGTTACGTGTAAACTCACCAAATATGACTTTAAATTCATCTTCTGGAAATTTTCATACCTGAAGTGAATTATTCAATTTCGAAGGGTACGTTTTATTCTTAGCGATATGTTTACATCAACTCTGTCACCTTTTGGTTCCATTATTCCTCATTCAATTGGAATCCGAGAGTTCCTGATTGTCCTTACAGGCAATATCTCTGTTAAACACATGGTACTAATTATGGCGATCTAGACAATGGACTACAGCCCCCTTTAAACATTACCATCATATATACGTTTCAAACCTTTTTACAGTCGTTCATTTTCCATATTTAAAATAGAAATAAGCAATGCCGTTAAAAACTTTTTAAAGCAGTCCCCTTTAACCGTTGTTATAATATTATATAGTTTTTACACCTTTTTACAGTTGAATTTCCTTATTCCAAATACAGTAGTAATGTCGATGAAAAAAGAACATTTAAAGGAAAACATAAAGCTGTATTGTCAGGGATACGATGTTTCCATCACACAATTTGTTACTGACCATGTACAATCTTGAAGCGTATGATCTCGTCATTTTTTTCCTGTTGCTGTGGTTGGTGACTTCTGCCTTTGATAGGAATTGATTCCCCCGGAACATAGCCACGTCGATCAATTTGAAACCTGGAGCTGATTGGTCCAGATTTACAGCATAAGCAACACAGATTCTTTTCATTTGCACCTGAAGAACTTTCCTACAATCACAGATCACAAACATTCAAAAAATATTGCTGAAAGACACGATAACGTACAAAAAAGACAAATAATATATTGACAAACAGACATCCTGAGCATCGATCTACGCAACTGGGATACGATGACATGTCTCCAACTAAGTCAGCGAGCCTGACCACCCAAACCGGTTAGTCGTCTCTTTCGACAAGCGTAGGTTGCTGAAACACCAATTCAAACCCGGATCTTCACGGGTTGATAAACCGTGGTTATGAATTGGTCGTAGCCTTAAAGGGACAATTAAATCAACATTTGGCAGTATAGGCATTTACTCAATAAAATTTTAAACTCGACAGCATTAATGAAACAGCACTTGCCACAACGAGGGGACATCTGTAATGTATGTAGTAGTGAATAATTGATGACATCTTCACTCATTGCAATAATTCATGCATACCACGGAGAACTTAAGTTTAGTTTACTCACTCACTCACTCACCTCACTCACTCATAGCATAGCTCCAGGTACTTACAGTGTTGAGGGTCCAACAGACTGACCACTGTGAAAGCCGTTTTCGTTGTGTGGTCAAACTTCCATACTCACTCACTCACTCACCTCACCTCACTCACTCACCATAGCTCCAGGTACAGTGTGTTGAGGGTCCAACAGACTGACCACTGTGAAAGCCCTTTTCGTTGTGTGGTCAAACTTCCATGGCTTGTCAATGGTACTTTGAGCCAGTAATTTTACCCCTTCCTACGGAACCCTCAAACGAGGTCGGGAGTCCGAGTGGCAGTTGGTATCGGAAGGGATATGTATAACGTCCCGCCGGCAGAGAAGGGTTATCTCCCCTTTGTCCCGACGCTGCAAAATCCCAAAGACATTGGTCGTACTAGTTAATATAGTATTCTATCATTCTAAATTACGGCTCTATAGCTGGGGCGTTTGTTACAATGCAGCGTTCGATGGCTTCGGATGGACTCGCATAACAATAAAATAACATCATAATAGTGGTTACCAATCTCGATTAAAGATACATTATTACTTCTGCCACGTGCATTTATTTAAATGAGCGTGCCTCTAAATGTAAGTGTATGCAAACCGGCTTCTGTTTAATCCAGGGTCCAGACAAACGTATATTGTTGTATATTGTAACAAGCAGAACAACCGTACCTATTTCTAATGCGCTTGGGCTTCAGCTGTTTTAGTAATTATTTTTATATTTAATTCCATTCGGACTGACTGATTGTAAATCTACATGGCCTGCGGTTACACAGCACAATGGACAATGAAACATATTTTCAAGTGATATTCCTCTAACTATACGCTTGTTTATCGCTATCCTTGAAAGAAGATATGCCATATTGCTGCTTTTACTAAAAAATATTTATGTCAATTTCTCCTCATCAGGGAAGGCTTTACCGTAATATTTTCTTTTAATGGCGATTCCAGTATTTACCAACAGTACGTGTGGGGAAACCTTTAAAATTTTAATCAGTGGTGCGTACGATAGGGTGTCAGCATTCCTTTACCTCAAGGGTACGTCTCATAAGGTTCTTGCCAACTATCTATATTGATGGCCAAGCATTCATGGCGTCAGTACTTACGTCAAAGGTGCGCATCAGAAGACTTCGTAGATATATCAAATGGACGTATGATAAAGGTCTGCATCTTATGTTATGGCATATATACTAAGCAGCAAAAAGCAACGACAGTTTGAATTTTCCCCTTCGCAGAAACGGATAACCCTCACCCTCGTCATCGGCGTGAACGTCTACAGCTCTGTCTTCTCCACAACACCCTAAACTGGCGATACAGGTAATGGAGAACTGTTCTGTTCACAGATGAGAGTCGGTCAGTGCGTAGGTAAACAACTGCAGATGGCAGAAATGCGAATATGGCGACGACGTGGCCAGCAGTTACTCAGACCAATGTGTTATGGAAAGAGACTCATACGGAAGGTGCAAGCATCATGGTATTACGGGGTGGAATAGGCCTGAACCAGAGATGTCGGTCCTGTGGTGTTCCAGAACCTTGGTCCAGGGAGAGAGGAGGCGGTATACACAGCGGTGCTTTCATCGACCGCAAGCCCAGTGACTACGTCATACCACATTTCGCACGTCACCGAAAAAAACATTTTCCAGCATGTTAACGCCCGGGCCCATACTGCCAGAGCTACACGTAACTTCCTACAGCAGAACGGTGTCAAATAATTATGCGGCAATGCCCTTAGTCCTGATTTTAAACCCAGTTGAACATCTTTGGGATGAAAGGTGAGGAGACTGGAATATGTCATACCAGCCGATTTATTGCGCCAGGCCTTTTCTCAGAGTGTGGTTCCAGGTGCCAATGGCCTTCATCCTAATCGATGGGTGAAATTCCTACAAACGTTCACGTAATGTCTTGAAATTCATGCCGAGTTATTCATTGATGTGGCAAAGATATCGTACACAAAAAGTTTTGATCCGGCTTATTATGTCCATTTCTGTAATGATTTGATTACAGTGTCTATCTAATTTTGAATTCATCGTACTGACGGTTTTTTGCTGCAGAGTATATCGCTACAGCTCTCTATATCTGTATCCTCGATACGCCATCTTTATAATAATTAATGACAGTACTTATACCGCGCAATAATTCCACTCCACAAAGTGGCAGGGCTAAAAGCGCGCACAAACAGAGCGGCTATTACCACCCAAGACAACCCTGTGCATTTATACGCCCCTGACCAAGCCCTAACTGCTACAACATATTCATTCATTGTAGGTAGATTCTTGCATCCATGTTGCACCACATTTTGCCACATCCTTTTTGAAAAAAATATTTTGTAGTTTTGTCCATATTTGGTCATGCACCGAGGCCATAGATAAGTGATTTTAAATAATTAGTTTCCTCGATATAAATACATTTCTTAAATACATCACTGATGATTACTTCGTTTTACCTAATTCTGCTTATCAAATAGCAATACGTAACTGAATCCAGCATACCAA